GGTTCAAGAGAACTGACTCGCGATTTACTCATAACAAACGCGACTTTTACCGAACCATCACAATACGTAAGTCGCCAGTAAGCAACGCATGCATAAGCTTGATCACTGGCGTCTGAAAACACGTGCAACTCACGACTAACTGGGCCGATAAAATTTGAATAACACCGTGGAATTGATAGTGACTTTAACATTTCAAAACCACGATACCACTCTAACCACTTGACACATTCACTCTGGGGCAATTGGTCATCCCAACCAGTAACTAATCGCCATGTTCGTTGGAATAAAATCTTGCCCTGTGTGATAAATGGACATAAAAAACCTAATGGATCAAAAATTCTCATTAAATCCTTTAAAACTTGGCGTTTAGTGTAGTAATGATTATGAGGCTGTTGAACATTGACATTAAAACTTATCGAATCATTTACAGGGTTCCAAAACAAGCCTAAAACACGGGTAGTTGCTTTGTTTATGTCAAGGTTCACACTAGTTTCACCATCTTTACGTAACACACTAGGAACTAAACGCAAAGCTTCCGGTTTGTTTGATATCCAGGCACGCATTTCGAAACCGCATCTACTGTGAATATCTACGATATCCCCAGCAAGACGAGCAGCGACCTCAATATCATCTACACTACCAATAAAATCATCCATGTAGTGATCCTCAATAATAGCTTTAGCCGCCTCAGGAAATTGCTTTTCTAAATCCCTAGCATTCTTATTTTTAACATAAATAGCAGTGAAAGGAGACGACGCGGCACCAAAAATAAGAGATGACATCCTAAACTCGCGGATTGGGCCATCTGGTCCATCGGGTTGCCACAGGTAGCGTTGACAGTCGCGATCCGCTTCACGAATTTTAATTTGTGGAAACATTTCTTTAATATCTCCTGACAACGCCACCTGCCCTTCCCTAAATCTAATGAGAATACCTACTAAAGATTGAAGTAAGTCTAGGCCTGGCAATAATAATGAATTCAAACTGACACCGTTGGATTTGGCAGAAGCATCGTGAACGATCCTCAGCTTCCCGGGCTTATTGGGATTTGTCACACCGAAATGAGGCAAATACCAACGCTTACAGCCTAAAAGAGCATCATCAGAATCGTTACACTCCTCAGCGTATCCTTTTTTGACATAAGCTTCGATGTTTTCTTTATACAATAACTGATAATTAGGGTCCCGCTTGAATCGTTTATTTAAACCATTCAATCTTGACAAAGCATGATTATAACTATTCGGCATAATTGGTGAATCATAACGCCATGGTAAACCTACCTCAAAACGACCATTCGGAAGACGCTGTATAGTCTTGTCTAGAATTTGAATCGCTCTTGTCTCAGAAGCGATATAAGGTTCACATAGTTTTAAACCTATTGCGTCTAATCTATAATAATCTCGAATCAACGTATCAAGATCATTTTCCGTTTCAGAAAACACACAATGATTAATGAACTGAATCGGTTTAGTAATCTTTGAAGCTAATCCATACAACACCCACCCGAGGGCCGTACGAGTGGCCACAGGTTGGGAACGAGTACCTACGCGATTCTCTTTGGCAATTAATAAATGCCAGTCACTCAAGCCTATAAGAAGCTTTGGAGTTGCATTAGAGTATGAAAGAACGTCAATAAGATCACACAAATGTTCTAAAGGTAACAACTCATTAGCAGAAACCGATTGAGACGCTAATGTTAAATCAGGTACAGCTCGGGCTCCCTTAATAGTATGAACCTCAGAGCAATGCTTACCCTTAATATTAAAATCTACTAAACTAGTAGTGACACTACGAGTACCAACAACAGTTGTGATGTTCATATTTTGTCGAGGTCCACTAAGACCTAACTGCTTCGCTAAGTCGGCATCAATTATTGAAACGGAAGAACCATCGTCTAAAAGTGCAAAAGTTTCGATATCGGCAGTTGGACCAGATAATATAACAGGTAAAATTTTTAAAAGTATCCGATCTTTTTGCACTTCTTTATTTGAAAAAGAAACTGCATTGCTAGTACTCGTACTCGGAACTAATTTATTATTAGAAGAAGAATTTATATTTTCGTTTTGACAAGTGACAGTGTCAATATTTGTATTATGTAAATTTGAAATATTTGAACTATTTTCTGAATGTAAAAATTTATGATGGTTTTGTTTACAAATATCACATTGTCGAGCTTTACAAAATCTCCAACTATGCTTACCTCTCTTTAAACACCTCGGACAAAGTTTTTCTTGTTTCACCCAAGTGATACGTTCGTCAACTGCAATAGCTAAGAATTTGAAACAGGTCTTTATACTATGTGGACCAGAACAAAATGCACAGGATATAGGCGATTTTATTTGAAGTGGCACAGATGCATTGGCAGTATGCACTGTATGTCTTGAAGGCGCGAAGCGATATGCAGCCTGCGTACAATCGGTGCGCGGCGCCGCAGATGTGGCCACTGCCCTCGTCCTCTCTGTATGAGATGGGACATACACCGCCTCATATGGCAGCCCAAAACGTGCTTGTTTATTGGCCTCCTGCAATAAAAATTCAGCAAGCAACTCGAGCTGTGGTTGACCGGGTGTATGGTGTGCCTGAGCGAAGTCACACCATTTGTGATATAATAAAGGTGTTAATTTAGAAATAACGTTGTGTAATAATTCAGGTGAATAAATGTATTCTCTATGACCTAATAAATTTATTACATTTACACTGCTTTTTACTTTTGTGGCTAAAGTGAAAATATCATTAGGCTGTCTACCCAACTTAGGTAGGGCTCGAACTGCGGATATCTCCGACAAAATAATTTGCTCAGGTCGAGCAAAACGTAGTTCAAGAGCTTGCAGTACATCCTCTGGACATGAAGAGGTAAGTAATAACACCGAGACTGCCTCTCGAGCATTACCACGTAATGCATTGCGTAGCCTAGACATATTTTCGTGAGGTGTGAAATAGGATTTGCTATCGTCGTAACTCTTTTTGAACAATAACCACTCATGAACGTTACCACTGAAGGTGGCAAGGTCATCAAATGAAGGTCTAGCAGATTTCTTAGCTAAGGTGAAAATGGCATCTGCCAAACGACCTAGTTCACTCACCTGCACAGTTGGTCCCGGTGGAAATACGTGACGCGTATCGTCGTTACGATGCTCACTAACCGGACTCCTCGAAAAGCATCCTTGACCGCACTCCGAGCCAGGTAACTGCTGTGCTCCTGACAGCCTACCCCTCGACGGCGATACAAGCGCTGCATTATTCAATGAGCCAACCTCTTGCTGATGATAGAACGATTCCGACGGCTCAAAATCTGGATCGGGCGGTAACGGAACTGATAGCGCTTCCCGCACCGACTCCGCAGAATGTCGTGACCGAACATTTTCACTATTTATAACACTACCTAGATGAAACTGTTGACCTTCGACCTGGGTTTCCCTCATCGCCGCCTTCGATCTTGTGATCATAATTTTGAGAAAAATAATAAATTTGATAAATGAGGAAACTGGTGCTGAATACAAACCGAGAAGGACCAAAATATGTGGGCGACAAAGGAAACCAGGAATGGAAATTGGAAATATGTATATAATAGTCAAAGGAACTTAGAAGACTAGGGCCGTGAAGGCAAGCCAAAAGGAAACAATAGATATGCGTGTCAATTTCGAATTTGGTAAATAATAATATATAGCTATAAATAATATATGTGGCCTGTACTCCACAGGTATAAAATAAATATTCTCTGCATTTATCGAGACCGACCATACATTATTATATATAAAGTCTAAATAAAGTTTAAGTTTTTTATCCTTCACATGAGTGCAATTAATTAGCTTATCAACAATAATCAACAAAAAAGTTATTTTTTATTGTTTTGGTTTGTATAAATAAATATATTAGCGACCCGTCGCCACACACTATATTTACATTTACTTAGTGGATTCGAGTGTTTATATTATTATATATTATCTTCTGAACAAAACTCATAGAAACCATATTCTGATTGTATTTTACTTTTAATTCATCAAATGTTAAACAAATAATAGGTACTTCTGTATGATAACTCTAATATCACAGTTATCATTTAATATGGTTAAATATGTATTAGGATCGTATCTAACCTCCCAAATGGAGGAGGTCTATGTTCAGTAGTGGACAGTTAACAGCTGATTTCGATATGATCATATCTATGTCCTTAAAATAACATTAATATTTGTTAATTGCTTACTAGTTTATACTTGCCACTTCGTCCACATACTTAAGTAAAAATCCAAGACAAAAATTTGCTTATCTCTAATACTACGTGTAGATATTATACTGTATTTTCACGACAATTGCATTCAATTGTCATGAAATAAAATGCAAAGTAATACATAGACTAATTCGCTTTCATATTTATAATATTAGTTAAAATTTATTAAAATAAAATTAAGTTTTGTAAAAATGCCAACCAAATTAATATTCGCTGTATTATACTGTAATTACTCGTACCTCCGATAGAGGCCGTAGCGCACTCCCTGGCTACAACGCTTCCTAGATATCCCAGAATTAGAATTTTGAATAAAAATAACTATTAAATACTAATATTTGTTATGCATCGGAATAAGTAACCAATAAATTATAATAAAATTGTATTAATAACCTTTAATAAATGTAAAATATTTTGAAGATATTATAATTGCTCTATTATACTAAAACGGTTTGACAAATTGGAATAAAATTTAGCACACTAATGGATCATATCTTATATTTGTACGTAGGGTACTCTTTATACTAATTTATATGTATAAATATGCAGCATACAGCTTGCTATCAAAGTCCACGTAGTTACGTAGCGACGTAGCAATTTACTACGAAACATACGCTACGGTTAGCCGTAGCGTAAGCGGCTAATGTTACATGAAATAAATTTTAAGTAACCACTGATTACAAATAACGTATCTACCTATTAATCGTTTTGAAGATGACGTGTATAGATAATTATATTTTTCATGTATAAGCCAATTTAATAAATTTGTTCTTACCTCGTTTTCTTTTTCTTTATGCCGTTATTGTCGCTTTTCTTCTTTTCACTCTTCTTCGTAGCCGGTGCCGGTGGAGGCGGTGGGTGTGGCGCCGGTGCACTGTCCACCGGTTGAAGCAGTAACGGCTCCTCTTTCCGCTTCTGTTCATTGCTTCCGGTGAACACTGGAAGCTCATCGCGATACTGAAGATCACCGACCGCGCCGACCACAACCTGTACATGCCGATCCTTCCCAAACTCTCCGAACATGTGTTCCTCGAAGGTTGGCTGCTCCATGCCGCCGCCTGGCTCGAAGGTGCACTCATAGCGCGCCCCGGCGCCGGCGGCGCTGTCCCCGCACACGTACATGTAGCCGTCGGCTGGCGGCGGGTGCGGGCCCGCTACCTCCGCGCCCACCTCGCTCGGCTCCGTCGCGCCGGACTCGCTGCCGCTACCACTGCGCTGCACACCTCAGATTCGCAGTCCGTTTCACGAGCTCTTTATCGAATGCGATATTAAACAATTTAAGTTCATTTAGACGAGCCCTCGGGATCGACGAACGCTCGCGCCGTTCGTTTCCTCGTGTCCGTCCCGGTTAAATGGCTTTAATCAACTTTAACGAACTAACCGAATTTGCTCTACGGTTGGTCAATTTATATTACCATAATACATCTGCCGACGAGAGATTCGAGCCAATGAGCAATACAACCGAGACTGCCGAGAGGACGATCGGAACTACTATTTTCGTCTGTAGCATGCGGTCACAGGAAAGTATTTGGTTCACGGGAGGCGGGCGCTTACGACGTAGTGTGGGACTGAAAAGAGACCAATGGAATTGTATCATAGCCACTCCCCCTAGTGTGCAAGGCACCCCTCGCGCCCTCGCGCTCTCGCGGCACGAGCTGCGGGTTGATGCGCCCGACGTCGTTCTGTCAGTCTCGACCATGCGGGATTCCCACAAATTCACCCAATATTTTGTTACGACAATATTTTAGGGCGCGAACGCCCACATCATTATTTTGAATGTCCATAGTGTTCCATTGTGATTGTATATCAACACCACTCATATGTCTATTTTATAATTTATAACCGTGGGAATGCTTAGATTTTAGTTTTTAAATATAGGTAGATACTCCAACGACTTATTGAGATTTTTCATTTATCAGTGACACTAACCACTTATAATTACTGCCACAAAAACTTTAATTGAACAAAGATCTATTGAAAGCAAACGAGTTGAAATAAAAGTTTAATTTAGATAATCTAAAATTTAAGATCTAATAAAGTAAACAAAATTATATTTAAGAAAACTTAATTATAAACATTTTTATATAGTCATTTTTTGATGAATCTACTGCCCAGTTCGGAATGCAATTTCAGCTGAGAAGAATGGACAAGAAAATCAACAGTTGTTTTACTTATAGGAACTTCAAAAATTATACAAAGTTAACAATTATTGAAAATATCACCTTTTTAGGGACTAGGACCCAATAGGACAGCAATAATTCGTAGTCAGGATGTATCGAAGAGCGGCGCGCGCCTTAGCAGCGGCGCACGCGCACTGATGCACACAATCGACGCTGATCGCTTAATTATTAATTAACAGTTATTGCTGGGGATTATTAATAAAACATTCGCCCTGACTATTGGCACTTAGATTAACGTCGAGGGAGTAATGGCGCATTTCAACAATTTCGGTTGTTATTTAATTGAAGTCAATTTAGATGATCAGAGTCTATTTAGGTTGGTGCTGGCACTCGCCAACGGGATCTCTGCTTCATTGGGCTTATTGGTGACTTTCAGACAACACGAATTGCACTCGTCGATGCACTTCTCGTCGCATTTGCAGTTTATGAGACTCGGAAAAGTGGGTCACGGCCAAATATCTATCTCGTAGCAGTGCAAGTGTTCAATCTCCTATTGATAAAAAAATATATTGTTGTTGACGTGAATTTGACTGAAGTTAAAGTGAAAGTGTGTGCATAGGATGTGTGTGATATTACATGTCTGGTGGCCGTCTTGGAAACCGTTCAAGGTGTGTTGCTGCGTGCGAACGATGTTTTTGTGATCGTCCATTCATTCGCGTCTTGTGAACGATATGACACATAGGAGTACATCCGCGTACAGCTTGCTCATAATTTCATGTAGGTACGGATTTTGTACGTTACGTCACTACATTTTAGAATATACTATAAATTAATAATAATATTATTGTTGATAATTAAGTGTATAATAGTTATATTCCAGTCCAGTCCTAGTCCAAGTCATATGCATCTAGATAAAGCGCTGTGTGTCAAAAATACTTTCCAGCATTTTTGCCAAACTGTTGACTAATCCATTATTTTTTTCATATTACTATATATGATAATTCGAAAGTATAGAAATAAAGATTTAATAAAAATAAATAAAACAAACTATGGTCTGTGTTTATAAAACTGATCAATTACAAGATTAATACCTTTTTTTAAAAGCTCTATGTCGGAGCTTTATTACCGGCACACTTAATCTAGATATATGTGTTCTAATATAATATAGATTCTAGTTGATATAAATATAATAAAAGTATTTAGGTATTTAATTTTATATTTTGTTTCACAAACAATGGCTATATTTTACAAAATTAATATAACACAACACAAGACCTTTTATTAAAATGACAATTTTTTTTAAAACGACACTTTTGGTACAAAAAGAAGTCAGCCAGTTCAATCTTGGCAAACTATAGGTAATGTAACATATAAAATATGCGGTTCAACTCCAATGAGAATTAGATTCTACAAATGAAAAGACATTACGTCATAAATTTTTATCCGTGACCTCATCCGGGTGTTCGGGATATGTCTGCTAACCGGGACAAAAAATAGTATACGTTCTTCTTCATCTTATAATAAAAGAAAACATCCTTCATCCCATATAGTATCCGAATAACAAATTTTGTATAGTGACTGGTTAAACAGTTAAGGCTCCAAGAGGTAACAAACTTACATTTATAATATTAGTAAGGATTTGATTAAAATTAATTTCGTAAATTTTCAAATGTTTATTTTTATTTTAAAGTGATTGTTAAATTGTACGAATTAGTAGATATCAAGGAATTCTTGTTTCGAACTTTCGTTTCATCTCAAATTAAATTTAAAGTACACCTACTATATTATCTAAATATAATGGTTGTAATTTAATACACAGTAACAAGTAACTGTATAGAAACTGTCTACTATAAACCCAGATTCTAGTAATTCAGTCATATATTATATCTCCATACTACTCTCTTTATACAACTTGTGGATTTTAAAAGTAGAAAAACCAATGAAAAAGATCATTTTTAAATGGCGTATCAAAATAAAACATGTACCAGATTTTAAGCTGGATTTTCAAGAATACAACAGTGAAAACTGCATTTAGTTTAATGCAGTAGTTTTTGCGTGATGCCGAAACAGACATAGAGACAAACGTTTTGGCATCTATTTCTCTTATTATATTAAAATCCTCCATATCAATTTTTTTTTTATATCTCACATGTACAGATATCCTACTAGTTAATCTAGAAGGTAAAACGAGAAATCGAATATCGCACGCGGGAAAAAGCTAGTTTTATTATATTAGTAAGAAATCCACCATTAGAAACTTTGTTAATCAAAGTTATAATGTTGTGAATACGCCAGTCAGTTAAGGTTTTTTAAGTAGCGGGAATTCAAAAATATTAATATCTCGTTTAAGAAATCTATATAGGTTTTCAATGTAATTAAATTCTACTAGATAATAGGAAAAGGACTGTTAATAATAGAATTTAGCAAACCTCCTTGCTAACAATATATCACAACAGGTCGGCCTTCACTCGATTCTCTCTGCAAACCACTGTAGTTAATTCCTATATAATAAATATCCTGATGAATTTATCAGGTTAAGCCAATTCATTTGTCATCTTGTCATTCTGTTTTTATGTCATCCCTCTGGTATTCCACTACTGTATACCAATAGAGTAAGCGGGTTTAACATACCATTTTAATCCGTTAAAATACCTATGTTAAATGACTAATCAATTTTTATTTTTTTATACAAAATAGAATGGTAAATAAGCTGACGACTCTCCTAATAGAAAGTAATAACCGTCGCCTATAACAGTACCGTGGACATAAAATTATATATATTATATAATTTTCAGTTAACTTCAAAATGAACAGAGTTCTTAATTATAATGTTTTCATTTAGGAACCGAATTTGATGATATTATTCCAATATATATAATATAATATAATTTTATATATTAAAATTATTCCAGAATCGGTCTCATACTAATTTTGTCATTTTAATAAAGTCGGTTATTTGTAATATTGTTGGTAAATCTTAATCAGATAGATATAAATTATTATTTTTGCTGAAAAGGTCCCAAGAATACTTTATGCTTTTTTTTCTAATAAATGCCATTATTCCATTATTTTCTAAACGCTAAATATATCGTATATGCATGTCTCATATTTTTTTCCTTATATACATAGAGTCGAGGAACGGGCAGCAGCGTCCCTCTTAAAACATCTCTAAAGCCTGACTGCGTTTGCCAATCCGCCTGTCAAGTGTGACAACTACTGGCAAAACCCCCCAAGGAGGAGACTTATGTTTAGCAATGGACAAATAAAGGCTGATATGATAATGATATGCCTAGACCTTTATTTGTATATACTGCTTATGGTTTTTTAGGATGTTCATAAATATTACTTATGTAGAAGGGACAATTAATAAGTACTATTCTTATGGTCTTATATAATTAATGTACCGTATATATGTATAAATAAATTATAGTGAAGACAAATTCTTCCTACATACGCATTATTATTACATAATAATTTTACATATATTTTTACAAATTCCAAGTAGTTTTCCAATGATGTATTTGTCATAAGCTTTAAACTCCTTGCAAAAATATGTAGGTACGTATAAACTATTAATGTCAATTCTGGTTATGTGGTGATTCATTAAGTACTTTTAGGCAAAACAATAAGTACCATACTATGCCATACCATCATCATCATATTAGCAGTAAATTGTCCACTGCTGAACATAGGCCTCCCTCTATTCTTGGTCTTGCCAGTACATGCCATGCTTGGCAAGCAGGTTGGCAACCGCAGTTAAGCTTTGGTGATATTTTAAGAGACGCTGCTGCCTATATCTTGGCCATTAAATTCCCTTAGTTGCTTCTTAGGACACCCGCGGGAGAGGAAACAGTAAATATTATGTTATACCTATATAGGTACTTGTAACTTGACATATGAAAGACCTAAAAACCTAGAGAATATTAATGGCCGTGGCTAAACGTACATACTGTTTTATATGTGTGTAGAATATTGACAAAAAATACATTTCAACATTAATTTCTTTATATCAACTTCTGCAGGAATAAAGTTACGTGTTGATTCAAAATTAAATAAATGCCACAAAAATAATATGACTACAACCCAAAAGTAAACTATATATTGTAGAAGTTTTAATCAAAATGGTTTCAAAATTGACGTATGACTTTTTTTATTCTAAAATCCTAAAATAATTTTCCTATTACAATCTAGCATAAAGATTAATTAGCAATTTTATTCTAACATACATTTGATGTAGAGTAATACTAACAATAAAATTATTTTCCTGTTGTCTCTATTACCTAAAGGAAAGACATTTTGTTCACTAGTTTTTTATAGAAAGCACATAATAACAAATTCGGTCTTGCAGCATGTAAAATGCACACAAAAAACTTTCAATGTGTTCTTTTTTTAAATCGCTTAAAACAAAAATGCGGCCAAATTTTTAAATGAAAACAGATATAGGTAACGCAACTTTACACATCTAACGAAATCAAAAAATAATTCATATCAACTTATGCTCTTTCGCAATCATACAAATAAATAACAAACTTAGTACCTATGTACTTATATGAACAGTAGGTAAACATGCTTTACAATGTTAGGTACATAAGTAGTTACAAAATGAGTCATGTGACGTCCCGCGTAGGCGCTTCACATAAAATCTCTCTAGCGACGGCAGCTCGACGCAGAATCTGCCGCTCGTTCAATTGGACTCAATTGCTTTAATTGACTTCAATTGAAATGACCTCGCGCACCGGCTCCCGCTCCTAGTCTGACACTTTTACATCTATCTTTTTTGGAGCTGACATAAAAGCGCTAAGATAAATTTCATCACTCTCAATAAAACTACCCAACGTACTGTCCAGTTGAGGTTATATGCCTACAATTAGATGAGCTCGAGATCCATCATTCTTGCTTAAATATCATAATATGTTATTTTTATAAATCAGATTGTTCTCTTAATAAGGAATCGTTGAATGACTACTAATGTACCTAAGTTTCACTTGATAAACTAAATTTTCTTCAAAATATGGAAATCTGCTCAAAAACCTACGTTGAATCTACTAAAGCTTATAGTGTATAAACTAGCTTTTGCCCGCGGTTTCGGTCGCATGTGGTATTCGATTTTTCGCAGGAATCACTTGTCCGTTTTTGTCCTAAAAATATTACAAACCACCATTTCATATATTTTCTTAGCAAAAGACTATATATATATATATATATATATATATATATACTTTGCCTTGCTAACTTAAAATTAACAATTTTACATAAAAATTTTCATCTAAATGAAATCATCGCCTGTCTCACTCCCTTAGGAATAAAATTTCCAAAAACGTTGAAAAGTATTTAATTATTTATAAACAGAAGTCTAATATTATTGTTTCATACATCTACCTCCAATTGTAACAGAATTGTCCTACAAATAATAATAAAATACTTTCATCCCTTATTTATCCCTTTTAGGGATGAATTGTTCCAAAATCAATATATTATTATTTTATTTTGAATCATGAGTCTCTAAAAATTCACGTGCCTGACTTCTAAACTGATGAAATTCCATACAAAGTTTCAACTTACATTTTACTCCCTTAGAGACTGAATTCTCAAAATTCCTTTATTTATACCTGCGCTATATAAAAAACCAATCTGTCAAATTTCTAGGTACTAGAGTCAGAAGTTTCGGTTATGCGTTGATATATGGGCCAGTAACATACAGCATCCTCTTTTATATATGTCGATAAAGATTATTTTTATGTTACTCGTATTATCTAAAAAGGGGCATAGCTTACATAAAAACAAACTCAATAATATTGGATATAATTAAGACAAATAGTTAGTTATATATATCAATGAATATGTTACTATAAAAGCCCATACATTGGTAAATCTTAAGTATTACCAGTAAACCTTAGGATTTACCAATGTGTATTGGTAAATATAAGGATTTTATAAAAACAAGCACATCTTTGTATCTTTCACCAAACCAAAACTGGTAAAACTTAAGATTTTCTAATGTACGGGCTTTGACAGTAACAAATATACCTAATATCACATTAAACAATCTTATTTTTACGAACGTACTTACGTTCACCTATTTAAATACATAAATAAAAATACATCTACGCCTATGTGTAAAATAATTATCGATGTAGGTAGTAACAGCCAAAATTATTTAAAACTTTCCGAACAATAAGAGTTAATTAAAGTAAGAATTCAGATTGCAAACGGGCTCATGACAAATTGTGTTTAAAAAGACAACACATTTTGGCACGTGTTCTATCCGGTGTACAATTGAGCTTAATTAGGAAATAGCGGCGCGGGACGTGCATCCATAGCCGTCTTCAGTCATGTGGTATACTTGTACCTAATTTTGTTTTCACTAAATAATAAACTGAGTGATATCAACGTAATGACATATGAGACTTCTTTTTCGATTTCTTTCCTTTGTTACCCCAGAAACGTTTGAAATCTCGACTAGTGCTAGCTTGTTCAGAAGTTTCTACAATAACGTCTAACTCTTGACCTATTTTTCTTGAACTACTTATCACGGTGTGTTGATTAATGAAATTATCGTCCGCTTCTTGTTCATAATCTTCCGAAGGAATTGTTATTGTTTCTTCATCAAATCGTAAACGTTTAATTTGTTGTTTCCTAAATTTTAATTTGTCTTCATGTACATCAGCCGTTGCAGTAATGTCATGAGTTGAAATTTGAGAAGGAACTGTATCTTTATGAGCATCGTACAGATGGCTTACAATCTCTCGTTCTTCCGTAATTGCTGGTATTTGTAAAAGTACAGACTCTGGACTTGATTTAATATTACTTTTATTTAATGATACAGATTCTGATCGAGCTTCTTTAAAAAGCTTTAACATATTTAATTCCTCTAAGTGTTTTTGATTAAGCTCTACCGTGTCTGATATCACACTAGATTTTTCTATTTGATAATTTTCTTTATTTGATGCTGTTATCAATTCTTTATTATGCTTCAAGTTTTTATTTTCTTTTCTTCCAAGAGTTTTCAAATGAGCTATTTCTAAACTATCACCTGTCTGTATAGAAACATCGACAGTTTCACCACGTGACATTTTATATAGCTCTAATTCCGTAAATGAATATGCTTTTCTACCTAAATGCACATTTTGGTTACTTGATACATCATCATACTCTTTTTTGGTTCTTTTTCTAAAGCAATCAGAAAACAAACATTTTTCCAACCATTTACATGAGAATAGTGTTCGCTTTTCATTTATAGCATCTTGGTAAATCATGTCATCCTCAAATAAATGCCCATATATCATTTTATTTACGTCGTCATTATCATTTGGTGATCGCATTATGCTATCTAAGTGCAGCCTGTAATTATATTATTTATTATATAAGTTAATAATAAATTATATAAATAGGTAATTATTTATTTGACTAGATATTAATTATTATATAATTAATATCTTCTTTTCTATTTTTAACAGCTAACTAGGATCAGCCAATAGGAGATAAGTACCTAATCGCATCACTTATAAACAGAATTATACTGTTACTATACAAAGCCAACGACACTAAAATAGAAAATATAAATAATATTATTCTCTCCACTGTAATCCATAATGGGATAGACAGAAATATTAGTCTAGTGTTATAATGAATGCACTCCCTAGCATGCCCATATTACACCAAGCATTATTAAAATCCAATGTGACAAAGGACGTATCTTTGCCTTCTAGATTAATTTAGGTTGTTCACAAAGTTTTCCGAAGTTTCTCGAAGAACTAGGCAAAAATGTATTAATAATTTATTATTCACAAAGTGTTAGTATATTTTTTAGGAGATAATTTTAATAAACTCAATTATAAATAAAACAAAAACGTTTATAACATCAGTAGAATAATAAAAGCTTACTCATTGTCATCCCCTTCAGTATAAATGAAGAAAGCATCGGAAACCTTCGGCACACAACGTTTGAGCCAATAATGTACAGTATATAGCATAGTAAGCATCACTGCTAGAAAGGTGACGGCCGCGAGTAACACGGTATGTTGGAGACCCACAGCAGCACCACACATCAGACGATCTTCGTCGTAAATATCTAAAATATTGACTAAGTTTGGATATTTTTCCTTAAATGAGTGGACTCACCTCTGTCTATCTCTTGCATTAAATAAAAGATTTTAATATAATCTGGCTTACTTACATAAACAGCTGCTTACTTCGACAGAATAGACAAGAGTAGCAATGACATCCTAAATAATTATGCGAAAAGGTTAGATAATCTACTGCTGTAGAAAGGACCTATAGAGAACTAGGTCACTATATATAAAAAAGGGATTATAATTATCTGGTTCAGTCTTCTTATCCCGTGTGAGACAATATTGTCAGCAACAAATGACTCGATCCGATAAGATTCGAGGATCTATCTTCTATACGGGTCAAATGCCTATCACTAATTTCCGATGACACCATGGGCAGGATTCTGACTGTCATTAGACCAGACGTAAGCAGATGTCATTATCAAAAATTATTCCAATTACAGATACTAGTTTGTTACTGGAATTCATAGTTTTATGTGAACTGGCGAAATATGATTATTTGTTAGAATCGCTGCAGGAGAGCCTTTCTTTTTACTACTATTACTCCCGTGTTATAAGATATTTTTTTTTATATTTCCTACTACAAACAACATACCATAAGCACCGCAGTTAGGCACACCATCACAGGCAGTCATTGAATCGATGCATACCCGAGTACCAGATACTTGGCATTCAAGGAGAGCCTCAGAACACCTCAACTCTCCATTCAGCATCGAGTAAGCTGGCGTCATCACCACTGTCATGCGTTCCAACTAAAAACAATGTAACCATTTTAGTGCCCATTTTAATCATAAAAAAGTAAAGAATAGGAACCCTATATCCATGAAAAGCATTACCCAGCTTAGCCAGTGGATTTGTAAGAAGACAATCCTCTCGTACCAGAGCCAATGAAACAATTATAAGTATTTAGAATGTAGGGTCTATTCTATCCGAACTTCATGAAGAGTTTTACTCCATAGATTTAACATCTCGATAGAAGTAGAGCATTTAAAATAGTATATAATAAGGTTATCATTATTATCGTAGTTTATTGATTATCTTAGGTTACTAAAAATTTGTAGAAGGCTGTAATTGTTCCTTTAATGTATTGCCACTTTATCTTATCAAGTCAACCGTCATAGTTCTTTGTTAATGTTGCAATTAAAATAATATTAGTCAAATTAAATTTGAACTAACCGTGAAATTCCTGATAGCTAACACAATCCTGGAAGAATTGAAGAGGTATACATGTCGTGCCTTTAGCTCTTGGTAGTCGCATATGTTGAACAGCATTCGCCCCACATAGTGCCGCATGTATCGTAGCGCCACGCGGTCGTGGATCTACGTGCGGGATAAAAATTTATAGATAGATACTTTATTGTTTCTTCCAAAAGATTACAATAGTAAACTTATTATAAATGTATATATGAATTTATCTTTTTTACTAGACTTGTATCTGATGAGGTTACATCAATAACTTGCAGACAAAATTGCAACTTCTTTTTCGCCTTCTTAGAAATAATTTTTTTAACAATTATATAATACTTTGTATCGCAAGTTATATACGTTATATACGTGCCGGATGTAAAATATTTGCATTACTTTTTTTTTCTAGACTTGTGTTTGATGAGGTTACTCTTTAATAAATTGCAATCAAAATTGTAACTTCTTTTTCGCCTTCTTAGAAATCAATTTTCAAGCAATTATATTTTGCATCGCAAGTTAAAAAACATGACTGCGACTCGAACTACGAGTATTTAAAAAGTATATAGTCAGTGTCACTCGGGATCATGTATAGAATCCAGTTAGTCAGTCCAAAAAAGTTACTCCATACATGTTCAGACATTTAGAAGTTATGGTGGAATAAAGAAACTTACATATATAAATGAACTCTGAAACATACAATCCTTACACTACGTTGTACGTACAAGCCTTAGATTATATAGATAGAGTGCCTCCATACAAATACCTCGAGAAAAGCGGATCAACTTTTTCATACAATTTTGAGTGACAAATAGTTATGAACGATCCCTTTATACCTTCTATAATTTCTACATCTTTTTAATGCGTAAATACTCATTTTATTTATTAAATAATACGTAAAGATACATTGTATGCGTAAGTATACAGAATACTGGTAAAAAAAACGAATCAACTAATTTGATAATTAGCTAACAGAAAGTTGACCCGTTTTTGAGACTCGATGCTCTATCTTTATAATTTAAGGTACGAGTATATCATGCACACCGTACATGACCGCATAGCGCTTTAGCGCGTCGCAAAATGTGGATTATCCTTTACTTGTAAGTGATAGCTTATGAAGAACTCTTGTGCAAAATGTAATGCTTCTAGACTCACTGGTAGAAAATAAAAAGTTTTTTTTTTTTTATAACACGTGGGATAAATGAGCATGCGGCTCACCTTATGGTAAGTGACTACCGCCGCCCATGATTACCCGCAACATTAGAAACATTGCAAGTGTGCTGCCGGGCCTTGAGCGTTTTCGAGACCAATTACTATTAAATACTAAATTATAGTCTACTGGGATTTCGATATTTTTTTAATTTCTTCTGCTTACAGCACATTAATAAAAAATATGTTTTACTTTAATATATTTTTTTTATTTCTTACTATATTTTTGTCCAATATACAAAATACGAGCACACTTCAAGGACAAACAATTTATTAACAATATATGATCCCTAAATAACATTTAATTATTATGCATTAAATTATAACACTAAAAAACAAGTACAGACAGGTAGAAGTACAACATTACAATGTGAATAATAAGCAGCAAAAACAATTAAAAAAAAGAATGCTCACGACCATAATTTAATGAGTACTAAAAGTTATTTATCAATATTTGATAAGAAAAGAAAATACGTAATACACTTTCACATAATAAAAACAACTAGGTACTACTAACATACTTCGTCATCCTGTAGTTCCACCAGTTGGGCGAATTCCTGCGCATCGGAGAGTTGAAACTGAGTAGACGCGGTGGAGAGAGTATGAGCTTGCGTGGCCCGCTTATGAGGACGCGCCTGCTCTATAGCAATAGCCTCGATATATCTCTTTTTACGCAGTTTGATACTAAAAAGACCATTGTATTTTATCAGTTACAAAAATCATGCACATATATACCTACTTTTTTATATTGTTTTTATGATTAATTTATTAATTAAATCAGCGAACTAAAATATCATCTTAATTATCATTATATTAGAACAATAAAAATAGTTATAAAAGTTATATACTTAGTTATGTATGTATAATATTCGGTAGCATATATAACCGATGGGGACGAAAGGTTCTTGAGTGACGACCTAGTATGGACAAATGCAGTATAGAAAGACCCCCCCCCCCCACTAAATAGAGTGACGATCTTAAATGCATTGCAGGAAGTCAGTGGATGCAGGTGGCTCAGGACCGTTCTTTAGGCCTATATCCAGCAGTGGACGGATGATGGCTGAAATGGTGATAATGATATACCTATAACTATGTGGAGAAACTTATAAGTTCCTCCACATAGGAGGAACTTATAAGTTCTAATCATTAAAAACACTTCTGTCTCGCAATCTTCCAGTTACTAAGATGACAAATTCAATGACATAAACGGGCTTGACAAAATACGTTTCTTCTTAGAAACAGTTTGCCTACAGAGCGATATTGAAAAAAATATTATTATATTTCTGCTAAAATGGATTTAATAAAAACAAGTAGTTACTATATTATTGAATTAGATGTTATTTTATAAAAGTCCATATCACTGGTTAATTGATTAGAATTATTTTAAAAAGAAGTTATTTAATATTTGCAGTTGAATGAAAAAGATTTTTTTAATTCAGGACAACAGAACGACAGATTCCGAGTCAGTGAAGTTACAAGTTTAAATAATTTATTTTTATTAAGATCACTTACTCGGTAGTAGACACTACAGCTTCTATGCTTTTAATACCAACATCTTTAATAGTTTCATTTAATACTGTTTGATTGAGACGGACGGCCATCACTGGAGCTGCTTGCACCACATTCTCCCATGATTGGTGATCCACCATTGATCCAGTTAATAGGCTGGTATTAAATATTTTATAAAAATATAAAAATTAGGAGTCTATGCCTAGTTAACTAGTTTATGAATTGCATATTCGTCGAAAAACGGATATAAAAATCAGCATATTGCTATTCAGCTCGAATTAAAATTAAAATTTTGGCTTTCATCATCGCCAAACTATAACTTTCATTAAAACTGATTGTAGTACTAGTTGTTGCACGCGTGGTATTGGGTTTCCATTTTAAGTAGAAATTTTCAAAAACCCTTCCTTAGTTAATGCTTAAGTTATAAATTAAACCAATGTTCCAAATTTCAACTTTCAAGACCAAGTAATTTTAGCTGTGTATTGGTAGTCAATCATGACCAACGATTTCAGGCGTATAGATAATGACTATATGACTATACTCGTAGATACATAATATAAGTACTGTGCTGCATAAAACCAAACTTACGTATTATTTTTAGAGACAGTATTAAAATAATTTACTTCTTTTGTTGATTCTGAAATTACATTTCCGTTTTCAATATTTGTTACATTTGAAATATTTTCTGCTGTAAACAAACGCAACAATCGTTGTATTTAAATAAATCGTCTAGTTGTTTTTATTTTAATAAAATTTTCTTATTTTATGTTTTTACCCGTAGCAGTAACAGAATCTTCTGTAACATTAGTATAAGAAGCTTCTGTAACATTAGTAGGCAAGTTTTTACTAGATAGTTGTGTAATTTTTAATGTATCTGATGTCGTTATATTTTCAATTTGCATCTTTAAGACGGGCAATGGAACTGTGCTCGAGATTAAGTTCGTTTTAATGACTTGGAGATTTTTACTGAAATAATAATGAGTACTATGAATTACATTAATCATATTAAACACTATATGCAGTAATAACTTGTAATTAAAATAATACCAACCTGTTATCTATTGTGCTCGTATATCTTCCATTAAAGTAAACGGTAGACGGATCTACATTTATGTTTAAATTTTTAGGTAAACCTATAATTTTTTTATTTAAATCTAATTTTGGATATAAGTATGCTGAAATACATATGAATATTATAATTAATTATATGAATATTTATATAATAGTTAGTTCTTTTATGTTTACTGGCCATTGATTATAGCCTAGATAAGCCATAATATATTAGGTAATTTCTATTAAATTACTGAAACAAAAACTCAAAAATAGGTATATGTTGTAAATTACTAATATTAATGCTAATAAATATAACTGTTAACACTCTGTTATATCCATGATATTGTTCATGTTTTTAGGAGACGGTCACCACTTTCCATTAGATAGGCCTTGACTTATTTGGCATTCGAATTTGCATAAAAAAAATTCACTCATGCAATTTTATAATAACCAAATTGTTGACTTATTTAGAATTTCCAATCACTTATTATATTATTTACCTAATCTGACTAATATAATAATGTTGTAACTAAATAACAAGTTAATATTTGACTATTTTAATCATGGAAGCTATTTAAGAAATAATTATGTGGTGTTTTAATAAGACTAAAAGATACAATAAAAACTATAAAGATACAAAAACTATATTTTTTTTAAATATATATTTTTTTAAAATTTTCGTTCATAAAGCATTAACTACTACACCAAATTGAATGTAGTTGTCACAGATATATTCCTAAAGGTCATTTTTAAAAACTGATGTAAGTTTTATTTTGATACGCTATTTAAAAGTGACCTATTGCATTGGTTTTTCTACTTCTGAAATACACGCATACAAAATAGCTGACAGAATACTAGTACTCGTAACTATAAAATTAATAACGATATAGCACACAAATTATGTACCTATATAACTTAAATAATAGTATGCTATTGGTTAAAATATATTCTCCTCGTCCAATAAGGAATAGATAATTTTTATTAAATACTTCATCATCATTTCAGCCATTATTCGTCCACTGCTGGACATAAGCCTTCCCCATGGACTGCCATAAAGAACGATCCTGAGCCACCTGCATTCACTGACTCCCTGCAATGTATTTTAGGTCGTCACTCCATCTAGTGGAGGGTCATCCTACACTGCGTTTGCCCGTGCGGAATCGCCACTCAAGAACCTTTCTTCCCCGTCGATTGTCTGTTCTACGAACTAGGTGACCAGCCCATTGCCACTTTAACTTGCTTATCCTTAATTATTTTAAATACTTATTCATCGCAAATTAATACAACTGACCACTGTAATTGTACTTGCTGCTAGATATCTCGGACATAAATTTTTTAAATTCCGAATCATGATTTTCTTTGGTAGTTTCTTCGTGTTTTTTATGACTAGATAGTATATCTACTATGTTCTTCCATGCTTCCATATCATTTTCAACATTTTGATTACCCAATATCCTGTCATTAATGGTAATGTCTAATTGTTCAGTTGAGTAATGAACAAAATCTGAATGTTGAACGACAGGAACAACTTTAGTAAATAGTCTTGTGATGTCCGTTATTCGACTAGTAAATTTTTTTCTGTAAAATATTATGAGTTTTCTTACGATATTACTTACTTAATTTTACATAACACATGTTAATAAAGGTTTATTACTTTTTCTTTGTATTATTTTTTATCTTCGTGAAAAGTGTTTTGTTTCTGTCAAATTTTAACCGTCTATTTGAATTGTACTTAAATTTTGTAGCGTATCTTCTTTTTGTTGATTTACCACTCCAGTAGGGATATGTCAATCTGTATAATAAATGAATTTTTTTCATGTATTTTATTATTACAAATAAAAATCTGAATTATACGTTAATATTGTTTTATTTATAATTAACGCTAAGGACATTACTATGTAAGTATATAAACAGAACGCTGGTCCCGATCTGTGGTACACTTATTATGGGCTAACTACTAAGTGTATGCTCCTGCTCTAGTGTCAGAGTTTACTCTTGCCAGTTAACCTTTCAGACCAAAACACAACATACACGCATTATGAAACAGTAATGCGTATTTGTTGTTAATATGTTGTTGTATTTACGCAAATACAACATATTATTATATATAAAACTCTATAAAATTTTATTTATCAGTACAAAATATTAATAGAATAGATTTACCTATAGTCAGGCGTGAAGACACCGTATTCCAGCTGGTAAGGAGGAACTGAATCTTGTACGTCTCCTCGCCGACCACTTTTCTGCTTTTTTATCGCAAATTGCACCAACGGCAGTATGCTTGTTTCATATCGAACGCCTGACCTAAACTTGTTAGAGAGAATATATGAAATATAAATAATATAATATAATTGAATATTATATTATGTTATTTTTTATTTTTGTGCTTAGTAACTACACTGTACCATTTGTATAGATCATATATTATATAATTGCCTGTTTACACCTATTTATATATTTAGGTATCTCATTAGCTAGTTTATAAATATTATAGATATAACATAAAAGATAAAATAACATAGTATTATTAAATTAAATTAAATTAGCAAAATCAGTTATTTTGTTTTAAATACTAAATAGTGAACCGATTTTGATAAAATTTCTATAAGACCAATCTCTAATCTATACTCTTACTGACAAAAAAATCTATATCGGTTTATTGACCGAGTTATGAGATAACAAACATAAAAAATACAACTGTACTGAGAACATCTTTTTTATATGTTAGTTGAAACTATAAAATATACCGGGGCGTCACGTCTAATATGAGATCGAAATCTTCGTCTTCATTCGAAACCTTCTGCACCGGCGGATCGCCAGGCACTAATTGACCAGAAACATTCACCAAAGGAATCTCTACTGTGATGTATTGCAACTCATCATTTGTGTTATCACTTGGCACCTTGGATGGCATGTCATAAGTCTTTTCTGAAGTTGTATCCTCCTCTGTGCTATGATATAAATTAAATCAAATTTTATAAAAGTACAGATCAAATATTAATTTGAATTGTATTAACATTACAATTCATTTCATAAAATACCTCGGTTCTGTAACTGTTGCTTGAGTAGTTTTTAAAGTATATAACTTAATTCCAGCAGGCTTTGGGTTCATAATTGTTTCAGGTAATGGGCCCCAATAACCGCTATATGTTTCGCCCATTTCATATACCAAAAATTGATTAGAATTTTCAGCACACGAATTTATTAAGCTGTCATCGGATAAGAGTTGAACCACCAAAATTATGTTGCTGCCGGATTCTGTTCTGCAAAAATTATTTGTCTTAAGTTATCTAATTAGGTAACTGTTGTCGTATGTTTCGGATGGCTCAGATGGATATTTTATACCAGAGGAAGACTTTGTATAAAAGTTGTTTGTACAAAGTACCTTTGTTCCATTAATGTTTCTACCGTAAAGCAGTTATGTTTTCATAGCTGTGTTTCGATTTGAAAGGTGGGATATGGCAGTAAATTTACAGGGTACAGAGATATAACACCTTATTTCTCAGGAATAGCAATGCATGGGGAGTAATAAAAAATGGCAATTCGAGATACTCATTTCGTACCACCATTTTTTATTATATACCTTTAATAATTATATTAGTCCCTAGCTATAATAATAAATAGGTAATAAATTGAATCTTGTATGACTCCTCTGGGTAAAAATCCAAGTTAATCTGATTTAACCTAAGCACAAACATACACACAACAACACGTATGTAATCGTGTCTTGATATGAAGGGTAAAATGAACCAACTTAATTACTGACAAAAACATCTTAACTTAATCCCCAGGAATTAGAAAATTACTGTACTCGATGTAGTGTAATACTCCTGTTTTATAGTATGTGAAAAATCTATAAGCGAAAGGAAAGAAACTTGATTGATGATTTAATTGATGATTGTGATAATGTGGTCATGCAGTCCCGGTATAGAATAGGCCACCCCTTCCTTTCTCGTGAGTGTCATAAGAGGCAAATAAGAGAACTTAATAGTAAAGGGATGAGCAGCAACCTGCCTCTTAAAATCACTAAAGGCCTTGCTGCGTTTACCATCCCGCCTGCCAAGTGTGGCAACTACTAGCAATACTCCCCTTGTCGGGAAACCTTATGTTGAGCAGTGAACAGCTGACATCATCATCATTACACAAACACATCATGTCATACCTACTTCTTTTTGCCTGTACCTACTTGCTATTATTTTCTAAATTTTTACTATAGTATTAAATAGATAAAATTAAAGATAGGATAAGATTTATTTCACAAATATTATTATCATACCTTATGCTTATAGAACAGCTATAAGGTAGCTCCATCTTAGAAAAATGGAGTATCTGGGAGTAAGCATCGACAACATGCCTGCCGAGGAACACAGATGGCACCACACGACGGCGACAATACTCCGACATGTCCTTCTGATACACGAACTTATGGACTGCCATCGTCGATTCAGACTTCACCACGAAAACCAACAATGTCATCAACATTTTTATTAGCGCCGACATGTTGCCTATTGTTTGTCATGACCGTACTGTTTTAATAAAAATCAATTGCTTGAAATCTTCATAAGAACTTTTCGATAAACAATTTGTTCCTACGTTTGTTACTAATTATTTAGTTACTAATACCTCTACTACTACCCTCTGTAAATGAAAAGATATTTTTTTAAATGAAAGACGTGAAAGTAAATATTAATGAAATAATATTCGAAGTGATAAAAACCAAAACCATAGATAAATTAATTTTCTTATGTGTAGTTTACGATTTTCTTTTTGATATCAATTTAGTTGTGTTATTTCTGTTGATGTTATTTCTTTGACTGGATCGAAAATTTAATGCGAGACCCCGATTACACAAGATATATCACCCTTATATCGATAGCAAACACTATAGAATTATTAAACAAAGCAAGGATAGACTGGCGTGACGGCAGCACTCAGGAACGGGACAAAACATAGGGGTCGCGTGACCCGCACATCAAGCTTTTTATTACCTACTGAATGCTAGGGAATGTCTCTATATATACCATTATATACATACCAATTTAGGTGATATGAATTGAGAGAAGAGATTGTAGAAACAGGGATAAGGCCTACTGCTACCAACCACCAGATCAACCACTATGCAGCGCTATGTAGAGCTAAAGTAATCCCTTTCCCCCATTATCACAAGGTCATTGCAAGCAATATACCCCATCAAGTCGACTTCCGCGTGTTTCCCCCTGGAAACCATCTTGGTTAATAATCATTAAATTCATTACGATGGACCAACAGACCTGCTTTCATCTCTCACCAATACTCCACTAGTGTATACCGAAAGCGCAAATACCATTGAGATTCCTAGCGATAATAACATAAAAGATCCAATAATTTCGCAAACATTTATTTAGAATAGTAGTCCTTAAGAACTATAAGTTAGAGTAGTAGACCACACGTAGATAGTACTTTTCTATAACAAACAGCGCCACTGCAATCAAGTGACAAAAAACAGAACTAATCTATGATAGTAAGTAAATATTCTAACGGTACTGAGACATAAAAAAAATAAAAAATAATATTTAATCGCAAATTTCGTGCAGTTTACGTTTGTTGCAAGGGAACACTTAATACCTTTATGTCTGAGTAAAAAAATTAGCCCCGATACTTGTTCTATTTGTGGCACAGACACAATACCTGCAGAAATAGCAACACTCACACAAACTTTTTTATAGAAGGCAACACTGTTGAAAACAGCTGATTGTCAAAAATTACATTAAGGGTCTACCAGTGTGGATTCTCATGTTTTAATCAAATATTTTAAAGAATTTACTCCAAAATACTTCTTACTATTTTCCTTTTCTTATAAAACTATCAATATGACTATTGTCGAATATATGTCATCGTTGGCCCAAAATCCTTATTTCGGTGCCGGATTTGGTTTATTTGGAGTTGGCGCCAGTGCAGCAATATTACGCAAAGGTTTTCAGACTTCTATGCTTCTATTCCGACGACATTGTATGATAACACTAGAAGTACCGTGTCGAGACAAGTCGTACCAGTGGTTACTGCAGTGGATCACTCAAAAAGGCGCCAGACAAACTCAACATTTGAGCGTGGAAACCTCATTCTTACAAAAAGATACTGGACAAATAAAAACTAAATATGACTTTATACCCAGTGTTGGACAACATTTTTTCAGGCAAGATTTATTTTTAAGCTATATAGGTAAAATATTTTTATCATAAAATTACATAATTTATATATATAACAAGCGACCCTCCATGCCGCCCTACTTTACGATTGTAAGTTAGGATGTATTGAAAATTTTTTTTATAACATAAAGGGCAAATGAATGTGCCGCTTCCCTGATGGTAAATCTTTATTGCAATTATGTTGCTAGCCTTTTAAGAAAGAATATACTATTTTTTAAGGTTTTAATGTCATATCTGATCAGAAATACAGCTGCTTAAAGTTGCTTTCATATTTTGTTGTACATAGAAGAAAATTTCTACATATTAAACTTCTTTAAAATATATAAACCCTATATTAGAATTTATTGGGTGGTTTATGTATTATTATTATGTTCATCTCTTTATATAGTTTGGTATACATATTATAAACACAAGAAAATTTTGATATAATACTACCAAATGCAGTAATTGTTTGCAAATTACAATTCTATAATAAAGTAGTTGAGCCAATAAAGATTGTTTTATATAACTTTTCTGTCTTTTATGTTGCAGCAAATAATACACATATAATTTAAATTAGTTAAGCAGTTTCTAAGATACAAACCTACATTACATATTACATAAATTCACATTAAATAAAAGTGTTACTTAAAGTGGCTGTGGATGTATTTTTAGAGAAACCAAAATATTTTTAAATACAATTTAACACCTAATGAAAAATATCAGTGCATGGTCAAAAGGAATAATTATTTTGACCATGTACTAATATTTTTTATTTTAAAATAAAGATAACTTTAACAATACTTCCCAATGTATATTATATGCTTCTTTAACATTTCAGGTATGCTGGAACATGGATCAAAGTAGACAGAACTCGGGAACAACAAACACTTGACTTGCATATGGGTATACCATGGGAAACAGTCACTTTGACTGCTTTTGGGCGTAATAAACAACTTTACTATGATATACTTGAAGAAGGTAATATATGAATAAATAATGTCCCTATCTATAATTTAAATGCATATTTAAAACACCATTCAGATTAACTATAATTGTAACATTTTGTATTTAGTCAGTAAACCTAACTAAAAAATTAAAAACAATACTGAAGAACTAGCAATATAAATTAATTTTGCTAAGGAATACTAGTTTTTTGCTTGCTAAAATCAATTAAATATATTACTATATAATAATATATTACTATATAAATATATACTTCCAGATAACATATCATAATAAAACATACACCAGTTTAGTTACACCTTCAGAAATACAACTGTGAAAACTGCATCTAATTTTGTGTAACAGTTTGTGTATGATGCTGGAAGTAACAAATTCATTCAATTACAGTTACAATTAGCACCTAACAATCTTGATTATAATGAATATCCTAATATAGTATCTATAAATGAAATTTGTCTCATAATAAACATTCCAGCACGTACTATGGCTTTAAAACAGCATGAGGGTATGACGGTAATGTATACTGCAATGGGTTCTGAATGGCGACCATTTGGACACCCACGGCGGCGTCGTCCGCTCCACAGCGTCGTGCTTCGCTCTGGCCTGGCAGAACACATCTTAGCAGATTGTTTAGACTTTATCAACAACCCTCAGTGGTATACAGATCGTGGCATTCCCTACAGAAGAGGTAGGAAGGAAATTTAATGAAAATTTATTAAACCTAAGTTGTTGTCTATACTTGCATGGTTTTTAAATAATTAGTGTAAAAATTATTTCCATTGTTTCTGCCTACCCTAATGGGAGACTGGCGTGACAGATATGTATGTATGTATGTAAAAATTATTTCCATTGTTTCTGCCTACCCTAATGGGAGACTGGCGTGACAGATATGTATGTATGTATGTAAAAATTATTAGATTTTTTTATTCTGTTCCCTAAATTCTCTATTTTTGAAGCCTATAGTTAACTAGCCCACCTAATCATGAAATTAAACTTTCAGGTTACTTATTGTATGGACCTCCAGGCTGTGGCAAGTCATCTTATATAATGGCGCTAGCCGGTGCATTAGAATACAACATTTGTGTTCTAAACTTATCTGAAAGAGGTCTTACGGACGATAGACTGAACCATCTACTCAGGTAAAAAGTAAGAAACAAATATATTCAATAGCTGTGACATTTTTTTAGGCAACTTAGCAATCAAGCTGATGGTTCACCTAATAGAAAATGGTAATCATTGCTTGTAGATATAAAAAGCACCATTAAGATCACATATGTTGTGATCTTAATGGTGCTAACATCTTAATGTTACTGTAATATGCATGTTATCCTTAGTGGATTGTCATTCCTGTGAAATACAAGAGAAACGACATATATACCGAATTATATTATTATCACTGTGGATTTGCAATATGCATTTATGTAGACACAACATAGTTCTATTATTCATTTCTATCTTTTTTCTTAACATGTTAATATGTAACTACCATGTAACGATGTTCGTTTCCATATTTATGATGAAAACGAACGTTAGCTGCTTTTTTTTATCCTAATCAACCAATATATCTTGGTCACACAAATGAAATAGCTGTTAAAAAACTAAAAACATAGTTTGTCGTCACCTAATCATCTCATATAATACGACGCGAATGCATGCTGCATCCTGTGCAAATAAGCGTAGTTGACGACTCATATACGATACATAATTATACACAACGAAATGCTAATTAATAATGCTAACATTAAAGTACAGAGAATTATACCCTCGATCACATTGCACCAAAGAACAATCATTACATTAACAATATCCCACAAAACCTCAACGCCCGGTGTCTGTTACCTCGTCCGCACACACTGCTATCCCCTGACTGCGAGGGGTACAGGTACGGACCTGAAGCCTGAGTTGTTTGCCTGAGCATTTTTCGAGGGTTTACCGACCTAGGAAAATAATAATAAATAATGGATTAAATTAAATTAAGGAAACCAAGCCTATGCCATTTGATGGCACCAGCTGAAGAAAAGTGAGAAAAAATGGTCGATGTAAATTCAACGTTATGTCGACGTAAAAACGTTATGTCGATCATATTGCGCGGAAGCTTATCTTCCGCGCAATATGATCGAGAGAAACACAGTAAATTGTAATTTGATGCAGTGACGTAACATCCCTGGTGATACATTTATTAATAATTGATTAGCCTCATTCTACAGTATCTGCTAACTCTACAGAAATTGCATATGAGACACAAAGTGAAGACTATAAAGATTGTTTGTTAAAAAATAAAAAAATAATTTATTGCAGTGTAGCTCCTCAACAGTCGATCATACTTCTTGAAGACATAGACGCAGCATTCGTATCACGAGAAGACACCCCACAACAGAAAGCAGCATACGAAGGTCTTAATCGCGTCACATTCAGTGGATTATTGAATTGCCTCGATGGTGTCGCATCCACTGAAGCGCGAATAGTATTTATGACTACCAACTACTTAGAAAGGTTTGTTACTTATAGATAAAGGATTTAGAGAGAAGTACTGTTCTATACATACCTAGTAGTATTATTGTTAATATTATCATTATTGTTAGTAATATTGTTGCTAAGAAAATAGTGGCAGTATTTTCAGATTAATCCTGCAACCGATCATCTTAATAATATGTTGGTCTCATGTTTACAATTTTATAATTGTACAGAATAATGCACATGGGTGAGCTTGTATGAAATCCGAACGTATCGCATTTTGTGTTTAGTGTGATAGATAAAAAAGGAAGCCTAAATATAAAAAAGTGTTAGCACGATTTTGCGAATAAGAATTCATGACAAATGGTTATAAAATTTAAAAAAATTATCAAAATCAATCAAGTATTGGCAAAGGCATCGCGAAATACAAAATAGTTGAATTGGAAACCTTTTTTTGAAGTTACAGGAATAGGAATATGAACATTCGGGAAACAATAAGACATTTTAGATATAAATCACTTCTAGAATACTGTTTGTAGTATATTTAATTTTGTTTTCCATTTTAACATCTGTGAAATGATTTTTTTCTCTTTTAGATTAGACCCTGCCTTAATTCGCCCAGGAAGAGTAGACATGAAGGAATATGTAGGATACTGTGACCAAGAACAGGTGGAACTTATGTTCTTGAGATTTTACAAAGGAGAACAAGCTGCAGAACATGCTAAAACTTTCGCTAAAATGTAAGTATAATTGGTTCTTTCTTCAAATAGAAGTTACTGATAAAGTCTAAAAGGTCTTATTAAAATACTTGATTGTTCTTTAGTGTAAGCATCTTTATATCCACAAAACATGAAAATAATTATTTTATATCACTAATTTATTATACAGGGTCCTTGAACAGAAGAAAGACGTCAGTCCAGCACAGATACAAGGCTACTTCATGTTCCATAAGCATTCACCACCAGAAGATGTATTGTCTGATGTTGAAACGATATGGAAACTTGGATAACATAAATTTGTGATTAAATAAATTTAAGTGTTAGAATAAATAAAAAGCATAACTACCAAATTTTGTTATAATTATATTATGTGAATAAAAGAAAAACTTATAACTAGTATATAATAAATATTTTGGTACTATAAACTATTTTAACATGTAAAAAAAAAACAAATTTGTAAGATCTGAATAAAACGAAACTTAAAAATTACACAGGTAAATTATGTATAGGACAAAGGGTAGTGTTTATTTACAACAAATAATTATTGATATTTTATCCTGATCAATAACAGACAGTTTAAATATATAATTTTATCCTATACTGTAAACAATAACTACTGTTAATATAACTTACAGTCTTACTTATAATTTAATATTTTGCTCCACAAAACCTTTAATCATGGCAAAAACAGTATTTTCATTTAAAAACTAGACTACTGAACCGATTTTGATAAAATTTCTATGCGACTATGTTTGTTAAAAGAATATACTGATATTCATTTAGATAAAATAATTTTCCAAATCGATTTATAAGTGACAAAGTTCTAAAATAACAAACAAAAAAATATAACTGAATTGAGAATCTTCTTCTTTCTTGAAGTCAGTTGATACAACAACCTGCTTAGTTAATAAACCAATACTAATCAATGACAAAATCATTAAAAATAAGCGATGTTAAAGTAACTAACTAATCACTGATTTTATTTTTCATTATTGTTTTAAATACGGTCGAGACTACAGACTAGACACCGCCAGTACCTCAACTTATATGAAAACTAAATGTATCACTATTAAACAACTTGATGTTATAAAAGTACCTTTCAAACTAACATCATCTGAAAAGCAACTTTCTAATGCAGTTTAAAAAAAATTGGTATTTTATATGGAGCTATATTTCGAAAAGTCGCCAATTCTCAACTGATGTCGATAATTCTTATTGCAATCTACAGAAGTTGAGAATGGAAGGATTACGTGTAATCAGAATGATGACACACCCCACTGATTGTGTTAATGGATATAATAAAAGATAAAAGATGGCAGCATTCGTATTAATTCTATATTTGTCACGATTTATGCTACTTTTTAAAGTTCTTTTTTTTTTTTGCAGAACAAAAATCTACTAGTTGTCTAATTTCGACATAGATATTTATGTAAAAACTTGCACTTTGCATGTATTAAGCGTTGTACGGCGTCTGTTAATTCACTTAACATTTTTTTGTGCAACTTGGAATGGCAAACAAACTAACCGTCGCCTATAGACATGAACAGTACTATGCACATTACAGAGTACACTATGTAGTTGACTGAGTAAGAGCTCCTTACAGTCTTACAATAAAAAAATACACTTGTGATAGACAGATGTTCAAAATAGGTTTAGATGACTTACAAGTGCTTCTAATCTTATGTCTTAATTAAAGTAATAAATTTTATTATAATAATCTATTGATATTGACACATAAAATTACAAATAAACATAACTACTAACTGACTAAGGAATACTTAATTACATAGAATTTTGATAAACACTGTTTAGATAAATAGTGTCTTAAATATTTTTTGTGGTAAGACTGTTATTAATGCTTGTGACTAGTAACATTTTAATGCATATTTCATAAAATTAAAATATAATTACAAATTATAAGTAAGGCTGATTTGCTATATAATTATTTTTCCAGAATCTCACTTTTGTCTTATTTTAATAACAATTACAGCGCCCTATTTCAATCATAAATACACATCTCGGTGGTCGATATTAATCAAAGATGAAAGCAGCGCTTTAAGATAAAACAAAATATACGTCATTGTATGTTTCTAAAATAATAATAAAAAGCCTTATGATACATCTTTTTTATAATTAATAGATTTTAAGAGGCATAAAAATCTTTTAGTTATTTCATGCACTTCAGCACTAATTTTTTGCGAGTTAAATAAAATTTTGTTAACTACATCTCCTTGATATATCTTAATTATTTCCCATTGCCAATTAGCAGATATTTTAACCATATCAATATGCATTCGCCCTCCATCTTTTATGTCAATATAAAAAATATTTTGTAAACAATGTAACGATAAACAAAGAATTACAGGTTTAACATTGTCTTGTTTAAAAACTACTTTAAATTTTATTAAACAATAAAAATGTTGATTTATTTCATTCCTTGAATCTAATAATAAAATATTGTGCATTTGAAGTAAAGTTTTAAAATACTTAAATGGAGAGTAAGTTTTTGTGTTGGGCATTTCAACTGTATCTAAAATAATATAATCATTAACGATTTTTGGTCTTTCATCAATGTTACTTTCTACCGACGGTGTACTTGCATTTGCTATTTGTAACATCGAAACATTTGGAGCCTTATTTAAGTTTTGTATTTCAGCTGTATTTAAAACATAAACATTATTCATATTTTCATAAGGTACATTAACATTCTGGTTGACACAATTTTGTAAATTTTGATTCAAATGCCAAGACTTATTTCCTATTGTATTTTGTTGAGTTACATTACGCGTTACATTTACAGGCATCAATTCTGATACTGGCTTTACTTTTATTCTAGGTGCAGGTGTTGGTGTTGATACTTCATTAACATTTTTATTTGATTGTAAATTTGTAGATACTGGATTGTTTGCTGCAGGATCGTTAATTTGATTATCCCCTTGACAAGCTAATGATGTCGTAGAAGTAATGACTGGCATACATAAATTGCCATCAGGTACTTCATCATCTAATTCAATAAAAATAGTATCATCATTGTCTTCATTTCGTACATTGTTGTCTGTTACATTATTATTTGGTTTAATTTCAGCAACAGTATTTTTTTTCGGCAATTGTTTTGGATTAGCAACTGGACTAGCATTAAGTAACTTACTAGTTGAATTTGCTTCTAAATCAGCACTTGTTGTATATAACACAGCTTGGTTTCCAACTGGCATTGTAATACTAATTTGTTCTTGAGAATGGTTTATTGAACTGTTTGAAGAAGATATTGGGATAATTGTATGTGGTGTTGTTTCTTGTTCAGGAAATACACCGGTCTCGTTTATCCAAACAAAATCAATACCATTTTCCTTTTGACAGTCTTTTATTTTTGTTAAAATTCTAACGTAAGTCGACGTTGAACCTTTTGGCTGCCAAGTAATATCTAGATTTTGATGTTCCATAAATCTTAGTAATCCAGTACAATTAAAGCCTTGTTTATTTATTATTTTTCGTCCTATACTTAAAAATTTGTGTTGTATATGAGATTTTAGGTCGGACTTTTTACTATAATCTGTAACTCTTTTTGTATATTTATTATAACATATTTCAATAATATTCTGAATTGTTTTATGATCATCATTGGTATCTTTTGCATCATCTATAGTGTTGGAAACAACGTTACTCGCTTCTGAATTACTTTCTGATGATTCAGAATCGATATTAATACATACTTGATTTTTAGATTTAGAATCAACAGTCTTATTTTTCTCTTCCTCAAAATCAGATGATGAATTATTATTATCACATTTATTAGGTATTACTACTGTTTCATTTGATTCGCTTCTGGACAGTAATCGAAGTGGTTTTCTATTTTCACGTTTTATAAGAACTTCATTATCAGAATCCGAACTTTCAATGCGATTAGAAACAGTCTTTTTATTTTTAGCTGTATATATAATATAATAATTTATATCGTTTACATGTTGTATAAATTGGCTTTGACTATATTGTACTTCATTCTTGAAGGAGCAACCTTTGTGGTCATCAATCTTGTTCATTTTAACTACACAAAAATACTTAAATACGTCTGAAAACTTTCTTTTAATTTTTGAATGATGTGTTAATGAATGTTCTAATAAAAAGAATTTATTGGGGAAAAATTGAGAACAAAATTTACATATAAATATTTTTTTGTAGTTTTTGTTCATAATGCTTGTACCCTCTTTTCGTGGGTTTTTACAAATCTTTGTAAGAGAGTCATCACTATCTATATCTGCTACTGAAGTAGTAGTGGAGGATATAGAACCTATAGAACTTCTTTTCCTTTTCTTGGCTTTTGATTGGACTCTATTTTCTCCTTGCTTTATAGTTTTTAAATTAATACCTGCACGTAATGAACACATTTCTTCTTGACTTTTTGAACAAGACTCTTGTAAAGACGTCAAATTTTCCTAAAAGAAATGTTACGGTATAAATAAAAAAGTATTATAGATTAAAATATGTAAGTACACGCAACCTCACTGCTTTATTTATTTTACTTACATTTTCCAAGCTTAGCTTAACTTTTAAGCAATTTTGTTTTTCTAAAAAGGAATTTTTTACTTTATAATATTCACTCAAAATAGCTTCACATTTTTTGCATATTAATTGCGGTAATCCATCAAATGGTGCCACCTGAAACAGTATTTTATATAGCCAAAAATTAATAAAATTAAAAAGAAATAAATAATATATATCTATAATATATCATTAAGATTCTACGTCATACATTAAAAAAGAAATTAATTGTACGTATTTTTATGGTATAAAACACGAACAATTTTTTCCACTTAATGGTCTTGCTTGCGCTTATGTAAATATGGTGGCAATACAATAATAATACGCTAATGAGTTGGTCTGTTGATGAAGATAGAATGTACCCATAAAAACTCAAAAACTACCGTCAATTAATCCGTCATGTTTGAAGCTTGTTTATCTTAGCAAAAATTATAATCCTGTATGATGTTACATTTTAAGATTCTTGATTATTGTCGAAAGCCCTATTTACTCCAGGGTATAGTGGTGGAACTCTTGACATTTACCATCTATACATATAGTTAAGATAAATATATGTCCAGAGTATTGCAAAAAACTACACATAAATACATAAATAATTACTACTTTTACCAGAAGGAGACTTTGTACAAATGTCGATTGCTTGGGTACCTCTGTCCCATTCGTGTTTCAACCGTGAAACAGTTGTGTTTGCAAGGTTGTGTTTCGATTTGAAGGGTGGTATATGGCGTGAATTTACTGGATACAGAGGAATAATACCTAAGTCGTCAAGAATGGCAACGCATTAGAGGTATCATGGGCCAAACAGTATACTCTGTTATGTCCATATGCTCATATCTATAGGCGACGGTTACCACTTTCCATCAGGTGGGCCGTCAGTTTGCTTGCCATTCTAAATTGTATAAAAAAAAACTCAGTTTTTATAATAAGTATTAATATATATATATTTCTTCTGTCCTGAAAGGTTATGCATAAATACTTCAGTGGTTAGAACAGCTATATATAGATAGTACTATTAATAAAAAGCATATTATATTAATCACCTTATTTTTATACTAATAAGATGCCTACTAACAATATGCCAACATAATGGTTGAGGAAGGCAGCAGAGTCCCTCTAAAAATATCACCAAAACCTGAGTACAGTTGACAACCTGCCTGCCAAGCAAGGCAACTACTGGCAAAACCCTCATAGGGGGAGGCCTATGTTCAGCAGTGGACAATTAATAGCTGATATTATATGGTAAAATGCCAATTAATCCTGAAGTGATTTAACACAAAATGCAACACTCAAAGAGATATCACAAATTACTCTTTACTTTATTGAAACTTTCCCCTTTCCACCTAAGCCTCTTATAGCAAGAAAAAAGTCAATGGCCTTATTTAGCTATAGTTCTGTGTGTCAACAGTTTTTTTTAAATTTACTACTGAATAGGATACTCATCAAGTTACATATTATTTGTCTTGTAGGTATTTATTGTGGTTCATGTAGAGAAAATTAATAAATATCACAGATAATTAATTCATCCACAATTAACAATAATAATAGCTTTAATTGTTGTAGACACATTTAATTATATTATTATTTTTCCTGTTTAAATTAATTATAATTTTATATTTTTATTATGAACTGTCCATTATCTGTATTACTATTTTTAAACTGTGAATTCTTTTCCAAAGGTTTAAGCAAGCTCATAAAGTATTTTAATTAATAAATGTTGTAATTAGGAATAAAACTAACAGCAGACAAAAATGTATGTAAGTACTACTTACAAACTCAAAACTCACCTCAATATCAAAGCAAAATTTTATCTGTTTTTGAACCGCTGGAACTATTTGGTAAAGCCCCATATCCTCTAAACATAAACGACAGGTAATAAACAATTTCGGATCAACTGCTACTTTATCCATTGTTATAATCTGTATCTATTACTTTTTCTGTAAATATTAAACATACATTAGAAAAAAATTACAATTTATATTTTTGTTCAGAAACAATTTTTTATTAATTGATAATAGTTGTCACTATTATCAAATATTAAATACTAGCTTTTTCCCAGAGCTTCATCCACATGATTGAGATATATTAACTGACTGGAACAAAAAGAAGCCTTCCTTTCCATCTCTTACATTATTTATATACCAAAGTTCATAGTAATTAATTAAGCCTTTTAAACACTAAGTGGTCACAAACAAACTCACTTTCACATTTACAACAATATAATTATAATTTTTTACTTTGGGTACTTATGTACAAACTACATCTAGAAATTATTTAAGGCTTAATTATAGTGTTACTATACAACTATAAATTCTTTAAGCAATAACCATTCTGGTTTGACCATAGCTAAAAATAATATATTATATTGAAAAAACTTGATACTACTTATCACATTTGCAAATATCTACTTATTATTAAAAAAGCTGGGTAGTGGGTACTCTTATGGGCGGCCTGAATTAATTTTTGATTGAAATTGATTATTTTAAATCCATTTGTTTTCCTGTTACCCCTTAATACAAGGATTTAGTTGCAACCAAACTATAGGCAAAAAGATGTCACTTAACTTACTTTAAACCAAAAGCGAAGGGCTATAACGTTACAATAAATATAGTTACCTACTTGAGTAAATATATAATCTAAACGAAAAGTAAAATGTATATCTACACCACTTAATGCAATATAATCTCCCGCCAAAATTTAATGAAGAGATTTACCGCAAGACGGATACTATCGTAAACAATACCATACACAATAAACTAAAATACTTACAGGTTAAAATTACACCAATTTTAGTTGGTAAATGAATAGGTTACTTTTAACACTACATCTAAATACAAGATTCAATGACCTAAGTTTTGTTGAATTTAAAAAAAACATTTATTTTTATCATTAAAGTTGCAAACAATTTTAAACTTTCTACATCAAATCAAATACTGAAATAATTATTTAACACAAATATAATAAAAGAGCAAATGGCAGCCAGTCAGTTAAAAAAACAACTCTATTTCGGCTATCTGTCAATTTTATTTAAATATTAATTTAAGCGCCATCTAATGATATTTCCCTGGACTTTTTAGTTATATAATATGTACTACACTTCTGCCATCTAGTGAAATCAACTGAACTATTAGTTGATTTTATACTTAGCCTGCCATCTAACGACAAATAAAATCAATTCTTTTATTACAACATTCAACCTACCACGCTGGCATAGACAGACTAATAGTGTATACCGGCTGCAAATCCAGCAACCCGGAGGTTGTCGCCTCCGGAGTAGAAGCCGGGGTAATGGGATACGCCACGGGGCCCCTACCTCGCCCGCCTACACATCATCTGGCGGGCAAATAGAAGACCCTGTTGTTGTTGTTGACATTCAAGCTTTATCCAATGCACGATTCATCAATGAGACATGACAGGTGAGGATGAAAACAGTTCAGTAAGCCCGTGGTAACAAATTTCACAAAAATTAACCTTGAAGGTTTCTAAGGGGTGAGGGGAGGGGGGGGCGTGAAGGTCGATCTAATAAAGTATATTAATAGCAATGATGCTGTTAAACCCTATTTCTCGCAGTACATAAGTAAGAATCGACACCTCTGTCGCTCCTCTCTCGCGAGCTTAGAGTGCCGTCTGCACTCGCCCCTGCATACGCGTCCGGTAAAGCTGTTAAGGCCACCCACGGCCAACAGCACATTCAGAAAAAAAAAAGTTAAACCAACTGACGATTTTGTTCTTCTATATTAGAGACTTACACCTAAAATCTTTTTCTCCCCGTCTTGACGATAGCGATAAGAATTAACCATAGCGGTTTCCCAATCATAGGGATGTAAGAATTTTAATTCTCAATTTAGAATAATAAAATAGAAAAATAAAATGTATTTATTTTAGGTATACAGGTACTTACTACAGAATTAATCACATTACAACTGTTCTTCATAATAAACATGCAGCTGACAGCACGGTTTAATATTTGTAGATATTCCAAACGTCATCTAGCGAAATGAAGTTTAATTATTAAGTTTTCTTTTATTTGCGTATAGTCCTGGCATCTATCGACATAATAACAAATTATAATTGTTTTAAAATTCTGATATTGACAGTTTTATGTCGAAAGCTTTGACAACGTCGCAATTATTTGTCAATTTTCAAAAACAATTGGATAATTTTCAATGTTCCTGATCGATCATTAGAAAGTGCTCTACATACGAACTAAAACGTTAATACGAGTATCGTAGAATACTTTGCTTTAAAACTTTTCAAATACTTTTTTGTTACCAAAAGCAAAATTTTCAGAAACAATATAATAAGTATATTATTGCATCTTTAACGTTTTAGTTCGCTAATAGAATATTTTTCATCAACTAGAAACACATAAAATAATTATTTTTGAAAATTGACAGATGTTTGCGACGTTGCTACACTTCGTCAAGTTAAAATTGAACGCTCTCTGTTAGCGAACTAAAATATTAATAATGCAAAAACAATTTTAGAAATCTGTCACAGAAAATTTTGATTTTAAAAGAAAAAAGTTTTCAAAAGAAATTTCTCCTGCAAAATCTCAGGCTGTGGAATGAGCTTCCTACCGAGACTTTCCTTAGAAACTTCAGTATGAAGTTTTTCAAAAACGTTGTATTAAGGTTTCTTCAGAATCCGTGCGAAGCTTCAGAAGAAGTTGCGTGAGCTGTGCAAAGAGGTGGCTAAGTTGCGGGCTGCTTGGATGGCTGCTCCGCCTACTATAGTCTCGGACAATGCGTCGGAGCTCATCGTAGGGAGTGAGCTGAATGCGTGGTGGGCACAAATTACTAGAAACGTCGGCGGCATCATGTGGTCGCAGTTGACATTCTTCATGAGGGAGGTCAGGGAGGTGATGCCCCTCCTGACCGCCCTCAGGTGGGTGGCCACGGCGCTGTCAGCTCAGGCATTGGACGTCACAGAGGAGAGGATTTGCCAGCCATTTCGGTGGGGGGTGGTGGTTCTTTCGCCCAGATTCCGGCGGAACTATCGGGCGTCCAGAGTCGGAGTTCGGCTTCTGAAGCTCGAGCGGAAGACGAAGTTGTTCGGGGCCGGGCTTCAGTCCTAAAGGCCCAAAAAATAGGTGGTAGGAGACGTCACAAAATGGCGGCGTCCTGGCCAGAAAATAGCCGGCCAGCCTTCGAACCGACTTCCCCGGCGGCTCAACCGGCCGTGGGCTTATGGGCGATGGTTGTGAGGGGTAACGAGGAAGGCTGGTTCATGTTCAGGAGGGGCAAATTGGGGCTACCTCAAGCCGCCAAACTGTAAAGCCTAAACCCAAGAAGAAGCCCAAAAAGCCCTCACCGTCAAAGTTACGGCTGCCGCACTCAGCTGCGGTAGTTATAACTATCGACCCAGCGGCTGAGATGGAAGGCGTTACTTATGCCAACATCCTGACCGAGGCCAAGAAAAGGATCGATTTTCGTAACCTCAGAATCAAGGGGGTGAGGATGTGGACGGTGATAACAGGCGGTCGGATCATTGAGATCCCCGTAGCCGACAGTGGCTAGAAGGCGAATGTTTTAGCATCCAAGCTCCGGGAGCGCATTTTGGAGGAAATGGCGAAGGTCACCAGGCCTACTAAGACCGCAGAAATGTGCGTAACGGGCTTGGATGACTCTATCACGCCCAAAAAAGTCGCCACTGTCTTTGCATGTAAAGGTATGACTGTGTTGCGGGGGACGTCCAAGTGGAGGAAATCCGCCGTAATTTCTTCGGTCTGGGGGCCTGCTAGGTCCGTGGCCCATTAAAAAAGTCACCACCGCGGTGCACATTCGCATCTGTTAGGTATCGGCACGGATCAGTCAGCGCCCCCCTAGGGCTCCCGGCGGACCATTGGGTGGGCGCAAAAGAATGTGCCCCACCCAAAAAACAAAAAAGAGGCGCGACTGTTGTGGTCTCCAGACGCTGCATGAACGGCCGTAGTTGCCAACGCTCGCGGCAAGGTTCTTAAAGAATGGGCGATTGTTATACTCAACCGGGGGTCAGTCGCCACATGCGTGCGCTGGCAGGGCGAGTCTATTGTGGACATATCGCTCGCCAGTCCGGCCATCGCACGTAGGGTGCAGAACTGGAAAGTCATGGATGAGGTGGAGTCTCTGTCCGACCATAGATATATTAGGTTGGACCTGCTCCCCTCTCTGATGCTTCTGCACCCGGATCGCCGGGGGAGAAGCAATGCTCCGACGCTCCCTAGATGAGCATCGAAGCGTCTTGATAAAGGCGTTCTGGTGGAAGCTTCCATCGTGCAGGCCTGGATCTGAGTCAGGATCTAGATCTGGGCCTGTGGAGGTCGAGGAGGAGGCACGTCGGTTTGGCGACGCAATGTCGCAGATCTGCGACACAGTGATGCCCCGGGCCGGCCCTCGACGTCAAGTGTACTGGTGGTCCGATGAAATTGCGCCTTTACGCTCAGAGAGCAATGCCGCCAGACGCCAGTATCTCAGACACCACCGTCGAAGGCAGAGTCGCGACGCCGAGACGGAAGCGCAGTTGTACGCGGTCTTCAAGGAGAATAAGAAGACCCTAGAACTGGCCATCAGCAGGGCCAAGGTTAAGGCCAGAGAGGAACTTCTGAGAACTCGCAACGAAGACCCATGGGAGCGCCCCTATAGGAGTCAGGAGCAAGCTCTGCTCCGGGGCGACACCTGCGGCGGAGGGTCTCCAGCCACAGCAACTGGAGGAGGTGCTAACAGGTTTGTTTCCGGAACAACCAGAATATCAGCCTCCTTCTATGATACCGCGGAACCAAAGACAGGAAGAGGGCGGCGACACCGAATGCGCTGGGGCTCCGCCGATCACTTCAGTGGAGTTCTCACTGGCCGTGGACAAGCTCCGGGGGAAGGGTACCGCCCCCGGGCCAGATGGTGTCCCCGGCCGGGTCTTGGCCTTGGCTCTGGATGTCCTTGGCAGGGTTGTCCTGCTCCAAAAGGAGGGTCGCCCTGCCTCTCTCTGCCCTCGCTATTTCGCCCGATCGTGCTGCTGGATGAGGTCGGTAAGCTCTTTGAGCGGATAATAGTGCGCCGACTCGTCCAGCACTTGACCCGGGATGGCCCTGATTTGTCCCCGAACCAATATGGTTTCCGGGAGGATCGCTCGACCATAGACGCGCAGGCACGTGTTCGCACCCTCTTGGAAGAGGTGGTTTTCCAGGGCGGGGTGTTGTTGGCTGTCTCTTTGAACATCAAGAATGCCTTTAACACCCTGCCCTTTGCCGTCATCAGGAAGGCACTCGAATATCATAAAGTGCCTCCTTACCTTCGGGACATAATCGGGGCCTATCTCGAAGACCGGGAAATTTTCTGTGTCGGGCGGAACGGTATGGCAGTACAGAGGGACGTACAACGCGGCGTTCCACAGGGTGTGGTCTTGGGCGCACTGCTCGCGGGCACAAGTGTCTTCTGCTATGTTGAGGACACATTGGCTACTGCCCGGGGACGGGCTTCATGCAGGTTGTCCGTCGTGCCACAGCGAGCGTGGCACTAGTTGTCGGTCGTATACGTCGGTTAGGACTCAAGGTGGCACTCGAAAAGTCAAAGGCGATCTATTTTCATGGTCCCCGGCGAGCGCCACCCCCAGGAGTCCACATGATGGTCAGTGGACACAGAATCGAGGTCAAGTCTCACATTCGTTACCTCGGGCTGGACCGCAGCTCGACAGCAGGTGAAACTTTCGTACTCATTTCAGAAATCTGGCACCCCGCCTTATGACGGCGGCTGGTGCACTCAGCTGGCTGCTGCCTATACATGGGGGTGGTGCAGTCCATGGCCCTATATGGGCCTCCCATCTGGGCGGGAGCGTTATATAGGATGAATGTGGCCTGCCTCAACAGACTACAGAGGGCCATGGCCATCCGAGTCCTGATGGGATATCGCACCATCTCCCGCGAGGCGGTATGTGTACTGGCGGGGTCCCCGCCCTGGGACCTAGAGGCAGAAGCTCGCGCGTCGATCTACAAATGGCGCGCGGAGCGACGTTCCCGGGGCGAGTTCTCCACCGAGAGGGAAATGAGTTTACGGAAGTCCTGCGCTCGGCGGATCCTTCTGGAGAAGTGGGATGAGAGGTTGGCCGACCAAGGGGCCGGGCTGAGAACCGTCGAGGCTGTCTGCCCAGTGCTGAAACACTAGTTGAGCAGGCGGCGCAAAGGTCCACTGACCTTTCGGCTGACACAGATACTGACCGGTCACGGTTGTTTCGGTCAGTACCTGTGTCAGATTGCGAGAAGAGAGCCGACAACTGAGTGCCATGAGTGTGGTTGCGACCAAAACACGGCGCAACATGTTCTAGAAGAATGCCCAGCGTTCAGTGCGGAGCGCCGCGTCTTGGTTGCGGAAGTGGGGGATGACCTCTCGCTGCCGAATGAAGTTCGGAGAATGGTCAGTAGCGAGAGGTCATGGAACGCAATGCTCACCTTCTGTGACGCGGTGATATCGCAGAAGGAGGCGGCCGAGCGGGAGCGGGAGAGTGCCCCCACCACTTCCGTCATGCGCCGCCGCCGAGCCAGACAAAGGAGAAGGGGCGCGCCCAACTCCGCCTCTTCCTTCCCCTCCCCCCCCCCCTCTCTAGGGTCGGGGTGTTGCCTTGAGGGAGGCACACCCTACATATGACCCTAACAGGTGTGCGCACGTATCCGTGCCCTCTTGTGATGGTAGGGTGGGGGGACATTCCCCATCCTAACCACCTACAGGGCGGGCCGTCGCGTTGGATACTCAGTAGTCGTACAAACGGGAACCCGGGATCCAACATAAGCGCCTCGAGGTACGTCGTGTGGTTTTTAGTGGGTACGAATCCCACACACCCCAGCTGCCCTCCCTCCGGCAGAGGGCACGGTCTTGGTGAAGATTTTCCACACGTTAAACAAAAAAAAAAAGGTATCGGCACGGACGGGACTGCTGCGGCAAAGGCAGCTGCGTTGCTTCCCGTGCCTGGAGAGCGAGTACATGCTCACAGAGTGAAGTGCTCTCATAAGGAGGACCACAGTGGTGCATGTTTCCGCTGCGGTATTAATGGACACAAAGCTGCGGAATGTGCCGCCATCCCGCGATGTGTAATCTGCGCCGCGGCGGGTTTTCCGGCGAATCACTGGGTGGGTGCAAAGACTTGCACCCAATCCAAAAAGAAGCAGCCGAAGCGGCCAGCCATTCAGGCCCCCTCTATAAGCCACGGGAGAGAGGAGATGGACACGGACCAAGGTCCATTCCACTCCGGCGACCAGAGCGGCTAGCCGCCGTTCGCCAAAGGACCGGCGTGACGACCGCGGGGGCAGTTCCACCCCAATCAATAAAGCCCTAGGAAGTCGCGCGCGTATCCCCGTGCGTTTCCCATTGAACAGTGGACGGGCGCTTAACATTAGGTGCCCGCTCTATATTTTGAGTCGGGGCCCGCAAGCCGGTAAGGGCCAATCCCGTTGGGGCTCGGTGGACTTCGAAAAGGAACCCGGGTCTCCAACCATAGTGTTGGGGGGTCCCCAACGGGCGGACGCGGCGAGGGATGCCGTGGTGGTTTTAGCTGGTAGGAGTCCGGTAGTACCCATATGCTTTCCCCGGAGCATATGGGTTTGCATGTTTGAAGGTTATTTCTTCACCTTATTGTATGTTTCTCATTATATACACGATAAACATCATCATTCTCATAGCCTATAAATATGCCTTTAATGGCCTTCTTATCCATTTTATTGCGATATTGTTTTTAAACATACGCATAGCATCTAATAGCTCGTAAAGTACCTTACCTGCCACTCTCATGGGACCTGCGTATTGAGCACATACGTAACAGTGTTTATTAACTCAAACCATAGCACTTGCGGTAATTTTACTCTCGCGTACATTATCGATCCCGCAGCTTCTACTACAACCATTTTGCTCCGGCGTGTAAGGCATTGTTAGTCGATGCTGAATACCATATCTCTATAGTATTCGGCAGACCGCTTTTTATACTATGCCCAGTTTTTTTTTTATATCACTGAGGTAGTAATCAAGCATACGGCTTATCTGATGGTAAGTGGTTACTGTAGCTTATGAACGCCTGCAATACCCCCCTTTTGAAGAACCCCGAAGAAGCTATTATAGTTTCTTTCAGTATATGTAAAATATTTTTTTAACTTCTGACTTTTCTCTAATGAAGAAGATTAGCCGATAGCTTGAATAATTGTTCTTGAATAATACAAAGTATCTGTATTTTGAAATGCTGTCGGATGTAAAGGGACCGTAGACGTCGACGAGAACAAGCTCACCAACAGCTGTTGCTCTTTCCCTAGTTCGATTCGACGAACATAACGACGATTTCCTATGTGACGGCCCATATATGCAATCTTCACACTTTACTTTGTTTGGACTTACGTTTATGCCTAATTCACATGTAACCACGCGAATGATATGCTTCTTGTCCTGATAAGCAAAGCGTACGTGGTATAGGTGTAGCATATTGGAGTTACAGCATTCATCTCTACTGATGTACGCTTGTTTGGCATGATGGTCTTTATGTCCAGTTTGTAGAGTCCACCATGTGGAACTCTCTTGTCTACAACTCTAGTTACACCTTGGAATTCTAGATTGTATTCTTGTCTTGTACTGCTAATGTTGAAAAAAGATTTTTCGTTAGAGGAAATACTAACCACACATCACTTAAAGTTCACTCGGTACTCCAGTGTATAATATTTATCTACTACTATTTCACCTCTCATAATGGAGAACAGAGTGGCTTACCAGACTGATGATGAGAAGTAAAATGGAAGTAAATAAATATTATACACTAGAGTACCGGGTGAACAGACAGATATACACTTATTATTACACGATTTACAAAACACAATAGTTTATGTTGACACACGCGTTTATTTAGTTTTACACATGTGAGATCCGGATAATAACAAATGGTAGCTCTAAAAACCACTTATAGACTTTATATTAGTGCTATTCAACATTAATAGTTATGAGGTAACAAACATAAAAAAATAGAAAGGGATTGAGGACTTCCTTCTCTTTGAAGTCAATTGATAGACAGTAAGTTAAAAATTATTGGCATCCATCGACAAATGTAACTTGCGTCTGTTGATCTAAAAAATTGATATTTATAATAGGGAGGATAAATCCATAATCAAATTTCATACGTATGATATTCTATATATTTTTTCGACTGAGAACACGTAGATGCATGTAAGATGTGATTCTAATAGAAAATATTACTTATTCCATGAACAGCAGATCGCACTAACGTGTCTTTTTTATTAGTCCTATTTTTTTTTATATAACCTAGAATGGCAAACAAGCTGACGGCCCACCTGATGGAAAGTGGTAACCGTCGCCTATAGACATGAGCAGTACCATAGACATAACAGACTATATATACTGTTTCGGTCATGATACCCCCCATGCGTTGCCATTCCTGAGAACTCATGTGTTATTCCTCTGTACCCTGTAAATTCACGCCATATCCCACCCTTCAAACCGAAACACAGCCATGCAAACACAACAAACATTACGGTTGAAACACGAATGGGACAGAGGTACTCAAGCAAACGACTTTTGTACAAAGTCTCCCTCTAATAAAGTCAGACTGGAAAAATCTGGAATACGACCGCCACATTACTGAAAAATCCTAATAACCTGGAGAAATTGATAATTACTGAAGAAACCGAAACTTATACGTCATATTACCAAATTACATTTATATAAATTTAAAAGTTTAGGCGCACTTTCACATTTTAATAAATAGGTAATGATAAAATCCTATCGAAAACATAATAAGTATAAAAATGTCGTCCCGCAATGCAGTTGTAAGATCTCGTGTTTTTCTGATCTCAGCATTTTGGTCAGTATACATTTACAGTACAATCAGTGCACGTAATTAAGGCAAGTATCGCGCCCGTGTACTCACACATTATCAACATTTGAGTTATTAGTAGTTTATTATAATCTATTATTTTACATTAATGCCATCTTTTAATTAAAATATTTTATCAGCAGCAGCATGCATAGTGTATAAACTATACATCTTTTGGTCCCTCGGGCTTAACGTAACGCGAGTAAATTTATCTGGCAACAAAATAGATTACAAGTGCATTGGAAATCGCTAACGTAATTTAGCTAGCAGTATCATTGGTGAGTCTACAGAATCTTATTTATCTTTCCTATCGAATATCATATCTTGTTCATAATGGAATTGGTGAATGGTATTTTAGCAAACCAAATCAATTGATGGGGGCCACGGATTAGTTCCTGATCAATTTTCAAATAGACGGTGACGATATTATAAAAACGATTAAGAACTTTAAAAGTTACTGGCAAAAGCATATACTTCGTATAACGTACTTATACTTTATAATGTAAGGGTATATAGATTTCAAATTAATCATAATCTAGCTTTGCGAATTTAAAGAACGATCTCAGGAATATTATTCTGGAGAATATTATAAAAAAACAACCGATTTTTACAATGAAATACGCACCTAAATTTTTTTATAACACGAAGGTGGCAAATAAGCATACTGTCTGTCGAATGGTAAACGGTCACTATAGCCAGTGAACGCCTACGACACTAGAATATATTACGTGTGCGTTGCTGACCCTGAATAATAGACTAAAATCTCAAATTCACTCTCCTAAAATGATGAAATTTTTTGGCACTTATACTTTTTAGGGTAATTAGATGTGCTAATTACGATGTTCTATAATGGAGCTATTACATGCATAACTTTACCATGTGTCGAGTATTAGTACTGGAGCTTTCAACGGCATTTGCGTGGTAAACTTTTATACTATGGACAGATTGTCATTAAAAAACAAATAAGTTCTTATATTATAGGTAAATGCATCTGGACTAACTAATTACTTAGATGTTTTATTACAGCAATGACCATTTTTCGTAAAATAAGAGGAGAAGCAATGTTTTTGTAAAAAAAAAAAAGTATTTTCATGCATTTCGGATACCTCTCAACTTATTTGTCCTATTAAAATAATCTATATGTCAGTGTTGTAGAAAATTTAATGAACATTATCTTGTCTTTGTCAGTTTTCTGCTTACTCCAATAGTTTTTGTATCACAAATTTTTATCATCAAATGCACCTAGAACCCTATTTTTCCGATCTTTCCGCATATCTATACCGTAGTCTCTAGGAAAATCCTCAACAGGGAGCTCAGTCCATAGCCTGAACGTTCGCGAGAGAAAATTCTTTTGAATATTTGAAAATATTTACAAACTGATCTTTTAGAATAAAAAATTATTGAACTATCCACCGCAATACAAAAGTGGGAGTTTATAGCACAACCATTTGGCAACGAACAGCAGTAGTTTGTAACAGCTGGAAAATTTCACCTGTCCGTTCTGAAGGTTCTATTCCACAAACCGAACTTGTCAGCAATTGACTAGAGGAAATCTTGAGGCAACAGAAAAGCAGTTTTAAAGCGATTCAGTGAACTATTAACAATATTAACCTAGAGAGCATTACTGAAAGACGGGAATATAAAAAAAATACTGAAATTTTAGTCCAGACCAATAATAATCGATTCTCTTCAATGGGAAATAGACAATGAATATGAAAAAATCTTCAGCAGGCACGAACAGCAATACGATAATATAAACTCAGATAACTATCAAACAAGTTAACCTCTTAGGTAAATCAACACTACAATAATAAATTAATTTTCAACTCTCATATGAGCGGGGGGAAAGGGATTGTTAGTAATGGAGAGTGAGAATCCCATTGCTAGCAATATACCCAACCAGGTCGACCTCCTCGCGGTTTCCCCTGAAAACTATCATAGTTAATTCCTGATGAATTTATCATGATGGGCTAACTGGCCTGTTTTCATTCTCATCTATCACCCTTCACTGGTGTTCCGTCAGCGTACCCCGTTAGCGCGGGTGGAGTTATCGTAACCATACCATTTTCACCCATCAAAAACATAAAAAAAAAACTCTCATATGAGCTGATCCTGCTAAACCAAGCATACAACAGCAGTCCGCAGCAGCTATAAAGAAAATTCATGACACCATCAACGAGTGAATTGTGACAAGTGAGTTGAATTCGTCACGATCGGCCAACTGACCTCCTTTCAATCCAAGTGAGATTGAGAGATCATCCCTCACTGGTGCTCCGTCAACGTATACCAACAGCGCAGGCGGGGCTACCATTCCATTATTATCCATAAAAAAACCATCTTGTTTAAAATTTAAATCTTTCGCACAGCAATCAGAATAATTTATCTCAATCAAGTAACAGTTATAAAACGTATGATCTTTATTGCAAACGGGGCATTTTTGTTGTATAAAATCATGTAGCTTATTGCAATGATCATGCTATATCACATTACGTAACATTCTTAGTCTAAGAACGAAATATGAAGCAGAAAACAATTTTTATTTTTATCTATGGTTTTGCCAAAATTGTCTTTATAATCACAGGAGTAATGATTATTTTTCAACAAAAAACTGTCACTGTGTCATAAGAGTAATGTGAATCAACATACTTCGACATACGTAACCTTTGCCGTATCATCAAACGTCGAATCATCGAATATGACGATCGACCTAATTCTGTCAAATATATGTGTCGTTAAAAGACACGCGGGATGTCCAATTGGTAACAGCAAAGGTCAAAGTTTAAACAGTAGAGTAGAGGGAGGGAAGGGATTAGTAATGCGCACTACCAGCTCCCTTGCAATATACCCTGTCAGGTCGACTTCTACGTGATACCCCTGGAAATCATCGAACTGAATTCAAGTGTATTCATCACAATGGGAGAACTGATCTGCCTTTTCATCTCAATTATCATCCATCACTGATGCCCCGCCAGTGTATACCGTTAGCGTAAGCAGGGTTATAATTATCATCCATTAAAAAAAAACAGTAAAGTAGATGATAATAGCATCATCATGCACGCTCTTATATCTCATATTACAGTCACTAATGTCGAGCAGTCCACTAATGTCATGGTTTGGTATACTCATTATTTTACGCTTACACATTTTGCTCTGCTTTAACACTTACGCGCTGAACACTACTGTTTTTTTTTTATTTGAGTTGTCGTGAGATAAAGTGAAATAATGAAATAGTAACCCCGCCTGAGCTATCAGTGTACACTGGTGGGGCACCAGTGAAAGATGATAAAGATGTAAATGAAAGCAAGTCAGACCATCATGATGATTTTAACAAGAATTAAACACAATGGTTTACAGGGGGAGCCGCGTGAAGGTCGACCTGATAGGGTATATTGCTAGCAATGAGACCACTTGTCCTTATCACTAACAATTCCTTCCCCACTGCACTACTGTTACACCGATTGCTACATGAAGAAAGTTTGAGACGTCTCATATGCAAGCACGTGATTGCAGCTGCTAACAGTCCTACCGTCGCTAGGAAAATAGAGGCGTAGTAATGTCTTCGTAGAAGATTTCTTGTATTCAAAACCCATTATAACAGTAACTGTTTATTATTTTCTTTTATTGGATTTATTCCGTTGATCGATATATATTTACTGTATTATTATTAATCGCACAATCTCTAGTGCAAAGATCACCGACTCAATATTCACTTCGTTTCTAATTTTATGGAAATAACAAAGATATATACAAACGAAAATATAGTATATTTATGTTGTATTATAATGCTGACTCTGGTTACTTGTTACATGGAAGGTAACTTGATCCTGATATCTAATTTGCAAGCTGCACTTTAATAAATGTCGTAGTAAACTTTCTCTGTCATTTGACACGCGCTATTGATAAGAAATATGTAATGATGCTACGAGTATATTGCTAATTATGTAAAATTAAGATGTAAATTTATATTTATTTAGGGTATTACACCTTATGGTGTAATACCCTATTTCTAAATCTGTGATTTACATGAGATGCATCAAAATTATATTGCATAAAATATTTTGCTTTTTCATTATTGCTCATTTATCGGAATTTGTTGAATAATATACATTTATAATTTCTTAATTTTGTTATAAGCGTAAACTGATAATATACAATAAAAATAAAATACGTAATAAAAATGTTAAAGAGAATAATTAGCTTGATGATGATTAACTGTGTCGATTTATCTGAGCAGTTATTAATGATGATTAAATATCATGATTATTATTTTGTTTTATTGATTTATAGATTTCATGATATAGATATCATTGATGCTTGCTAAAAATAAGTAACGGAGTAGAGTTCAAACGATTTTGCTGAGCCACAGGCATCTCGTCATTGGGACAATAACAGACATATTAGATATCGGTTATCCAATATATAATAGTAGCTCTTACCCGCGGCCTCGCCCGAACTTATATTTTGTTCAACAATTCTGGTTGTTGGTATAGATAAAATAATTATAAAAAGGAAGCCACCCCCTTTAATGAAAGGTTTGATAAATGTTTTGAAAAAATTTTGAAGCAAATCGGACAACGCAATAAAAAGTTTCATACAAAAGTTAGCCCTATCTTACCTCACCCCCTATAAGCTATTCGTAAGAAAATCTTATAACCGTCTCCAAGATCAAATTTATACTAAAATTCATCATAACTTTTATCATTAACATCATTAACTTCAGCTGTTTAGGCGTGAAAGCGTAACAAACAAACTCACTTTAATATTTATACATAATATTAATTAGTATTGAAATGAAAAACCCTAAAGCAATGAGTACATAGGTGGTACCAAAATGGGTGATAAACTAATTTTCCGTCCAAGAATGTCCAGAGAAACCTAATATATTATTTAACAAAACGACAAACCTCTTATAAACCTATTTATATTTTCTTTTTTGTGTCAAATTCCCAATTTGAAAGTTACAAAGCAGTGTAATAATTCAAATAGGTTTGTATGTTTAATATTTACGAATAAAGGGGTTCGACTATTGATAACTTAGGAACTAGTAGGAACGAAGGAACTAGTTTCTCTATATAGTTTGTGGTAGAACTCCATTGGAATCCTTATTTATGTCCGGGTACGCTGAAAACCGTCGCAATGGTAGAAACTTAGATTGTGAAGTATACAAGTACGTACTACTAGTATAGTATTTTATTATCTATGGTTATACTAAGTTTATAAGTAGAAGTTCGCTTTTCTACTTTTTAAATATGGTAATGCATTGCTTTTTATTTACTGGCGATTTGCCCTGAATTCGCACAGGTTCACACACGCGACAAACGTATTATGTTTAATAGGCAATTTTTAAATACTTTAGATTGTAACCCAAGGTAGTTGAATAATTATGTAGCTTATCCCTTAGGTGAAATAATTTTTTAAATCGGTTTATTAATTTTCTAGTTTATCCATTATAAACAATTATATATACATATGTGAGTATACATTTGTGACATCCCTATTTAAGTAAGAAGTGAGATATATTTTATCGGCATTGATGTACTCAGAAAGGAAACTACTATAATGTCACTCTACCCAGATTTATTCTTATATTTTAGCTATTAATTTTAATAAATTAGCGACATTTCTACTACACTTACTGGGAACTTTGTTTAAATAAAAAAAAAAATCGCTGTTAGAGATTCCTTATAATTATAATGTACAACTAGGTGTTTTTTCAAGTCCATTAACAGATATTTAAACATGGTAGTATCTCTACAACAGAATTCACGATTACAAGGATAAAAATCAAGCACATTCATTTAATTCTATTCACTAGTCAAATTGATATTATAATAATATAATGTCAATATCATAATCAAAAATATTACATTAAAATGCATTTTATCAACTGAAATAAAGTTATAATGATAACAATCTATCTAAAATCACAAAATGATTAGTCACTCTGGGGATATTTTAAGTAATCCTTTAAGTATTATTCATAGCACGACTCTGCCATACATTACATTTATCACAGCACTTGTAAAAATTGCGATTGTCAAAAGACGAAAATATTTACAACTCATGTAATTAACACAGTTGAAACCCCCAGAGGATACATGGAGACTCTGAAAAGAGCAGTCAATAACATTTGCCAAATTAATTTTCCCCTCAATACTACTTACACACTAAATAAAATTGAAATTATTTATCTACGTTGACGACGTTTCCTGTTCGTGCGAACGTGATTTCCATTTTGAGAGTGGCCATGTGACGGCCCACTGGCTGATGGTGGCGGGACTGGAGGCGCGGGTGGTTGTTGAACAATAGCTAAACCCATCATATGCACAGTAGGTGTATTTGTTACAGGACCATTGCGTCTTTGCGACGTCGCAACTTGGCTATTTTGTACATGAGCTAGTGCATTAGTTCGATCCGCTGGAGGTTGGGTTGCGTTGAGCGCCGCCCTTAGTCTCTGTCGCATACGTCTACGTGCATTGCGCGACAAGTGTGCGCGGTCAGGACCGTCGGATTGATTATTGATGGTGGGTGGCGGCTCCACAGCAGCTGTTGCTACTGCTGTACGTTCAGCATTAGTGGTTTGGCTGCCTCTAGAGCTGTTCTCAATTCTAGACCTCATTTCTGCTTCTGAACGTACCAGAGCGTTAGCTTCGCGGCCGAGAGTAGCGAATGCACGTGATAACCTAGCCACGTCATTCTGCAAGTCCTGCAGGAATGGTTCTAGATTATGAGATACAGGAGCACGACCATTGTCACGATCGTTGCCTCGACTGGCCACCCGAAGAACGGCCCGCGGCTGGGTCTGGTGCGCTAGTTGGTCCGTAGGCGTACGACGGACAGATAGCTTGCCGCTAATTGCAGCTGGCGCGATCAAAGCGCGAGCATCTAATCCGGTCATCATCAGGCAGTGACCACGTTTCTTCAGTGAGCCTTCGCACGATCTAACAGACCAGACCTATAAAACCAAATATATACGGTTTTATAGAGTATTCTGTCTCTTTCCTGAGGTTAACTGAGAGAGAATGCCTTTAGTATTAAGTCTGCCATGTACACATACATGCACTAATGAATAAATAAATAAGGTTAAATACGGGTATACTACATACAAAAAAAAAAAAAAACTGTTTTGTATAAATAAATTTTTAAGCGGTTCACTACTACTTTTCCCATAACTTTCTGTTTATTAAAAGAGAAGACAAAACTTGCGATCCACGCTATTCCGAAACTCAAAGAGAAATTTGATGATTGTGTCGTCATTGTAGAAATTTTATTTCTAATGACAATTATAAGGTAATGATACAGTAGGATAATAAAATCTGTCTGCTTATTCTTCCGCTGATTTGGACGAAATTTGGCATAAAACAATAAATCATAAGGACTGAGACATTCAATATCTAATAATTACTTTTCACTCAACAATATATATACTCACATATACTTAGAAAATAAAATACTTACACAGTCAGAAAAAATTGCTTCTCTGTCGTTTCCTGATATCGTAACGGTGTAAGAAAACACATGTGCCACCCAAGGCGATGCCGCCATTGACAACCACGCACAAATTGAATCGTCTAAAAAAATATTGTTTTACTTGTAAATAATGTTATACTTAAAAAAATGTAAATACATATAAATAAAAATAGTAATCAAGATGGAAGGAACAGGTTGACCAAAATGAAAACTGCTAATACAGATGAATGGTCTGAATCAGATCGCAGATAATTTTCACACCGGAAATGCAACACAGCCAAATAATTAACGATTCTTAGTTTTGATGTATGTGAAATTTTACTACCCACACGAAGAAAGATATTTACACCGCGTGGCCAATGGTGCTTCCTCGTAGGTAGTTTTCGTACGCTTGTGACGTCGACCTTACACAGCTGATTCTATGCATCGCGGTATCGTAGATGAAATGACTAAATATAAATAACGGGAAAAAAAAAACATCCAGAAAGAATTCAGTGCTTCAGTTTGTGCCCAACCTGTGCCTTACACCCTTTATATATCTAATATATAAAATTCATGTGTCACGGTGTTTGTTACCAAACTCCTCCGAAACGGCTTTACCGATTTTTATAAAATTTTGTGTGCATATTGGGTAGGTCTGAGAATCGGCCAACATCTATTTTTCATACCCCTCAATGATAAGGGTGACCCACCCCTAAATATATTTTTAAATTTTTTTGTCAATTTTTTTTATTTTTATTATATTATGACTAAGCATCGAAAAATACACACAGCTTCAAATTTTTACCCTTTTACGATCAACTCCTGTTTTTTAATAGCGATTTTTATCTTCCGAAAAAGGGTTGCAAGATGGCAAACGAAAATAATAATTGTAGTACGAGAAATTTTCATGTATAGTCTATAATTTTCTTTAATTATATCTTTTTTCTCTATTTAAATTAATCGTAAACCTTTACCGATTGATAACTGATCAACCATTAATCGATCAGTTACATTACGGAGTTAGGATGAGAACGAAACCGACCTCCTTTCTCTCACTCTATACAGTTTACGTCAATTTTTTTTTTTTTATGTTTTACTTCTGTCACGATCATAGCAGTGACTGTTATACGTCATCATATCATTTTAACTTTTTAGTGCAACTTACATATTAATTTTATTCTCATAGTGAATTTATGATTATTTTTAAGCTGCTATTAAGTGATCATTGGTACTTTGGACAAGGCATGGCCGCATTGTCATACATTTAAATTTAAAAATCAGCCAGCTCGGATGTGTTAAGCATCAGAAAAGTGCAACTAACGATAATTGAAACATCACCAGAACCATTGCACGGCTTACTTATCCGTACGGATCCATTCTATCCTGTTCCTAAAGTCAATTCTCACATTCAATTCATGTTTCCAAATGGCATTTTTTTGGAGTAACAGAAATAGTTCAAAATATTGCTGCAAACAGCCAAAAAATTAATTCTACGTTCAAAATCAAAGACCAAGTTTATCACAAAGTGGGCTCATTGCATAAATTCAACAAAACATGCAGATAATAAAAAACGTTATCGAAATTCAGAAGCGGAAATGTATTGCTACCACGACTCCCTATAATTACTACAGATGTGCCAATTGAATTCAAACGCATTTAATTCCCAATTAGATTGGCATTCGGGCCAAATCACAAGGCCAAACGTTGTCTGTTTGTGACTTAGATTTGGGTACACTATGCTTTTCCCACAACTACATGTGGCATGATCTCGCGTGAGGAAACCATCCAGATTATTTGTATTGGCTAAAGACGGACTGACCAAAAATATTGTACAATGCATTGCGCTGAGAGATTAATCTTTGTTTAATCTCTCAGTTAATTATTAGTAAAAATATAAAAAAAAAAATATATCATCGATGTATAGATAGCTATCAAGAATTGTAATTTAATATGTATTTGTTGTTTTGAAAAATTATTAACAAAGTATATTTTAATTGCCTACAACACTTCATTCCTCTTTCAATTATAATTACATCCTAACACAGTTATATATAGTGTTAGCTATTTTTGATTGAACCTAAAAAAATATTTTCTAAAAATAATGTATATGGCAAAACAACGTTTGCAAGGTCAGCTAGTATTTTTATAATATTTTGTGTATATATAAAGTAAAATCTAGCTATGAATAGAACACTACAGTATAAAGATAAAAATATGTATAAGAACATAAATAGGTACATTGTATTAAATATGGTGAATAGAGTCATGCTATATACCTAAGACCAATACACAAGTTACTGAACTATATCCAATACATTTCTGAGATCCCATGAATTTATATCAAGCAAATAATTGCGAATTTAAAATTTATAACAATAAATTTTGATAAATACTTACCACTTATTTCAATAATAAGAAAGAATATGCCCATATCTGACACTCTCACTGCAGTCACAATCCTGCCTGGTGCAGTGGAAAATTGCCAAAGTTGAACATATTCTCCATCTTCTGACTGACCCTGCACATAATACATTGTTGTTCAGAAATTGTTTATTTGGTAATGATAAAAGGAGAAGTGGAGTGATTAGTATTTCCAGAGGAAATTAGAGTATTTTGGAGGGGGTTTAAAAACTACAAGATTCATAATAATTGGATATGGCTACATTCCACTAAAGGAAGATACCGAATAAAAATTATCAGTATGTGTATATCTGTCTCACCTGTTTCTCTGTAACTGTGCTTACATGGCTATTTTTCAGTTTGAAAGGCTTATGGCAGTAAAATTTCAGAGTAAAGAGGCATAACACCATAGCCCTTAGAAATGACAACACATTAGGAATACTGTGGGTATGTATTCTGTGATGGCCATAGAGCTGTGCACGTCTATAGGCAATAGATATCACTTTTTATCAGGTCATTAGTTTGTTTGCCATTTAAGTATCATAAAAAATGAGCCATTATAGATTTCTATGGATGAGTATAATGTTCTATGATATAACTTTTTAAATATTTATTCAGGAACATGGAAAATTGTTCATATTTAAAAATTCTGACAAAACAGACATTACTATACTTCAGTTTGAAAGCTCTTAGAACTGGTGTATGTTGCATAAAATGTACAGGTCTTTATAAATTAGTTAATTATGTTTGTAACTAGAGTGATGATGTCAGTGACATAGTGTACCTAACTATAACAATAATAAAAGGCTGTTAATATCGCAATATCACATTATTTTTAAGAATTAGTTATGATACCTGCAGACAAAGTTGCTTTTGGATTAAATTCTGCCAAGACATTTAATTTTATTGTTACTGATTGGCTTATCTTAATTGATTAGATAGTATTGCTATGTATATTGAATAGTTAAAAAAAGTATATAAAATAGTAAATATAATAGATACTTATCCACTAGGAATATTTAACTAATACATTTACCTCAATAAGATCAGGAGAGTGGAAATAACGTAGGTGATTGAGCAAACGAGCAGCTGGCAGGCGCTCTCCATTTCCATTCTTGCAGCATAGACAACGGAATAAACCCTTGCATGCCTGGGGAGCTCTAAGTGATGAACGCTGAAATAATTTAATCATAATCATAGTTTAATTTTATTAAACATAACAATATATTAAAGAACAAAAACTATTTATGGACAATAAGAAATTGTAAAAACATGGGGAATAATTCAGTATTTAATTTTTTTTTCAACAGTCTTAACCCTGTTTTTAATGGCTATAAATGGTTTTATGACATGTACAATGAACAAATTTTATTGGATACATAATATATAAATTTATAACTTACACTTGAAACCTCAGAATTGTTTTCATCATTTTCAACAGGACTACTCTCGGTTTCTACGTCAGGCGCATCAACAGGCGCCGAACTCTCCACAAGTTCTGCTCCTGTTGTTATTTTTCCACCTAATTTCTGTAATAAGTCATTACATTTATTCATTATGAAATAATAGAATCTACAAACATATTTTAGAAATATTTTAATAGTTTCAACTTACAAAAGCTCGCAATTTTCTAACATTTGCTATGAGTTCCTCCATAGCATAATTGCGTGTACCAAAAAAAAGGGCTCGGCAAACCGGACACATATCCAAGCGCACTTTACACCGTCCACAAACATGATGTCCTTCGTTACATTGAAAGATCTGACCGGAAGGAATTTCATAGCACACAGGACACTGCAATAGATCGTCTAAATCTGGCAAAGCCTCAGGCTGAAAAAAAAGATTTTAATATATAAGACAGTTAATTTATTTTTCTCAATCAAATTTAAAAAAGAGGAAAAGTATTTCTGTTTTGATGACTATTTTTTGTAATTGATGGGGATTACTACCAAGATAGTCCCACACTTGTTAAGAATGAAATTTCATAATTGGCATTAAGATACTTCATAACATTCAGACAAAAATACAAACTAATTCAGAATAAACTGATTTTTAAAGATTTTCAATATTGGAATGACAAGCTGAACAGTTTACACACAGAACAGCATTACAATACTGCTAGTGCAAATTACTATAATGTGAATGGGTGAAATATTTATAAAAAAAATATAGTTTAATATAACTGTTTTATATAGAAATTACAAGTTTATAATATTATAGGTACATTTCAGTACCAGTTAATTTTCAGCACCAATGTAAATTTACCTTAATTACATATTATACTGGCATGTTAATTTTATACAGAATTAATTTGTCTTATATGCCTTTATATGAATACAGCACAATAAATAAGTGACAAAAATCTATTTATAAAAAAAATAGATTATTAATATTACTTTTTAGTGGATCATGTTTACAACATTTAATTATTTTTTTCTTTTTATATTGTCATTTGTTTTAAATATTAATGCATAATAATGATTATACAAACAAACAAATAAATATATGTAAAAATATTATATAAGTAAGAAATAACTTGAAACTTATACAACAGGGCCAAATTGCTATTGCCACTATGGTTTAAATCACACAACACAGTAATGTATCTTCATGAAGTGGTCCATCAGTTTGTTTGCCATTATTACATACATATAACAATATTGTTTTAAGAAAAAGATATACTTATTGGTTTTTGAAATATATAAAATACTAAACATACAAACAGTTATTGTATAATAAAATATCAACTTTCAGAGTCTTCATCATATCAGGCATTAAATGTCCATTGAACATAGGCACCCCCATAAGGGAGGGTTTTGCCAGTAGTTGCCACTCTTGGCAGGCAAATCGGCAACCACAATTAGGTTTTTGGTGATGTTATAAGAAAGGTGCAGCTATCAATCCCTCTACCATGAAATTCCTCTAGTTACCTCTTATAACACAGATGGAAAAGGATTGGGTAGCCCATTTTATACCAGGACCAATACCAAGCATTGTCAATCTTATTTAACTTTTAATTAATTTAGATTTGGTTCCACAAAAAATAATACTGACTTTTAATACTCCAACAATGACAGAAATAAATACTCAAAGAATTATCTGAATCAGATTAAAACTGGTAAACATACTAAATAATATTCATACAAAAAAATACAAGTGAATTTGTTGTTTTCAATTTGTTAAAAAAAATTAAAATGAAAAACTGAAATAAAAATATACCCTCATGATTTAATTTTATTAAAAATAAAACAAACTAAAATTAAAAATGATACATGAATTTATTATATATATTATTTAACACCCAAATAAATATTAAGGTTTCACGCGTGCCAAATACAATCCTAACAAACAAAAAAAACTACCTGGCAAAAGGCAAGCCCATTATTTATATTATTCATATGAAAAAAATTACTGAATAGGTACGATATTTTATTTCTGCTCCGCAGTAATTACTATTACTGATTAAATGTATCAGTATTTAACAAAGTGAGTGTAAATAAAAAAAAACAAATAGCTATAATAAAATGGAGGTACAAGTCTATAACATAATTTAAATCAAGGATAGATATGTCATCATTTTGTTGAACAATTATGATTATATTTTTTACAAATTGAAAATGTAATAGTAAAAATATTAAAATATGGTAAGCTCGTGCCTAATTCAGTAAATCGCTAATAATATCGACCAACCGACAAAATGAACAATGAAATGGAAGTTACGAAGAAATAATACTTTTATAAAACAGACCTTGATTTCCGCGTTTCCTGCCATCATGATGACGCCACTGTTAAAAATGGCAAAATATATTTAAAATAATAGTGTATATCAATAATGCAACTATTTATAAGATACGCAGAAACAAAAACAAAAAATTAAAGCTAAGACGCCACCAGCTGTCTCTTAAACAAATGGCGTCGTGAGTCTCGTTATTTCGTATTTTCGTTACCTATCGTTTCTAGGTTTCTATTCTTCGTCTAGGGTTTCCGATACCGATTCGATATTACTGAATGTCGATATTTTGGATCTAAACTTAGAAATTTATTTTTTATTTTAATATATTATTTAATTATTTTGGACCTCGACCTTAGGATACTTTTTTATATTTTTATTATAAAAGATTTATTTCACAAAAAAACATTGACCTCAATCCTGGAAAAACCAGTTCTTTTGTTTTAAAAATTAAACTAAACCGATTTTGATAAAATTTCTAATTACTTTACTAATTATTTTATTAATCTGTAAGTATAGCTTTAGATAAAAAAGAATGTTCTAAATCAGTTTAGAACTGACGGAGTTATGAAGCAACAAAAAAAATTACACGATCGAGTTAAGAACCTATTCCTTTTTTGATGGCGGTTGAAAATAGATATGTATGATATATAAATAAGAATGTACAGATCAATATCAATAAGTTTCGCTATACAGGGTGTAATCGACAGGTTCACAAAAACTGAAACAGTGAATTCAGATCATTTCATTTAAAAAATTTTTAATTTTTCCCCGATTTTTCTCATTCAAATTCATGTACTCTATGATATTATGTCATAATATAAAGAAATTATAATATTTTATAGTGATATATTATGAAATACCAAAAAACAGCAATGTAATATTCGTATTAAAATGCTACCGCGACGCGCGTAATGAGCTGTGTGGGGTCAACGTTACAAGCGTATGAAAACTACCTACGAAGAGGCGCCATCGAGCGCGCGGTGTAGCTATCTCGTGACGTATGGATCGTAAAATTTCAAATACACTGCGCGGCGTCAAAACTAAGAATTGTTAATTATATGTCTGTGGTGCATTTCCGGTAGGAAAATATTCCGCAATCTAATTCAGATAAATGATTTGAATCAGCTGTTTTCGTTTTGGCCAACCTGTTACTTCCACCGTGTATATTAATTTGTTGGTATTCAGCTTGAAATATCAGTTTATGTTTTCGTACTAGAAGAGAACAGGACAAACACAGTATAAAAGTACGATAATATTTAATTTAAGAACAAATACAGAAAAGAACGATTGTTATAGATGTGTATCAATTCAGTTTAAAACCATATCTTTTTTAATTACAACCGGTTAATAGTTTATAGTTTTATGAAAATTAACCTATTTCAAACAATTACTACATTATTTTTTTAAGGAATGATCATAGAATGGCTACCCCGCCCGTCTAACGATATAGTCTAGCAGGGCATCAGTGAGGGATCATAGATGAGAATGAAAAGTTAGATCAGTTAGCCCATCGTGGTGAATCCCAAAAATACTTGGGATTCAGCACGATGATTTCAGGGGGGAGGCATGTGGAGGCCTAACGGGGTATATTGTTAGCAATGTAACTAGTAGTCTGCATTACTAACAATACCCTCTCGCTCCCCCCTCCGCACCGTATATTATATATTAACCTTAACATGGTATTTTCGTATAGAAAACTATTCATTCACTCAACATTGATTTACTTGTTTTTTAATATTAATTTACACATGATAGCGAGATTCGTTTTCGTAAGATCGATCTTTAGAACATAATTTTTCAAGAACAAATTGCAGACCGCACAAGTAAAATCGATTAAATTAATGTTATTTGCCTAAAATAAAAAAATTTACTTATTAAATTTTTTTAAGTAAAGCTTTTGTCTTTAGACTCTATTACTAATAATTCCTTTTCTTCCCGAATTTTGTGGTCATTATAATTAAACGGATGATGGTACCTAAGGTATATCGATATCGAGTTGTATATTAATGTCGAAGCTATCAATCCCTAAATTATCAACTCGTGCTGCTTGACATCTTTCATACGACAGTGATTACTGGCTCTGTTGACATTACTTGTATAAAACGCTTTATGGCAACTTTTAAAAAATTATTCTATGATATTTAACTAAAAAAAAATACAATTACGAATCAGATGGTTTTCTATAAAGTGAAAATCCAAAGTTTTAGATGCAATTCATGATTTCAATTATATCGAAATTGACCCGTAAATGTAGCATAACATTTCATAAATATATAAATCGTCGTCATAAATCCTATCATAAAAGCCCAAAAGGTCGATACTTTAACATTTTTAACGTTTTTATACAACAATTATAATGTGATTTTTACAACAAATTCGCATTTGGTTCGCTTCTGAAATTTTGAAGGAACTTTTATATTAAGATTATATGATTCTGATCGTCTATGGCATCAAATGTCATTATCAAGTTGATTGTTGACATTTGACATAACTTTCATTTGAAATATTACTACGTCAAACTATGTTGAAATACCGAGATTTCTACCAGTGTTCGTGATTTGTGTTTTCGTATTGTAAATATAATAAATAAATAATTTAAAATACTAAAATACATTAAAACAGCTTTTGTAATAAGTTATAAGTTTTTTAATATTGATATGTTAAAATGAATTTTAACTATTCGCTACTATTCTTTATTATTGACATTCTCAGTTGTAAGTATTGTTTATAAATTATAATACAAAGTTATAAAGAAATAGTAAAGTTAAAAACAACAAAGTTATTATTTTACTAGTCTTGTTCAGATATTGATATAGGTTTAGTGGATATAAATAACTAGTATATATAGGACGAATTGCTCAAATTGATCTATCATTGCACGGCAAAATACTTGGATTTTATGATATTTGCACATAGGTTTCAAACGTCATTGTCCTTTGAAAATCAACATGGACTCATCACAAATTTACCGTCAGTAACTTTTATTCTTCAAATTAGTTTTATCATGACAAATTCATAAGGAGTTTGGTGTGGAGTAGCTCTTATAACTGAAGGACCTCATTTATAAGTATAAAAGTAGCTGAAGGTTAATTTATGACAGTTTTTATGTTGTTACAATTTCCCCTTTGTAATCTCTGCCAATAGAGATTCATTTAACTAATACCTTGCAATTTATAAATTTCAAATAAAAAAATATAAGCAAATTGAAAACATCTTTCTTTTTGAAATTGGTTGATTAAATAGAAACTTTATATAAAAAAAATTACATGTACTTGTAAAGTATTTGTGTTATTATTAAGTTTTGTAATTTATATTTTCAATATTTTTAAATTACTAGCTTTTACCTGCAACTTTAACCACATGACAGGAAAAAATAGTAACCTATGTTCTTTTCCATCTCAAATATGTAGTTTGGCTAAGCTGTTAAGGCAGCAACAAACATTCACTTTCAAATTTATAATATTGGCTACTAGCTATATTCCACAGTCTTGCTCATGTAAAATGTGCCCAGTATTAAAATTATCCTAAATGTTATGATAGTATAATAATCTCGCCACATATTATTTTTTTTTCATTTTGTCTAGTATTTTTTTCATGAAAGACACATCAAGACATTCGTAAATATACTCTTGTTGGTTATATGAATAAAAATAATGTTATTTATGTAGATGTATCCTGTGAAAGACTCCATAAACAAATATACTCATCTATAGAAGGTGGTGCAGCATGTTTTAGAAGATTAAATGGAACACATCAAGTAGGATGTTCCTGTGAGTATTTATGTTATGCTACAGTCATCTGATGCCAATATTCATAATATAAGTATGTACAGTGATTTGCCATTATCCCTAATACAATTACAAGCCTTCAAAAATTTTTGTTTTGTAGCAGCAAACAGTATTTTAATTGCTAATGTAGAACTGCTATAAAATTTGCATGTTAGTGGTATTCACATGCAAGCTATTATGGAATCTTCTATCATTTATTGAGCCTCCATATTTTGTGTAGAAAGAATAACCCATATGTTTATGTGATGTAATAATACTTTATCTATAATGCTACTAATGAATAACAAAAAGAATTTTAAACATTAAAATAAAAAAAGTCATCCTTCATTAAAATGATCTATTTGGTATGAATGATTTAGAAATTCTTTTCTAAATCATTCATACCATATACAAATACTATCCCTGAAGTGTGTTATGTCTAAAAATCATGTACATTATTTTTAAACATCTTGTATTCTAATCTATACAGGTACTATAATGAGTATAATTATAGGAAAATAAAGGTGTAAACAGATACTTATACTATTTTTATTAGCTAGAAATAATAATAATTATGTTTTAGCTTCAGATAAAGGTGCTGTTGGTGTGGTGGCCTTAATACGTGATGTGAGTGATGCCCAATGGTTAACACAAAATGCAACAGCTGGTCCATATATGGCAGTAGTTGGTACTTCATTATTCTATGATGTTATGGACTTGTTACTGGACCAACCTCAAAATGTGGCCGGTGTCTTAGTATTTGATAATGCAACATTAGGGTGAGTTAAAGTTTTAAGTAATTGGTGGTTAACTGAGTTAATTTCATAAAAACATACTTCTCAGTTATATAAAAATATATAAATGAGAACGATACTCATAATATTACAAACTAATATTAATAGTATTTATTTTGTTTATATATTAAGTTAGTAAATAAGTAAATAATCCACCATACAGTAGTGTCACATTAGTTCTGCTGCTCTCAAAGAAACCTTTACATATCTTTCTTATCTCTTTATATTATTTTTAAATGAATCTATAATTCTCTGTATTTCAGTACCAGTTCATTCACACAAGATTCAAAATGCCCAAATGAATATTCATCAGGTCCTGGAAGCCAATGTTCTTCTATATCAAAAGACAACAAAGTATGGAATGAGAAAGGTACTGATCTGTTAAGAAAAAATATTCCGTTTCCTATATTTTTCTTACCAGAGTCAAGATATGAGGAGATTACAAAAATAGAAGGATGCTATGAAAGGTATTTTTACAGATTTTTGTAATAAAAGCAATATTTTAACCCATGCAAAGTCAGGGTGAGACATTAGTAAATTATAATGTTATTCTAATCTGATATTACAGGTACAATCTTGACAGAAGTAATCAGAAAAATATGCCATTATGTTCAATTCAACTGCATTCTTTCATGTTTGCAGCAGTTAACAGTGCAGTCTGTTTAAGGAGGTTAGTAATATTACTAAAAAAAATCTATTGATATTTGTACTAATATTAGCATGAATATTAGATGTTTTTTACAGTGCTTTTGAGGAGCTTAGTTTGCACTCAAATTAAATTATGTTTTATTTTTAGATCTGCAACAACAGTACTCTTAACTCCTACTAAAGTGTGTGATCCCTTGGGTGATAATAATGTATACTACTCTCTTTTTCCTCGAGGAAAGGTAGGTTTTGGTGTTTATTATATTATAATACATATATAGGAGCATATCTACATTAATTTATACATACTTTTTATAGTAGTAAAAAGTTTTCCAGCACTGTGTATATTTTTATAGAAACAAGAGAGACCGGTTATAATTTCCAGCTTGTAATCATATCTGTAAAATAAACATGTTGCTATCTATATAATACTATAATAGCTTTATTAATCTAAATAATACCTCATATAATCTTTGGAAAAATCATTATTACTCTGATAATAATTGAATATTAATAGGATAGCTAGATTGTAAGAAAGGATAACGTAAAGTATTACCATTTTATACTACCACTGTATTGCTGTACTTGAAAATTATTTTTATTTTTTATATATTTACTATTATAACTGTTAAAGTTATTATATTTATGTTTGCATTATTTTATATATGTATACATAGTATAGTCGCGCAGAATATCGACATCGGGGAATAGTAGATGGTTCTTAAATTGTATTCTATTGTTTGTTTTGGTTTATAATTAATATTGTTATACTTACTTTCTTTATTTATGATACTGTACTAGTATGTACTAGTATGATACTGAGTCACATAATTCTATGAATAAATTCTTTCTTGCTTTATTAAAATTGTAGTAATTATTTTAGGGGTTGGAATCAAAAACAAAACCGGTGATTTTAGTTACTGCCAGGATTGATTCTGCTTCACTTTTTGATGGTAAATAATTATTTTGGATATTGATTACTAATGTGATATTGGAAACATAATAATAATACGTGAAAAACTTAAACCTTACAGGTGTTTCCCCTGGAGCAGCTAGTTCAGTAGTGGGGATGGTGACATTAATAACAGCAGCCACAAGTCTTGCACAAATGATTCCCTTAAAAGATGCCAATTTATATGGTATGATATCCTTTTAATATATGTGGTTGATGTCGATTTAGAATGAAAAACAGTTTTATAAGTATGAGCATAGCTGTAGCGTTATGCATGAAATCATAAAAAAATTAGAAAGAGGAAGAAAAAAAAAGTACTTTTAATGACAGGTAGTGGGATTTAATTAGGTTCTTGAATGTGGTTAAATACTCGTTGCTACGTATTGACAATGGTAGTGAGTAGTATTCAGTAGTCGTACTTCGTGTATAGAGAATATATATTTGTTTACAGATCGCAATGTGTTATGGACTTTATTTAATGGCGAGACGTTCGACTACATCGGATCTCAACGTGTCGCATATGACATCAGCCGCGGTGCATGGCCTCCTTCTGCTCCGTTATCACCGTCTGATATACCATTGCACATAGAACTAGGACAAATTGGAGGTTCTCTCATGTTAAACAAAGATAATGAGTCTTGGCCATTTTATGCTTACACACCGGATGATATAAGTAAGGTAAGTAAAATTTTAATATTATTTTTTATTACTTTTCTTGTATTATTTTTCCAAACACGTATATAAACATATTCTTAAAAATGTTCATAGATTTATTTTTCTAAATGTTAACTTGCAAAAGTACATATCACTGGTTATTTGATTATAATTATTTTGTTTAATTCAGCTACCATTAGTATGTGTGTGACTGACAACACTTAAAGATTGACCACCACCAGAAGTTTCATAAACTTCAATTTAGCCATCAATCTCCGACTACCTTCTTGCTCATATAGGTTTTCGATATGTATATTTACTGTGTTATTAAGATGAAATAAAATTGTTGTTGTAACAACAATAGATAGACTAGGCAATTTTGTTAAAAAAAATTTTACACTGGTATTTTTATACTGTAATGTGTTCCCCAAGTTACCTTACCTATCTAACGGCTTAAATGACCTAAGAATGAAAAAGAGTTGTACTGTATGTACCGAATATTATACTTATTGTAGCAAAGTTTATATTCCAGGTAACACAAATATTAGAAGAACTAAATTCAAATCTCGGTGTACACAAAATGACACTGAGCCCAGTCTTCACAGATAACCTACCACCATCCTCGCTACATTCTTTTAGACGTATTCTCAAGAATGTCACTGAGAGTGGATCTTTGACTGAAGTGCTGTTGACAGATTTTAATGAAAAATTCACTAACATGTTTTACAATTCTGCATTAGATGATTATCATAATATCGGATTTCTGTATCACAACATAAGTATAGGCAGTGATGGAAAATGTAAGTTTGTAGAAAATACTTCAATATTTTATAATATGCTAATATATAAATTGCCATACATTGCGCGGCGTAATGCGTTTAGCATTGTTAAATAAACGAGTTTATTATTGCAAATATTGTTTGCAAAAAGTCACCTAAATCGTGAATGCACCAATAAATGACGAGAAGTTTTGTAGGTACCCTACAATGGTAGGTTCAGTAAATATCCCTACGTTGTAAATATTATTCGTGTTTACATATAAATTTTAAGTAGCTAAGTTTTCTAAGAAAAACATCTCAAATCCTCATAAAATTAAAGTCAGACCGATACGAAAGTAAACCTTATTGAATGCAAAAAGAAATCGCGGAAAAACTGAAAATCTATTCAGAATTGGCAATGCAATCGCGTAACATAGTTGTTAAAAAAAATCATACGAACCTAGAATCTTCTTTTGGAAATATAAGATCCGCGTCATTATTATTATGTTACTTGGTATGCATTTGTTACCTAGTAAATTGGTTTCAGTATCTTGGATTTATAGTGATCGTAACGTAACCATTCCCATCAATCATTTCATGTCGCATTTTGACCCAGTATCTTATATTTTACTATGTTGTAGTATAGTGTATATGTTTAAAATTGAAGTTTCAACACGTAAATAGTAGAAATCAACTATAATTTAGAAAACCTAAACCAATCTGACTCAATATGATTTCAGTTATACCAACGGATGAGCTTATATTAAATGGTACCATGAAAAAAACTGAAATTCAAGTGAAGATTGCACAGTTCGCGACCGCGGTGGCGCGTACTCTTTACAAAGAAGTCGTCGGGAACCCATATGCAGGCAGTGTTACAGCATCGGCCCATCTGGTATGTTTATACACACTGATATAAATCTAACTGTAGATCTTAACTCGCTTCGCGGTTATCTTAACAACTTTGGCGTTTCGCGTGATTTCTACTAACAGTATTTCACTATCATTAGTTTTTGATACAACTTGTAATGGTAAACAAGCCGACGAGCTTGATAGAAGGTGATAATCGTCAAGTAAAGAAATTAACAGTACCACGGATATGATAGGGTTTTCTGTGATGCCCATGATACCCTCATGCAATACTATTCCTGAGGACTACGGTCTTATGCCTCCTTAACCTTTTACATTCTTGATTAATTTCATTATTTAGTATAAATTATCTCAATGAATACTTATTAATGGAAAGAATTCTTACTGAAATTATGAACATGAAAATTTGTTTATTTGTTATGAAATTTGGTATACACGTACTATTTGGTGTGGAGATGGATATAACCTAGTCAATCGGGGAAAAAAGGATTGTTAGTAATAGAGACTGAGAATCCCATTGCTAGCAATATACCCAACCAGGTCGACCTCCTCGCGGTTCCCCCTGGAAACTATCATGGTTAATTCCTGATGAATTTATCATGATGGGCTAACTGGCCTGTTTTCATTCTCATCTATCACCCTTCACTGGTGCTCCGCCAGCGTATCCCGTTAGCGCAGGCGGGGTTACAATACCATTTTCACCCATCAAAAAAAAAACCTACTCAATCAATATATCTCGGTTACGCAAAGTTGCGGGTAAAACGTTGTCATATGTAAAACTATAGGTGGACGAAATGCTGTATTGCTTCCTGAGGAGCCAGGCATGCCGGCTGCTACTGGCGGCGGACTACGGATCGAGCGGGTCCGGCGGTCGCGACGAGCGGCTGCCCGAGCAGCCGGCGCCGCTGTACGTGGGCGTGGCGGCGTGGAGCGGCACCGCGCCCGTCTTCGCCGGACACCTGCTCGCCTTGCTCACCGGCGATCACCTCGCCGTCAACCGCACCAAGTGCGATGCGCTCACCGATCCTGTATGTTGTCTGTTTTTATTACATTTTTTATTTGTCATTCATTTAACTTAAATCCCACGATTCACCTGTATTTTTCATGTACATGTTAAATGTTGTTATTAAGAATCAGGTCAAATTGTTACTAATGTTAATAGATATGTAACAATTCTATTTCACGACATTCGTTCACGCTAATCTCGAAATCTGCTCTAACGATTTTTATAAATATTTGTAACCATGCATTTATTACCACTTTAATTCGAGAGATAGGATATTTAATATATCGATAAAAAATATGGACCCAAGTCAGCTAGTTACTTAAAAAATTTCTTTAAAGTACGTAATATCTTTGACAATTAGAAATAATAAGGATGTGCTTGTAATTGATGCAACTAATTATTTCAGAACTATTCATACTACTGGCTAAAAGGCTGGAACCACACGGGTGTCTGTATCCAAACAACTATGAATTTTAGTCAAGCTGTAAGTCCCGCATTTATAACACCAGGTATGTTTAATTTCTCATTACATTTATTAATACGTATTATAAAACTACGATACAATTTTTATTAATTTTACGAACGATATGTTTATTTTGACGAACAAGCAGAGCATATAAATATTTATATGGGTGTACCCAGGCTTCTGGCCGGAGGTTGAGGGGGAGAGGTGCAGCCAGATTGTTCACGATTGTAAAGCTTCAGTTTTTTCAAACGTATACATATATTGTAAGACATACAATTCCTTTATCACTTAAGTTTCTTAATTGTTCAAGAAACTTAAGTGCCATTATAAATTTATATCATAACGGCAACTAATATGAATAAAATATGACATCATTATTATAATCTCAGCCGTTATCCGTCAACAGCTGAACATAGGCTTCCTCCATAGACTGCTATAAAGAACGGTCCTGAGACATCTGCATCCACTAACTCTGACATGCATATGATTTATTATATGAAGGGATTTAAATTTTGACATCCAGAAATATAAAAGAACGTCTATATAATCACGTAGTTCTACTCTATTATATTGTGGTGATAAAATGCAATGAAATCGTGCTGTGATCCAATTTTCTTTTCATACAACAAGGAAGGATAAACAAGTGGAGTGAATGTGTACAATTTTTTTATGGCATGATAATAATATGGTAACCTCTCACCTGCGCTATCAGTATACACTGGCGAAGATGAAGATGAAGTTAGCTCATTGTGGGGGACTGTGTGGATGTCGACCTTTCTTATGGAGTGTATTCCTGACAATGCAGTTATTGTACTCTCATTACTAACAATTGTCTCCACCCTGTCCGCAGATTACGATTTCACGTCGGGCACGTACTCTACGTGGACGGAGTCGGTGTGGCTGTCGATGTGGGCGCGCGTGTTCGTGTCGGCGGGCGGCGGCGGCGCGCGTGCGGCGGCGGCGGGCGGCGCGGCGGCCACGCTGCTGGCGGCCGCGCTCACCGCCTGGCTGCGCCGCCACGCCGCCGCCGTATTCTCCGCGCCGTCCACACAAGTCCTCCACGATGCGTCCTCCGCCGCCGGGTTAGTACCGCACCCCTACATCATTACCTACGAAGTGTGGCAACATAGCAATTATCTGTCAATTTATTTTATTTCTTTCTTTCTTTTATATTGATTTCGAATTAGGCACACAACATGTTTTATAGAGCATGCTGATGTGCATACCTATAGCAGGCGTACACAATATTGACTACAGATTACATGCATATAAATGTCACAACATAATTCATAAAATTAATTAATATAAAAGCAATTGAACAATTATCAATGTTTTTTTATTATTTTAAAAGTATTTTACTAGCAAAATGAAGCATTATCTATCATTGAAAATGTGAAGTTTTAATAGAGAATTTATATGCAATATATTATAAGATTAACATTTTAGTTTATTATCTAGGGACTTTATTATTATTTTATTATTCCCTCTTTATTCCTTTTACATCCTATAGACATATTGACGGCATAATACCTATTGTATTTTTACTGCATATAATTATGGTAACAATTTTTTTTTTATTTCAGCATCCTAAGGACGGTCAACTGTTAAAGCGGAAACATTTCTATGACGCCGTGTGGCAATAGTAATAAATAATATAAAATATACCATTCCATGACTATAGATTGCAAGATGATAATTGTTTTCTTTCAAAACTTTTTTTAATTAGGTATTTGTATATACAACACCGCATTCTGCTTAGTTGCAGTCTGGATTTCCATAGAGTAATGCGTAGCAGTAGAGTGTAGCGCATATGTACTTGAATACATAAAAATATTGTCGCATCGCATATCGATAGGCAATTGTCCCCTTTAATCAAACAAGAGAAATTTTGTTCTATTTTGAAAATTTTTAGTTATGTTATAGAACTTATGTTACAGTATTATTTAAAAACAAAAGTGATCCTATATTATGTATATAAAATTATTTCAAGGCTGTTAGTATATTTAGTATAAGTTTGATAACATCTTGTTGACATGAAGGAATGTGTGTGTCTGTAACATTAGCAGAAACTAATTTCAATTAACATTATTTTTCTTTAATATTACATGCCGATATAATTTGTTATATTAATAATAATTAATAGTCCCATTGTTCATTGTTACTTTTTATTTATACTCTTAATAAATTAATTCCGATCTTAGAATGATTATTTATTTATCTATACCAGTGATTCTCAACCACTGTGCCGCGGCACTTTTGTGTGCCGCCAAATTTTAAAAGTGTGCCGCCAAATTTTGCAAATATTTAAAATTTTTGTCATAAACTATTTATGCAGTGTGTTGTAGTAAGTAAATAATTTTTATCTTTTTCTTTGTGTGCCGCCAAATTTTGAAATCGTTAAATATGTGCCGCAACAAAAAAAAAAAAGGTTGAGAATCACTAATCTATACAATAGTATAGTAGCCCTAACGATTTGAGGAAACTCTTATAAAATAATTATGCGTAATAGTTTTTTATATACAGATTTATTATAGTTTGCACACATGTATTTCATCACATAGTCGAAGAATACTGACGGATCTGATGAAGATTACATATAAAGATCCGTCACTATTCTACAACTATGACGGTATACTGTATAAATGTATAACAATAATATAAAAAAATATATTTCAAGTAACTGAACACAAACACTCAATGGCCATCCGACGAAACTCCAGCAAATTGGAGGTAAATACGTCTAGTTGTGGATACTGCCTCATAAAATCATTAAGTAGTCTCAATGCAAGAGAGAGAGAGAGGAGCTTGCTTGGCCAACTCGGTTCATCTTGAGGGAATATCATATAAGTGCCATGTACCAAGTACATGCTTGTACATAGTTATAAAGCGCTCTCATAGAGTAAGTAACTCTTCTATAGATTACCAGTGCCGTTTGGTTACATTTTACGGCCCATATTAATATTTTTATACCATTGAGAAGATAAACAAGCATACGGCCCACCTAATAATAAGCGAATACCGTAACGTTTTAACGCCTGCAATATCTGGAGCATTACGCACGCGTTGCAGACCCTGAAAAAACCATATACCTTTTTTGGAGAAACCTATGCCGTAGTGTCTTGGAAAACCTTCAAAATTTTAGTACATATTCAATTGACGTGAGTTTCCATCTCACTTCAAGGAATGGTAGGGTATAAATATATTATACCCTACTATCCCCAAAAAGGACATAGATATGTATAAGGAAAAGACACTTTAAAACCGTACTATTTTTAGTACAGTCACCTTACGAATTTCTTTGATATTTTTTCCATTATAAGTACACACACACACGCACGCACGGACGCACGCACGCACGCACACGCACATGCACACACACACACACATATATTGACTCATAGGGATTTACAATAATTGCATTACTTTCTAATTTACTGTAAATAAAAACAGTGTATAGTATTTTAATAGCTTGTATGCAATTCGATTGTTGCGCTTATCACAATATAAATACAACAGTTCTGAATGGTTATACTCAGGCATTTATAACAGTTCGGCAATACGCATTCTAAAAGTAAGGTCTTCAGACAAAATTGACTTCCTTTCATCTTCACCTATGGTATGATAACTCATTGGTACTTTGCCGGTATGTACTTGTTCTTAGGTATATACCAATGGTGTACGTAGGGTTACCATTCCATTTTCACTCAAAACATCGAAGTTAACACTTTTTTTTAACAGGTCGTAATAGAATGATAATCCCACCTTCGCTATCGATATACGTTAGCGGGTTTTTTTTTAATGGGTGAAAATGGATTGGTAACCCCGCCCGTGCTATTGGTATACACCGACGAGGCACCAGTGGAAGATGATAGGTGAGAATGAATGCAGGTTAGTTGGCCCACCATGATGAATTCGACAAGAATGAAACATGATGGTTTCCAGAGGGAACCGCGTGGAGGTCAACCTGAGAGGGTATATTGCCAGTAATGGGGCTATTAGACCCCATTACTAACAATCCCTTTCCCCCACGTTAGCGGGGTGCAGCATGAAATACATTAGTTGGCTCATAATAACGAATTCATAAAAAAAATAATGTGCATAAAATGTGGTCATCGTACTAGGTCAGTTAGCTAACTGACCTACTTTTCCATCCTAATTTATCATCCCTCACTGGTACTCCGCCAGTATATACCGTTATTTTACTGTTTGTCTCTCTTTTGTGACAATTTGATCACAGATAAAGTAATAACTATGTTATAAATTTGACATGAAAGTTTATTAGTTTATCTGTGGTAGAATTATTAATAGTGATAATTGGTTATTGTAAACTATTCGAATAATTTTGTCCACAATAAAAAAGTCGAACATGAATTGAAATTGATATCGTGAACGTCACTTGAGAACTAATCGGAGACAGACTCGATTATTTTTTAACTGATTTCTAAAGGTTATTTTTGAATTATAGTAAATCCTATTAATGTAATGAATGCGAAAGTTTATAAGGTGAATTAATAAATAAATGTGTATTATTCCTTCATGCAAAAACTTCTGAACAGACTTGAATAAAATTAGGTACACGGGCAGTTTATACTCTAACTTACGGTAAAGCCGTGGGATACAGTCAATATTTAATTATTTAATATTTTTCTCTTTAGTAATTAAGAAAGAAATTAATAAAACTATGGGGTAGAAACATAAAAATGTACATTCTATTAACACTCGACTTCGAATACCGCAAGTTTTTGAGTTCTGTATTCAAATTTCGAGAACTGAAATTCTATATTGACTACTCGCGTATTTAGATATTCGTGTCAACCTGACTCGGTACCTCACTAAGTATGAACCATAAACAAAATAAAAAATGTCTGTAATATTAAAAGCGATACGACTTTGCTATGATTTCAGATTGCCGGCATCTACTCGAACGTCATTAGCTATTAATTATTATAATATTTTTCACAAAAATATTTCAACAGCTGTAGATTTACCCCAAACAATGGCTTCAGAGAAAATACTGCCAAACATATTTCAATTTGTAGACAAGAATATAAATTCCTACAAGAGTCTCCTGAAGGAAGCTGTCGCAATTCCATCTGTGTCATGTGATGTGAAGTACCGCGATGACTGTGTACGAATGGTTAAGTGGATGCAAGACAAACTAAAGGAAGTTGGTGCTACTACAGAATTACGAGATGTTGGTTTCCAGACTATAGACGGAAAGGAAGTTAAACTGCCTCCAGTATTAATAGGCACTCTAGGAAATGTAAGTTTTTAAATTGATACGTAATTGTATGTGCCTAGGTAGGTTAGCTTTTTTAAATAGCTTTTTAATGGAATGGTTACTTGTCTGCACTAATAGTATATAGTACACGCTGACGAGTCACCAAGGAGGGGTGATAGGTGAGAATGAAAAGGCTATAGTCAGTTAGCCCATCGTGATGAATACTGGAATTCAGCACAATGATTTGCTGGGGAGACCACAGGGAGGTTAATGTCACAGGGTATATTGAGACTGGTAGTCTGCATTACAAACAATCCCTTCCCTTTGTTAGATTAGTCTAGAACTGTCTTTATTTGTTTGCCTAGAAATGAAGTTTTGATTCATTTATTTCACATTTTAGCTTTTTACCTTCATTATCAACATTAAGACTCCAAGTTTAAACTGTTTGTAATTAACAGTTTTTTTTTACTTATTACCTAATGGAAATAATAAATGTCTAAAAGATATTATAAAAAAAACATACTACTAAAATAAAATAAATTGAAAAAGCTATTATAGTCTGTTTTATTAGAACTTGATAAAAATGTAAACTAATGAACAATTTACCAGAACATAAGACAGTCTACAGATGCCAAATAGAACAACAAGTTCAAAATTGATTAATTGATTGAATGCTTTAATTTATTATTTTTTATTTAGGAAGTTATTTCTGTAATAATTTTAATCAAATTATGTTAACTGTTCAATAAGTTCTATAGTAATAGACTATATAATACAGTGTTTCTACATTAAGCTACTAAGGATATTTATACATTTATTGCTAGCCTTATTAATCTTGATAAACAAACATCATCAATCATATCCACAAAGGCAGAAATTAACAAATGCATCTAATTGCTTTATCTGAAATTACAGTCCTCAGCAAACATTTTTTATTTTATTTTAAGGATAAGAAGAAGAACACAATATGTGTATATGGTCATTTAGATGTGCAACCAGCCCTGAAATCTGATGGGTGGCTCACAGAACCATTTGAGTTGGTTGAAAGAGACAATAAGCTATATGGCCGTGGTTCTACTGATGACAAAGGTCCTGTCCTTGGGTGGCTTCATGCTATAAATGCCTATAAAGGAGTTGGAGTAGAGGTAAGTGTTTATTTTGCTTGGAATTTGTTTGTAATATTAATTTATTAAATTTAATAATATTAATTGCAAATGAGAAAACTCATAAAACAATTTAAACAAAAACATTTAAAAAACAAAAATATTAGAAATTGTCTTATGTAACAAAGAGTTTATTATATATATACATTTGTCATGCATATTTATTATGAATTCTTATTTTGAATTTTCTATATTCAGCTGTATGTATCTAACTAAAAATAAAATATATCATATAATAACTAAAGGTTTTAGATAATATCATTGATATATTTACAATAGGGAGATAAGACTATGTTATGGACCTGTTTAGTTACAATTATCATCCATTATATATACAAGCAAATATTATACATAAGAACCATGTAGATACATGAATAACATTTTAATGTATCCTATTCACAACTATACAAACCTACCTATAATATAGAATAAGTTTTGTTAATAATACATACCCATATGTGGGCGGTGTTATCAACATTGTCCTGATATGATTCACATACATGTGCTGTAAGTGGAATCATAGCTATGTTATTAAATAACTATTAGATATACAAATTTACTGAGTTATTGATATTTAATGATAATCAAGTATACAACATTATAAAATATTATAAAACTTGTACAATGAAATAGGCAGGGGAAAATTTCTAATCTTAAAGAACCAAAAAACCTTTTTAATTCTTGTTAAATGCCTGTTGGATTTTGAGAGAAATTACATAACTGATCTCATATTAATGGGTGTAGGGTTCTCGTATATTTTAGATACCTTTATTTTTTTTTAATATCTATCTATGTCAATAATGTCATTTATATTGTTTCAAACTTACAGTTGCCTGTGAATTTGAAGTTTGTCTTTGAATGTATGGAAGAGTCTGGGTCCGAAGGACTTGATGCTCTTCTAATAGAACAATTGAAACCGGCTGGATTTTTTAATGATGTTGACTATGTATGCATATCTGACAATTATTGGTTGGGAACAACAAAGCCTTGTATTACTTATGGACTTCGTGGGATAAGCTACTATTTCTTGGAAGTGGAATGTGCAAAAATGGATTTACACAGTGGTGTATATGGTGGCACAGTACATGAAGGTATTTATATTATATATTAGCAATTATGAAAATCAAGTTCTTTACTTTATCATTAACAAATATGTTGATAAGCATTAAGTAATTTTTTTCTTATTTAACTACATATGTAAAGCAGAGATATAATTATAGACAAAGATCTTTTTATTACTAAGTGTACTGTTTTATTAGACAAATAGATTTTTTTTTATATCTTTGGCACATTTAAGATTATTTTTCAAGGTTGGCTTGTGACTCTTTAAAACAGGCGTATGTATACACTCAGACATGATTTTATGAAACTTTATTTGCATATTGCGGTGTGCACTAGATAATTCTGGAGTAGGCATGATCCGACCCACTGATGTAAAGTGGTAACCGTCGCTTATAGACACAGCATACACATCGCTAAATGCACTGTGATTTTTATTTATTTTTTTATACCACAAAGATTTTTTTTTTTTATACCACTGAGGTGGCAAACAAGCATACGGCCCACCTGATGGTAAGCGGTTACCGTAGCCTATGAACGTCTGCAGCACTAGAGGTATTACGCGCGCGTTGCCGACCCTGAAGAAACCTTAATATACATTTTTTGAAGAACCCCATGCTGTAGTCTAAAGAAAAACTTGGTTTGCCGGATACGGTTTTTACGGTATGGAGACATTTTACGAACGTCTCAGGCTGTGGAATAAGCTTTTTAATGCTCATTTCACAGTCTGAGATGTTCGTGGGAGAAAGTTCCTTTGAAACTGCACTGTGTGTAACGATTTAGGTTCAACCGTGTGAGGATGAATTCCCTGTTGATGGCGACTGGTATGATGATAAAAGGTGGTTGTGGGCATCATTTCAAACAAAATACGCGGATAGTACCTCTCATATGTTACGATTCCCAAGGATAGTTTTTTTTTATCCATATTATTTTCATGTGTACTACACTGTTTAAATTATTTGTTAATCATGACATGGGCAATACAAAACTGCCAGTCATATGGATAAGGAAATAATTTGTAAGACAATTGGTGCTTAAAAACTAAATGACGCTCGTTCTATTACAGCCATGTCTGATTTGATTTATTTAATGGGTCAACTAGTAGACAAGGACGGCAAGATACTAATTACGGACATCTACAAATCGGTAGCACCGTTAACGGAAAGTGAAAAATCTCTTTACACAAATATAGATTTTGACCCCGAGGCATATAGGTAAGTAATTTATATGTATACATATAATAAAATCGTAATCAAGTCATATTTGTACATTAAATATAAAAAAAAAAATATACGTATTGTATTTACCGAAGTCGAAAATATAATTGTTATAATTTTTATTTATCTGTTTGTTTGTCAACATTGTAATCTCTGAAACAGTACAATCGATTTAATTAATTGCAAGCGTTATGCTTAACACGTGAGTTTATATCACTCTAATCGGTTCATAAACAAAAAAGATAATTGAATTTATACACGGTATAATAGAAACTGCTACAACTGTAAAATAATTTCGCTCTAATTAACATCTTATTTGACGTCTACACAGACGGAATCATAAGTAATAAAAAACACGGGAGTATTAATTACTTTAAGTTTACATACCTTGTTATATTACTTTCAGAAAATCAATTGAGGCCCCGAAGTTGGCACATAATGGTGTAAAGGAACAATTGCTGATGCATAGGTGGAGGTATCCTAGCCTATCCTTGCATGGTATTGAAGGTAAATAAACATAACAAGTGATACTAATTACTTTCTGACGGTCAGTGATAGGTTTTTTAAAAACGAATATTATTTAAGTTCACAATGTCTTTTAATACAATTTAATACAGAGTCTTTATTTAAAATTAGTAATTATATAATATTAATTATATCTATGAATCGTGATTGATTCCTAAAATATACACCGTACGTTCGCGACTTAAAACATACTGGCTTCTCGAAGCCTTGTCGTATTCCCTTTTATCAAATTTCTTTGTAAAGTATGTCTTCATTCTTTCTGGGAATTTGTGTGTGGGAACAGCTATTGTGCAATATGTATTGGTATGTTGTAGTATGGTTTGGAAGGGGTTTGCACCCGTAACATACTAGTAAATAGCATTGCAAATAGGCAGTTTCCAGTAGCATGGTATTATTTAATGGATGATAATGGAATGGTAACCCTGCCTGCGCTAACGGTATACACTGGCGGGGCATTAGTGATGGATGATAGGTGAGAATGAAAAGGTCGTTAACCTATTGTGATGAATACATCTGAAATTTAGCACAATGGTTACCAGCCGCTACCATGTAGAGGTTGACCTGACATATATCGCGAGCATTGGGGCTGGTAGTCCGCATAACTAATAAACTTTTCTCCCCCAGTAGTATGTAGGCGTAGTATTTTCAACCTCAGTTTTTCCTCTAATAAGCGGGAGTCCAACGCTCTTCTTTAGCGACCCTTATGGTCAAGTAAGCCACTACATGTTGTGAAAACGGGTGGTGTGTAGTGATGCGATGTCGTACTATTATCATTCGCCGCGACATTCTTAACTGAATATATCAAAGAGTAGCATGACTGACTGCTCGGATTACACAAAACCCAGACTGTAGGACCTCAGTGCATTTATATATCCATATTAGAATATTATGTTCTTTGAAATTAAAGGTATTGTAATTTAAAATTTTAGGTGCCGCTTTTCAACCTGGAGCAAAGACTGTCATACCGGGAAAAGTGATCGGTAAATTTTCTATACGTCTTGTGCCAAATCAAGAACCAGAAGAAGTAGAAAAGTTAGTGTTTGAATATATTAATAAGAAGGTAAATATTTACGTAACAAACTTTTTATTAAATAAAAGTCTATCTGAAACCTGACTGCAATAAGTCCCGATAAACATGTCAAAGCCCATATTATTTTTCTTACTGATCCATATGAGTAGAGGTGTCAAGGCCTAACAGTTTCCTAATACTTCACATTAAGGTCGTAAGTTCAATACGGGCCTACAACTTTCACTGACATTATACGCCATTAACAAACCTGATTAATAAGAGCGAAGCAGTAGTTCCATTCCACGTAATTCTATTTCAATTGCACCGACAGTCAAAGAAATGTATATTATACTCCAGTTTTTTTAATGGATGACAATGGAATGGTAACCCCACTTGTGCTAACGGTATACGTTGACGGAGCACCAGTGAGGGATGACAGGTGAGAATGAAAGCAGGTCAAGTTGCCCATCGTGATAAATACACCTAATCCAGCACAATGGTTTCCAAGGAGAGAAGAGGTCGACCTAGCAATATACCTATACTGCTTATTTGATGGCATTTTTTCTCAATTAACAAACCTTCACCATAGTATCAGTCATTGTAATTTGCATCTATTAAAATTTCAAATAAGTAATGTAGTAATAAGTAAAGTAAGTTATTCGTTGTATTGTATGATATATGTATATCCACAAAACCACCGTTACATAATATAGTATAGGAGTATGTTTGATATTCCTGATAAAAAATAAATATAAATGTTTAAAATTAAAATTAAGCACATTGAAAACTTTATTTATTTGATTTTATTGATTGTTTCTGTTATAGTGGGCGGAACGTGGTTCGCCTAACAAAATGCGCATAACAGCACAGAGCGGCCGAGCGTGGACCGAGAATCCTGATCATCCCCATTACCAAGCCGCCGCTCGTGCTACTAAACTTATTTATCAGGTAATTATTCAAAGATTTATTAATCGCAAATTCTTTATTAAGACATTACTATTCAAGCCTTACTGAACTGCACTTTTAAACAAATATTAATAATATTTATTATTAGTAAATTATATTAGTCATTAACTGTCCACTGCTGAACATAGGCCTCCCCCATAAGGTGGGTTTCAAGTGGGTTGGCAACCGTAGTTAGGCTTTGGAGATGTTTAAAGACTTTGGCCTTTAAATTCCCTCAGTCGCCTTCTACGTTACCCATGCGAAAGAAAGGAGTGGCCTATTCTATGCCGGGACCACGCGGCTGTTAGTAATTGTTGTTTGAATTATTATTATTGTTACAGACTGATCCTGACATGTCCCGTGAAGGTGGGTCGATTCCGGTAACGATCACGCTCCAAGAGGCAAGTGGTCGTAATGTATTGTTGTTGCCCATGGGCGCAGGTGACGACATGGCGCACTCGCAGAATGAAAAGATCAACGTGCGGAACTATATTGAAGGGGTAAGTCGATGTTGTTAATTGACATTCTCGAATAAAATATAAATAGTAAAAATATCTGTCAAAATTATTGGGTAATTTCATTAATAATAAAGTAAAAGTAATAGATACAATATAAAATTAGATTTAACCTCAGTGATGCTGGGAGAAAGGGATTGTTAGTAATGAAGACTAAGAATCTCATTGCTAGCAATATACCCAACCAGGTCGACCTCCTCGTGGTTCCCCCTAGAAACTATCATGGGATTTCAGATGAATTCATGATGGGCTAACTAACCTATTTTCATTCTCAGCGATCACCTTTCACTGGTGCTCCGCCAGCGTATCCCGTTAGCGCAAGTGGGGTTACCATTCTATTTTCACCCAATTAAAAAAAAAACAGTGATGCAATAGTGCTCACGTTGTTTTGTGCAAATGAGGTTCCGGGTTCGATTGTCGGTTTGCCAATTCAGAAAACGAACTTTTGAAATTGTCTTAGATCTACGTATTCATGCATTCCAGATGTTCGTTGCCTTGTTCTTAATAATACAAGTATCTTAGATTGAGGACCATTCGACTGGTGTGATTGTATGGCATTTATTATTATTATTATGTTATAGTATAATTAAACTGATAAAAATCAATGAATCCATATAGCGTAATCGCTTATAGTAGCAATTTGTCTATTAAAATAATAAAGATTACTCCAAACAATCATAATATATTTTTTGTTTAACATTTGACAGAAAGATAATATAAACATAAATGGAACATAGAACCTCCTCCTTTTTTGAAGTCGGTCAAAAAAATTTCGGTTTGAAAAGTTAGGGGTATCGTGGGCGATACAGTACATTCTGTTATGTCCATGGTACATAGTTGCCATTCAATATACTATAAAATGTATCCTAGTAATATGTGACTCCATAAATTAATATGAATATATATAAATTTTATTTCAACAGAAACCCCGCGTGTTTTGCGTATTTTTCCTTTTCCTTTGTCTTCCATCTCGTTTCACTAATTGATTTCATGGTAGTAGGATTTTAAATGAGTTGAGATGATAACTTTTAGAGTTCTTTAAATGAAAAATTACTAGGAAACTAGCTAGCTAGCTTGTTGCTGAAAATGTGATACATTGTCTTTTTTGTGATATGGGCTTAAGTTTGATTCTACTTATGAAAATAATATTCTATTTAAAACATATACATTACAATTTATTTATTAATAATGTCATTGGTTACAGATAAAACTCTTTGCCGCCTATTTGTACGAGGTTAGTAAGCTACCCAAGTGAACTGAAGACAAAATACTCGTAAATGCATAATACATTATGTACGGGAAGCATTCCTACTTTTAAGTACAATTTATATTTGTATACTCTTTGTTCTTTTATCAATGCTTAATTTGATTGTTGATTTATATTAACATAATAATGTAATGTGGTAAACTTGTTATAAAACGTTATTCCGCTGTAGCGGTCCACTGACATAATATTTTTTAATTTCAATTTTGTAATTATTATACAATTGTCAATTATACTTCTGTATTTTTTATTCCGTTTTATAATAAATGTTATTTCCTTAAATTTGATTTATTCTTACATCAAACACTACGGTAGTCCACATAGAAAATAAATACATGTAGAATTGAAATGTCTGGTACGGTTACCAACTTTTTTAAAATAAATATTTGTAAGTATTAACTTTGAACAAGGAAAATTAGTAAATATTCATGGAAAATATATTTTATATTTAACAGATTAAAAAAAAATCATTTTTTTTTAATCTGTTAAATATAGCACTATATTTACATTTTTTATTATGGATGTAATACTCAGATGTCAAAAAAGAAATATTTAATACATTAAAAGACAATGATGGCAACCCTAGGTATTACTGGTCATAACGATGTTATTTTATTTGATCATCCCTTTTCCGTCAATGGAAATTACCGTAATCAGTGTCTAACAAAAACACTACACAATGTGGTATTGTTTACTCAACTTTACTATTCCTTGTAGTAATTCTTTACGCATTTTGTACTCGTATGTATTTATATTCAATTGTGATTGTAAATATAGGAAATACCCAGTAGTAATTCCTTCAAAGAATTATTTGAACTTCCTCGACTATTGAAGTGGTGTCTATAGCTGACTATAGAAACTGAAATTTAAATATCTAAAATATATAAAAATATTTTTTTTTAAATAGTTTTTATTTCAGTATTTATTATTCTATATCTAAGATTTCCATTGCCTATTCTATAATTTTAAATTTAATATCGAATCACATAAGCTTTAAAAATAAAAAAAGTAAATCGTAATTGTATATATTGAAACTTGTAATCATAATGTAGTCACGTTTGTATATATATTTTTATTTAACTGCTAATAAATAAATTTGGCGCAGTAATAAAATATAGACAATATTTAACAAAAGGTTTCAATAGTTTCGACCGACTTAAAAAAGAAGATTCTTACTTCTTTTACGTTTGTTACTTAATAACTCCGTCAATTTTAAATTGATTTGGAAAACTCTTATCTGAAAGGATATACTTACAGATTGGTCCCACAAAATAATTATCAAAAACGGTTCAATAGTTTTTAAATAAAAATAAATGTTTTCGCAATTGAAGTCGGATTTTTTGTTGAACACAATTTTTAATTATAAAATTGTCGGTCATACCTAGTCAGAAATATTTAAAAAACCCAATCCTATTGATATTATAAATGCGAAAGATTGTAAAGATAGATGTCTGATACTCTTTCACATAAAAACTACTCGACAGATTTAAATGGAATTTGATACACGTATATGTAGGTTATATTCTAATTTATCACAGGATATTTTATGCACCTATTGATTTACACAATGAACTCGCGGGATACAGCTAATATAAAGTATATTTTGGCGACATTAGTCGCGACTAAAATCGACTATACCGCTCGCGCTAGAAGTAACTACTACGAAGCTAAATCGTCAAAATTTTACGATGTTGGACCGGTCGAATAATCGATAATTAAAGGGGAAGAAAGGTTCTTGAATTCCAATGTCAAGTGTTGCAAGCAGTTGATAGATGCAAGCGAAAGACATCGTAATCTGTGCCAAAATATGATGAAGACCTTTGTTCAATAGTGCTCGACACAAATGTAGAAATGTTGATAATAATGATAAGATGGTGCATATTATATATACACAATACAGTATAATTAGGTCACTTTTTAACGACTTCTAAAAGAAGGGGTCTCAATTCGGTTATGTTTTTTACTTCGTAGTGCGCGCCAGTTCCAAACCGATTTGTATTTTTTTATCTGAAAGCATATACTTACAGATTGGTCTAATAGAAATTTTATTTAAATCGGTTCAGTAGTTTATTTTTAGACCAAAATAACAGTTTTTTTTTGTGGGACACACTTATTTTGAAACCAGTTGAAAACCACGAAATGAGGTTTTGTCCATTTCATTCTATAGAATGGTCGCTGAAACGACTGCGATTGGCAAAATGCTCGCAAAAAATTTTAAAATCTAGGTTCTTTGTGATTATATTTTGTTATAGGCATACTTACTCTAAATTTAATTAAAAAAAATTTTAAGAGGGAAGGGCAGCAGCATCTTTAGATGCAGTTACCAACCTGCCTGCCAAGCATGGCAACTAATAACACAATACAAAATTCCCTGAGCGGGAGGCCTATGTTCAGCAGTAAAAAGTTAATGGCTGATAGGATGGTGATGATACCTACTCTAAAAGCCCTACGCAAATGGTGAACATTTTACTCACGCACTAAATTATTGTAAATAATTATTACTTATATAAATCAATCAAATTCCTATCTCTTTCTTCTGCGTAGTTGGGTATTTACATTAACCCATGTTTACTGATAGCCATAACTGATAGCAGAAAGTGAGTGACAGTAAGTTCACGAGACGACCTCGTTAGTGAGGTGAATGTTATACAAAATATTCAATTCGGCACAATGTGGAACATCGCCGTTCACCGTGAAAGTCTGAGATATTTTACTGATATTCTGAGCTACGTTTGGCTATTGTATTGTTATGTTATTCGATCTTAGAAATCTTTAAATGACCTCTATTGTTTTTTTGGTAAAATATAATTAGTAAATATATAATTGGGATATGTTATTTTGCTGAATGTATTTATACCTCTGCCACAATATAACGTATATGTATATTATGGATGCAAGTTTATTGGTATCTCGTTCTCTCTACTACTGATATTATAATACTAATGGTCCAGTCTTCTCATTGACATTTGCCTATTGAGAACTTTATCTATTATCCATATATGTGTGCAATATTCTGATAGAGAAGTGATTTAAGTCTATCACCTTGTTGTTTTAATGAATTAGGATGCAAATATAAAATAAATCCCTCACATCTTAGTGGTTTTTTTGATTGGCGATAATGGAATGGTACGTACGTACCAACAGTATATGCTGACCTGTTAGGGATGATAGATATAGATGATAAAACTGAAATTAAACACGATAGTTTCTAGGGGAGCCGAGAGGTGGTTGACCTGATAGGTTATATTAACAGCGATGAGGTTACTAGTCCCCAATACTAACAATAAGGGGGTTTACTTCTAATTCTTATATTGTGGATGTAATAAAGTTAGATGGGTAGTCCCGCTTATCAGGGAATCCCATGTACCTATGGCTTAACTTAGAAGGTATAAGAGATAAAAATTCTTTTTCCCTATTTTATAAACGGGATCAATATATAAGTCCAGCGACATTATAAATTTTATTAATATTATAAATGCTAAAGTTTGTAAGGACGAATAGATGGATGGATGTTTGTTATTCGACTTACTGCCGCGATTTCGTATACGTGGATTTTAAGATTAAATATGATTTTCAATTTGAGCATCAGGAACTTAACTGTAAAAACTGCACTAAATATAGTGTACCTAGTTTTCAAAGTTATGTTGTAACTTACATAGAGAAAAAATACTAAAGATTATTGTTTCGGCTTTAATTACTCTTATTGAAGCCTCTAATATAAAATGTATATAAATTTTTCTTAGTTGCAAATTTATTATATATATTAATATAGATACTAGATTTTTGCTCACTACTTCGTACGTGTATTTCTGAAGTAAAAAAATCAACTAGACCACTTCTAAATGGCGTATCAAGATAAAACATACCCCAAATGTTAATTTAGACCTTTAGAAATACAACCGTGAAAATTGCATCTAACTTGGCGCAGCAGTTTTTGTATAATACCTAAACAAACATTTAGACAGACAAAATTTCTAAAAATACTGTTTTGTCTTTTATTAGATTCCTCACAAAATTTTTTCTTAAATATCTCCCATATAGGTACAAATAATCGTCTAGTTAGTATATGAGTAAGATTGGTGTTATACATCTTTATTTACTTGTTTATAATTATAAAAGAATATTCTAATACAAAATTTATTAATCCATTACTAAGTAAATTTAAGCAGTGCATTTAAGAATAAATTATTTTATTAGTTGAATATGTTGCCAAGAAATTGTTGTCATTATAATTATTATAGAAATAAAGATGTCTAATATTGATACGGTTATCCGTAGGCACTAACTAAAGAAAAAACTGCGCTGCGAGGATGTGGGATTAGTAAGATTACGTCTCACGTGGGTCCCCAGGCCTTAGGTCCAATTTTATATTGTAATCCAAAGTGATAGAAGGTGAAACTATTGCTTTCGCCCAGTTTTATTTATCTTTGATCTACTACAACGTTCCTGTACTCGACACGATATCTCCCCATAACAGGGAGATATTGGCTTACTGGTTATTGACAATATTTTTACTCTTTTCTTAGATTTTAAGCAATTTTACTGATAATAATTTATAGATACTTTTTTATATGTTTATATAAAGTAATTATATACGTTTGTTATTAAAATTTTATTGCAATGATAGATTAATTCCGAACAAGTGTTTGATTTAACATTTTCCGTAAGAATTTCTTTGAATATTGCTCACCAAGTGGACTTGGAAAATATTATGACGCTACAATTTAGATATTGACGAGTTATGTTTTATTTTTGAATTTTCCTCTGAAATTGAATATTGCCTTTACTTTTTACTAGATAAGACAACAAATAAGTGGTTGGAAATTTTTTTGATAATTGAATTACAGTAACTTTACAGGGCACAGAGAAATAACATCTAAATCCTCAGGAATGGCAACGCATGGAGGGTATCATAGATGAAACAGTATACTCTGTTATGTTCATGGTACTGCTCACTGTTGGAAGATACCAGTGAGGGATGATTGCTGAGGATGATATTCAGTTATCTACTACTTAGCCACAGGCACTCTTGGGTAGGCACGTATTATATTTTCAATCGACAAGTCACGAATTATTTTCCAAAATGTGAATTATTAAAAATGGTATAATAGGTATCTAGCATTGGCTAGCGCTAGATACTTAAAACACATTGAAATGATTGGAAACTGATTGTATTTTCTCAATAGCTTCAGTTTAGATAGCTGAGACTGAAAAAGGTGGCAATTAAGCATAAAACAATATACCTGTAGATATAAAAAGAATTGAGCAAAAATAAAACGTGAAAGGTAAGGTCATGAATTTTCGATAGAAAAAGAAGTATGACAAGGTGATTCACCTTCTTAAAAAATTGTTACATCTGTTTTAGAAATGTTATTCAGAAATTTCAACTGAATATTTATGGTTAGTACACATAGAATCTTTAAAATGGAAATAGACCAGACATATCTGTAGGTAGACGAAAAAATAATGGAATAAAAAATAATGAAAAAGTAAAGTAATGAATGGTTACCACGAGAAAAGAACTAGAAAAGAGATCGACCAAATAGACGGCGGCAGATGCGCTAGTGATGGAAAAAGGACCAATGTGAATGAAGACAGCCCATATTAGGGTTATGTGGAAGGAAAGGGAGGAGGCCTAGGCTAAAAAGGTGACAAATGCAAATTAAAACTTAAATAAGTTTGAGTATTCATGAAATGTTAAATACTTTGTAGTAGAATTTGAAAATTTTTGAGAAACGAGAAAAATATCGTTGTACAAAATATTGTTTTTGTTAGATATTGTGGAGGATCATACGTTTATGAGTATTGATAAGTCGAGGAACTAAATTTTCCGATAAATATTTTTTTGCCTTATTTTATTTATATTTTTATTAGCATTGTGTTTATTAAGATTTGCCGCACGGTCTTAACATAGAATAGCCCACCCCCTTCCTCTCCCGTAAGTATCGTAAGAGGCGGTTAAGGGAAATTAATGGTTGAGGAATAGGCGGTTGCCAACCCGCCTGGCTAGTATGGCAACTACTGGCAAAACTCCCCTTGTAGGGAAGGCCTATGTTTAGCAGTGCACGGTCACAGAGTGATATAATAATAATAGCACTGTATGTTTGTGTTGGGTAGGTAACGTTTTTATTATAGCTCTCCTAGGGATGTTGCGTTGTCGGCAATTAGCAATTATTTTGACCGATAAATAAGCTATGGTAACCGTTTATCAGGCGTGCTGAATGTTTGTTGACTACTTTCATTATTAAAAAAGAATACACAACTACTTACCTGAATTCTTAGCAACAGTTATGCGACCATGCGATTTGAACAGTGAACGCCATTATAATGAATTATTTTAAGATTCTATCTCAGTTAACACGCTTTTAATTCGGCCGCGTATTGTGTGGGCGAATAAATAAAAAGTGTATATGTATTTTTTAATTTACCTCCATCTGCTATACCAGTTGGTGCGCTAACGCATACCAGTTTACTGTAGTGACATAAAGGGGATAGCAAACGGCTCTCATTGACTCAGTCCGTGTTTGAACCTCGGAATAACGCTACGCTGCGAGCTGCTTTTTCTGTAGCATTTAAATCAGTAAAGATTTAAGGAGTACCCTTATATTTTTATTGATTTTCTGTGAAAACGTGATGTTGAATTATAATCACGTATAAGTTTATTTTAGCTTTAAAGTTTAATGTTTTTTGAGAATAAAAATTATATGTGTGCATAAGTAAGGTCGCATCGCGAGTGGTAAGTTGATGTGAAATTTTATATAAACTTCATAAATGATTATTGTATATATTCTTTCATTAAAATAGTTAGTATTATGTAAATTTATTAAAACTGACAGTTATTTTTCTTTTCACCAGATACACTGTTAATACAATTTACTATTAATACGAGATTATAAACTGGTAAACAACTAATTTCATATTCAAACAAAACACTAAGTTGATAAACACATTTACTGTTGCATTAAAGAGTCGATTGAACTATTCATAAATATACTAGTACTTGTTGTTGCCTCCTTTGTAGTTGCCTCTTTTTAATCATACTTCTATTTCCATGAGTATACGTAATGTTCACTTTGCTATACCCATTTTTATTTAAGTATGTAAGTCATTATACGCGTACAATTTAGGTAATAATATACAATTCTTTATAGTTTTTATATTAAAATTATATAAATATATGTTTTATATTATTTTTTTTACATATTGTATAAATGTTGCATACTGTGTTAACGCACGTAATCTTGCTGCGTCCCAGCGCGTCGCGTAGCGTTTATGACCGGTAACAGTCTATCATGCACGCTTTCTAATTTACTATGACGAATTTTCGCAACTGTATAGTGAACTCAAATATCCGTACCATTGTGATTCGATGCACTACGCACTTGTGTTCGGGTTTTCCAAAAACATTTAAATTATTCGGTTAACTTCTACTTATAAGCTACATTTGTCATGCAACAACAATTTGTTCATTGTTGCGTTTTATAGAAATGCCAGCACTCATAAGAGTGCTAATCATCTAATATTTATATACAAGAATCATAACAGCAACAGAAGAGATACATATTTTTTAATTAATGATAATAGAATGGTAACCCCTGTGGGGGCACCAATGAGAATTGATAGGTGAGGATGAAAGCAGATAAGGTAGCTTATCATAACAGATTTAATAAAAAAATAACCATGGTGGTTTCAAAGAAGACCCGCGTGGGGCTCTACTATATAAAGCAGGTTGTTAGCAATGAGGATCCTAGTTCCCGCTACTAACGATTTCTTCCCCCTCAAATGCGAGTAGTCATGATTACAACCATATTATTATTATATACGCCAATGTTATTTATCGATTATCATGGTACAAGTGGTAGTTATCATTTTCCATCAAGCAATATTGTAATAAAGTAATTGTATATTGTTTCTAGTTCTATTACTACAAAGTAATTAGTATGAAAGTACTTTTGGCGTATCTATCTGTTTATTATTGTCATTATACTAGCATTGTCTAAAGGCTCTTACTATTGTCATATCATCTTCATGTTAACCAATTAAAAGTTCACTGCTAATAGAGCTCATTCATAGATTGTGAAGGAACGTGTAAACCACGTTCATCCTGCAACACAATTCAAGTCGTCAATTCATGTAGAAGGGTGGCACTGTATATTAAAATAGATACTATGTAACTAGTAAATCACATATAAGTTCTATTTTTTAATCTAACTTTGAAGTACAGGGAAATTTACAAAATGCTTTGTGAAGGTTGCGCCACTTTGAAGGCAAGTATGATTTAAAAATATATCTGCGAAAGAAATTTATTTATTTATTCATTTTACATACTTGGTTAAGGTAACATACTTTAACAGCAATTCTTATACTGAGCTCAAGCCTTATATTACAGGAATCTACTATTAAACACAAAATTAATAAATTTTCAATTTTGTAAAATATATGAAATGAATATGGAAGTTTCTAATTTTGATTAAAAAAAGTATTTACAATGATTTATGACAAATAAGTTATTATAAGATACATAAACTAAAATGTTACTGCTAAATGCCAACAATTAATACCAAAAATAGAATTATGAAATCTGTTTATTTCTTTAGTTATACATTGCATAAAAATAAAATAAATAGGCAAAAGGAGGTTCTTTATTGCAAATTTTATGAAGATGTAGTCTAGTGAAACCCATGACACTTATTGTTCACTGGCGACGATTATCGCTTTCCATACAGTGCGCTATTAGCTTGTTTGTTATTAAATTAATTATATAAAAAAAATATAACATTTACGGTTTGTGTCTTTTACATAAACATATACGGAGTCTATAGCATATAATCTGCAATAGCTTTTTAGGTACTTAAACACAAATTTCAAAAATGAGGCCATTGATTTGAAATGGCTAATTTAATAATACACAAAAGCTTATATTTACTGTTTATTATCTAAATATTTGTTAGTTCAAATATTATCAGAGGTAAAGGCATGAACGGTAAATGCATTCAAACATTTGGAAATGGTTCGTTCCAACATTTCAAAAGTGTAGTATGCACACTAACGGTTTTTGAAGTAGGTAAATTGGTATTCTAGCTACGTCGAGAACCACTGCGAGCAAGGGTCTTACGCAAATATTACGTACATGCCTTTTTAGGTGATAGGTACAACAGGTGTTGTCTGCCTTACAGGAACAAAGTAGAGGTCACGTTAACATAAATTATTGTTTTGTTTTATGGCATTACCACTAAATTTGTATAGCCTCGATGTTTTTGATGAGTAACCAATTGGTTGGTTACTCGTCAGAAATACCGAGGCCACATTGAGGCCGAAAGAAAAAATATATTTAAATAACTTTAGAATCATAAATAGCAGGTATTGTATTGTCATTTTATATTGTCAAATTTATGTAAAGAATTGTAGTTTACACAATAACAAATACTAGGTATTATTGGTATTTGTGTTGGTATAAAATGAATAATTTATACACTTATTAATGCGTGAAAAAAACTATGTACCTTTTTTAAGCACATTGCATGCACAAAATAGTATTAAATTTGACATAATTAAAGTTTATATGAAGAAAGAGTGTAAAGGTTAAATTTATAATTATAAGTATATCTAGTTGATTCGATAGATTTCTTTCTGTTAAAAGTTAAGACGACAATATTTGATTGAAATGGGTTGAATTAGCATCTAGAAACAAATTTTATAAGAATAAGAGAAATGGGGTTTTGAAATTCTTCCATTTTTAAAATTTTTATCTGTTCAAAAATCTTCTTTGGTCTTTAATGAATATTTAAAAAAAATAGCCAATTTGGTCCAGCCATTCTTGAGTTTTGTGATTAGCAACACATTTAAGTATTCGTTTTTATTAATATAAATATCCGTTACAAATATTAAATTAATGATGGTCGAACTGTAATTACTTTCGTAATGGATCTATGTACGTATAATAGGTATATAATTTCATATAATTAGTAATAATAAATAGGTCGTATATATTTTAAGACAAAAATATACTTTACTTATTCTACATATGTAAATATGTAAAAAATATGTAATCTGGGTTGTATTTTACTTTTACTGTCAGATTCGACCTTTCAAAGCAAAGTATAGGCGTATAGGCATGCAAGTATAGCTACTCGGCGACAGAAACATTAATGAGGCAAAGGTATGCAAAAGACTTTTGTACAAAGTCTGCCTCTAGTCCTATCTACATATCCAGTATTTTTATGTCAAAATAAATAGATAGAAAGATAGATAATTTATTTGCATTACTTACAACACAAATAACAACAAACATATACAGTAAAAAGAGATAAAAAAATGCTTATACAAAAAAAAAGCAAAATATATAAAACAAGTAACAGTTTTCTTCCTTCCTGGCATAGTAACACAAAATGGTCACAACTCAGTTAATTGAATTAATAAGTAGGTATGCCTATTATTTTACGACTAATTTCACATTCGTTTTACTGATTTCTGTCGCAAAAAAGTGCGTGTATTGTTTTGGCTTAAGAAGTTTAACAATAAACGAGTAATTTTTTTATCCACAGAATGCAAAATCTATTGTGTAAGTTACGTACTTCCATAAACTCGAGTGCTAGTAGCTAATTCTACTTTGATAAATATGCGGGTAGTCTTATTTTAATTTATTTACTGTTGTGAAAAAGAATTATTTACATGTTTTGAGAAGCTTTTTTAATTATTTACTTGAAAGATGTTTTTATAAAATGTGAAAGTGGTTTAACAAAAAATACGTTTTCAAAACTTATGGGAAGGAATTTTGATAACAAATATATTATTTTTGCTTCTATACTTTATTAATGTTCAATTAACTAAAGTATACATCACGTACGTATGTTCCTTTATACAATATGTCGGCAAGCATCCGGTTCGGAGAGATGCAAGCCAATGTAGTGAATGCCGCTGGAAATCCCGTGTTTCAATGCTGTACAATATTATCGGTAGGCATCATAATGTACCGAAGAACATTACATTATAAATAACCAACACTTGTTTTATAATTGTCAAATTTGTCTATTATAATATTATATCATATTATAATTTATTTTATTTTAGAATTATATTCAGATCAATTTTAAAAACGACTGAATAGTCGTTAAAATTTATCATTCTTAAAATATTAAAGTCGCTTAGAATGTTGAAGTGACGGATGAGATTATTGCCTATGTAAAAGATTTCTTTTTTAAAAATCATACAAAACTGATATCGATAAAAAAAAACATGATTTTTAAAAATCCTGTTTTTTATCCATAGAACTTAAAAAGTAAATTTAACAAAAAAAAAAAAAGAAACTAAAAGCATTCAAGACTTCAAGAAACTATTAATAATTAGCTAATATTGATTTCGACTGTTTTTCATTTATATAGGTATAGTACTTCAGTCGATTTTCTCTTTAGATATCGATCTATCTATAATATATAGATATAAAATCGTAACTGAAAAAGTATCTATAGGTGTCTGATTTGTATTTATTTCATATAAGATCTAGATACAAGAGGGAGACTTTGTACAAAAGTCGTTTGCTTGGGTACTTCTACCCCATTCGTGTTTCTACCATGAAGCAGTTGTGTTTGCATGGCTATGTTTTGGTTTGAAGGGTGAGATATGGTAGTGAATTTATAGGATACAGAGGAATAACACCTGTGTCCTCAGAAATGGCAACGGATGGGAGGTATCATGGGCGAAACAGTATACTCTGTTATGTTCATGGTACTGCTCATGTCTATAGGCGACGGTTTCCACTTTCCATCAGGTGGGTCGTCAGCTTGTTTGCCGTTCTAAGTTGCATAAAAAAAATAAGATCTATCAAAGAACACTGATATTTATTATCTGGACCTTACCAAAATATTCCTATATTATTTGTGCAAAAATGAAACCTGGCCAATTTTTATGGATTTATAGACGTAAACAGTGGCAAACAGATCTTTCCTAATATAACTATGATAATAGGTAACTCATCATATTGACACGCTTTTGCGATCCGGTTGTGTAATGATGAAACGCGATGACGTGTGTTTACTTTCGCCGAGGCCCAGTTGTCTCTGGCATATTGTTTCGTAGGGAAATCCATGCTATGTGATATGAGAAATGTTGCGAGTTGAGCGTATTCTCGACAATGACCGCGACCGGTTGCATTATCGGGTTACAGATTGGGTTTTCCCATGACGTGGGTACATAAAACCCGAGAGTAGGACATTTATACTTGCCGTATATTTGATGACGATACTTTGAAGGTTTCATATAGGTAAGTACGTATTTTATTCATTCCAATATATTAAGATAAATATTATTGGGATATAAATATACTTATTATGGGCATTGATATTGGTTTACAAAAGTATACATTTTAACTGTACTTAGATTAAAATCTTTACTTATAATAATTTATTAGTTAGAAATATAAAGAAAATTATTATACTAAAGATAAATTAAGGTAATACGTTTAAAAATAATAATAGGGTAATATTTATATACAGTGACTATTCTAATGAACTAGAACCATATATATACTCAGTTAATGTTGCTAATTTTTTATTCGCTAAAAAAGGAAGTTTTTTTTTCGCATGACGTCTTTCTATCTATGTATACCGTATACGATTTTCTGCATATTTCTTTTCTGATTTGCGCTCTTCTTTTTTTATTGAAATTGTTTACTATTGTCATGTAATTTAAATATATATCTATGAGTCAAATTGATAATAAAATTCCCTAGTTTGTTAGATAAAAATAAAGAAAAAAAGAGGGATGATTTTAATACAACAATAAAAAATAAATCAATACTTATGTAAATAATATATAAAGATCTACCTAATATACATTGCCTGTAAATTCTAAAAAAAAGTACATGTAAAACAAACATACTCATATATTGGTACTTGATTATTTTGTTTGTATTTGTGCCACTTAAGAAAATATTTTATTAAAGCAATGTATGATATTCACAAAAGATAACTAAGATGAATGGATTTGTTTAGTCAGGCTGTGTATGTGCTCAATTCAATCAGGGTTAACCGCTGAGTCTGCACTCGTGACGAATCTCGATGCGTCCATTTAAAATGATGTGACCGGCGAGGTCACAAATCCAGTCATGCTACTTTTCTGGGCCGACAATGGGACCAATGAAATCTTATTCTCTTCACTTGGATACTTCTAAAATGTATAAATTTTAGAGATTCATAAATTAATTATAATAAGTGTGATAAAAAGTGATAACTCTAATTCATATCTGCCTATCTTTTATTTTCATATATATTTTTTATATATGTTTCACATGTATATTTATGTAAATCTTATTATATAAAAACAATACAGCAATAAATTAAAGTTAATATAAAATTCCTTAAATACTAATACTAATTATAAGTAATTCGCCAACGCACCACATCGAGGCAGCGTACCCAAAATACTGGCAGCATTACCTCTTTACTCATATCTCCAGTCTGAAACAATTTTTTTAGCCGAAGTGAAATAGATGAGTAAATTTGCTTCCGTTGAAAGCCCATTCAATAGGACCTATGGGAAAATATTCAATAGTATAGAAGTATATACTCGTAAATATGTAATATTTTTTGCTACTGAAAATATAAAGTCTTGTTTATTCTACTGTAGAAGTGTCAGTGGGAAAACTAAATAAGTAGCGGTTTTCTGTACCTTTTCCTCTGTATTGGAGAAAACAGTGGTTTTGTATGCATTAAAATCTGATACTAAATAAAAAAAAGTTAACTTCATTTCACTCAGATAAATAGCATTAATATAATGTTTCCCTTACTTTTCCGACTTTGGTTTAGTGTACTTGCTAAGTGCTCTCTTTCGTTATTTGACTTTGTAGGATAATGAATAAGAAAGATGTTCTTATACAATAAGAACTCATTCGATGAGTTCCTATGGATTCAAAAGTGAGTGCAACATTGAATCTGGTTAGATTGGCTTTGTTTTTATTTTTTTTATGCAACTTGAAATAATAAACATGGCGATGACCACTAAATGGAAATTGGTACCGTTACCTATAGACAAGAATGGTATTATAGATATCATGGCATGTATTACCCTGAGAATTATAAAATATGTGCTAATCTTAAAAGCAACGACATGATTGTAATTTACATACATACTCGTACTTATAACTTATTATGTACTTTTATATAGGTATGTAAATATGTATATATCTATTATTGAAATTGCTATATTTATGTATTTTCACATCATTATAGATACGTTTAATATGGTTCTCACTATTTAAAAATAGTTATTTTAACAACTTCCGTTAAAAAGCGTTATTATATAAAAATGTCCTTGTCGATGAGTAATACCTGTAACAATTTACTATTTACACGCAACGATTACCAAGTACGGCAGAGGAAATAACGTAACTACACAATTAACGTGAAATCTCTTGTTGCAGATTAAACATGATGAAGTTATTTGCGTTGGTTCTACTAATTGCGGCGACTGTGAACAGTCAATGCTTCTATAAAGACGATTCTTCTAAGAAATTAGACCCTGCCGCACGGACTTCGTTATATAGAGGACAATTAGAGTTCACACTGAACCTGTTCAATAAGATCAACAAGCAAGTACCAGATGACAACATCTTCTTTTCCCCGTTTTCGGTGTATCACGCACTATTACTCGCTTACTTCTCCGCCGGTGGACACACAGAAAAGTCGTTGAAGCAATCGTTACAAATAGACGAGCATCTGGTGAGTTTAGATTCAATGATTGACTTATTGTTTCATATTAATGTCGGTGCAAACTATTTTTTTGCTCCGTGAGATTTTCAATACAGGATAAAATCAAAATCATTAGTATCTTAAAGGGAGTGTAGGACCATAAAAAATTTTGAACCGGCCAAGTTATCACGACATCTTCAGCTATCTATTTATATGGTATCAAAATAAAATAAAAAAAAAATAAATAGTGTGTTCTATAGAAAAAACTGACTTCAATTGTGGCAAAAACAGTTATTTTGATTTCAAAACTAAACTACAGAAACGATTTTGATAAAAATTTCTTGAGACCAATCTGTAAGTACATATTTTCAGATAAAAAAGAATCTTCCAAATTGGTTTATAACTGACGGAGTTATGAAGTAACAAACATAAAAAAATACAACAGAATTGAGGACCTCCTTATTTTGGAAATCGGTTTAAAATTATGTTTCTCTTCGAAAATAGTTTAGTTTCACTGAAAATATATCTAAATAATATTATTTTTTCATTCCAGGATAAAATAAACTTGATGACAGCATACAAAGTGGATAAACGATCCCGGTTGACTAATAACAACAGCGAAAGTTATGAGTTTGTAAGCGCCAACAAATTATTCCTCGACAACCAACTTGAAGCTCGTCAGTGTCTACTTGACCTGTTTGGAGAAGAATTGGAAAAACTTGTAAGCATTTATCTTTTTATACAACATAGCTTAGTAATTAAGAAATGATAATAAAAAATGAAACATATTTCAATAATTATTGAGTGATTAAAAAATTTTATAACAAACGAGATATGAACCTAAATATAGTGATTAAATTTTATATATCTTCGATAAATACTTTATTACGGTCCTTAGACCTAGACCCTAGGTCTTTTTATGGTTATATTACAATAAGGCTTTCACAAACTCTTAATTGAAGGGAACTCAGTTTTTTAGTTATAAAATGTCTAACAATAATGGCATGGATACAATAAAAACATGATTAACTTATTCTGAATGAACTAATCTAAATTTTGAAATCCCGGACCCTGCATTTCATTAAATTTTATAATATTTTAGAGATGTAATAGCAAAATATAATATTTTGCTATTACATCTCTTCTCTTCATGCTTTCTATCGATAAATATTTAATTTATTTACACTTATTACCAAATTTGACGATTGCAGAATTTCCACGAAAATCCTGTTATGTCCCGTGAATACATCAATGAGTGGGTTTCTCGTGTCACCAAAAATAACATCAAAGACTTATTGCCCATAGATGGTATAACAGAAAATACTAAATTAGTACTTGCCAACGCAGCATACTTCAAAGGTGTTTGGGCATCTAAGTTCCCCGCTGAGAGGACAAAAAAGGAAGCATTCTTTGTATCTGAAACGCGTCAAACTCTGGTACCTTTCATGAAACAGAAAGGTACCTTCCACTACAGTAAGTATTTTTAGTATATTAAATATTTGGAATATTTTTAAAATTTACACCATCGATATTAACGATTTTGAATATCACAGATATCTTTGTCGAAACACCTTGGTAGTGGAGCGGATTAACTCACTGTTATTTCTTTCGACCGCTGTGCTTGGATTCATATACTCACTCATAAAATTATTCCATGCACATGAAATAACTTTATTTAAAAATTTTATAATTGCTGAATCTGTAATTATTTTAAAAGCACAATTTTTTTAGAATTCATTATAAACAAGGAGGAAGGTATATTACAATTAAAGTAATATGAATTAGAAACTGAAATATTTTATTGTTTTTGATTTTCCACTAATAGACTTAAAATAGTAGATCGTGTTTTATAATTTTATTATAAACACTAGTTATATTTTTTTATTTGCAGTGGTTAGTGATGAACTAGGAGCGCAGATATTAGAGCTCCCGTACAAGGGCAATGACATCAGCATGTATATCTTACTCCCTCCTTACTCAATGAAAGAAGGTAAGATTTATTTTTTACTAGTAACTTGGTTTGGCTTTGTACAGATTAAAATTGAACATACAAACTAATCGTAAATAATATATCTAAATAACAATGACATACGTATCAAAATCCTTTGCATGGTTTAGAAGAAGTTAGTAGAAAAACAGACAGGAACAGCAATAATATTTTATACTATTTAGACATGTAATGGTATCAGTGGAAGACGAATTAAATAGATTTTATGTGTGTTATTATATAATATTTTATCTAATCAATCCAAAGCAATTCACTGCTAGGCACGGGCTCTTTTTTTATCTATTTTCCATTGGGTTGCCTGTAATAGTTGCATTTATAGTATGTTCTTTTGTTTGAAAATTGTGACAGTATTGTATACCATTGATGCTCCTTTCCACTTTAGGTTTGCTAGAAGAAAACTTTTATAGAATTAAGCTCGCCTTTATACATTTGCTTTATACTATCATATTTCTTTATATTGTCTTAGTGTGTACAATAACGTATAAATAAAATAAATAGGTGATAGATGATCATGGATTGTGTAAATACGCGCTTAAATAGTTTGGCAAATTTGTATGAAATTAAGTTAATGCATGGATTATATCTTAGAATTCATGTAGAATGTCTTTTAGTCACAATATTACAATAATATTATTGTTTATGCTGAATGTATCAATTAATTCTAAGACAGTATCAAAAATTATAAGAAGTACTTACTCCCTAAACTCAACACGATTGTTAGAAGTAGTAATTTAAATAAGTATTTAAATCATATTTATGAAAATTGCAGGAGTAACTAATATAATTGCAAACTTGACACCTGAACGTCTGGCAGCTGTTGTTGAAGAGAGCTACATGGGGCGCGAAGTCATCGTTGAAATACCCAAATTCACTATGGAAAGAAATCTTCCACTAAGAGGGGTAAGTAACTATACTTTTTATGTGGACATATAATCCAAATCTGAATGAATGTTACAACGGTATGAAAGACGGTAACGGTGTTTTTCTTAAAATTTATGATAAGAAAGATACTGTAAAACAGTAATAATTGTATATATATCTACTTACCAGCTATAAGTAGTACCTACATAACTAATTTTTATTGCTGACGCCACGACGTTTCGAAGCGTATAGAGTGGATGTAGACAATAAAAGCAATAATGTGAGGGTGGGTGGTCTAAGAAAATGCACGGGCTGCTAGAAGGAAATGTCGATCACTTTCGTGATCGACATTTCCTTCGTCGTGGTCATGACAGAACCTTCAACTGCAAATACTATTTTACTACCTACAGTCGCTTAATTCCAAAAACGCATTTAAAATACGTGTCAACAACTCAAAATTTATAATTAACTATGTCCATTTGAACTGCAAAATCTTATTGAATTATTCTATTTATACTATAATAATAAATCAATTAAGAATGATAAAGAAGACAAGTCTCCGATACAAGTCTTAAGTACCTATATATGAGACGAGTTTTAAAAGTGCTAGAAACTGATAAAGGTTTTTAGCATTCGCCTATTAAATATTATATACCATTGTTTATACAATAAAATAGAAAGTTTATAAACTGAATAGTAATCTTCATTTTTCTGGTGTTTATTAATGCTTAGAATATTTATTATACTTACCGTAATTTTTCAGATTTTGGAAGACTTAGGAGTTGGCGATGTCTTCAACGCGACTGCAGACTTCAGTACGCTAACAGAACAGAAAGGGATTCTTTTTGACGATGCCGTACATAAATCAAAAATTCAACTTGATGAAGAAGGTAATTTCCAATAGTTAAATAATTATTTAATTAATCGTATTAATGAATATTCTTTAGCAGCTGAAAGTAGTCTTTATTTGTGCATACTTATGGTAACTTATAATCAAATACAAAAATGTGAATTAACCGTTGGATCTTAAAGCTTGAGATTAAGAGACACTTATGTTCTGAAATATACAATGAATCGAACAGTTTGAGATATATTTGTGAAATTACTGGGAGGAAGCAAATTATATTTCACCTTAATCTTAAAAAAATCAGGTGTATACGCACAGATCTATAGTTTCCGTCAAGTATGTGCTTTCCATTCCAAGTTTATCAGAGGAAAACTATACAAAGTCGTATGCATGGTTATCTCTGTCTCAACGGGAGTAGGAATTGTCAGTAATAAGGTGGTTAGCTCCCGTTGCTGATAATAAACCCTATTAATTCAACCTCCATTTGTTCCTAGAGTTTCATCCTTCACCGGTGCCTCGTTATTGCATATTCCATCTTCAGCTACTTAAAAACATTTCTATGTCACTCGTATTTCTATAGTCAAACAGCTGTGGTGCCAAAATATAGCCACGCAGGCTATATTTTGGTTTGAACGACGGGTTGTGACAGTAAAATGACAGGATATGGTGGTATAATACTTTAGCCACCTCAGTTATTAGTCTGATATCCATAGTGCCGTTCATGTTTATTGGTCAATGATTGCCACTTTAAATCATGTTTGCTATTTCTAGTAGAATAATGAAATCAACACCTAATATATTATATTTTCAGGCACAGTAGCTGCAGCGGCAACGGCTTTGTTCGGTTTCCGCTCGTCGCGGCCGCTCGAGCCAACGCGTTTTGTTGCTAACTTCCCCTTCGTCTATCTGATTTATGAGCGCCCCACCAATTCTGTTCTCTTCATGGGTGTTTACAGGGATCCTAAAAAATAGATTTCTTTAATTTGCACATTTTTATTATAATTTTAATATAAAGATACTTTAAAAGGGATCGTCAGAGCCGAGGTAGATTCCGTCCATAAGTCCTGCTGTGTGTGTATTAGTATGTAATAGGGCAAGAGGCAAGAGACAAAACACGTTTTTGATTGCTTTAATTTTTAAAATATCCACATAAATAATTTTTTAAAGTTTACTAAAATTGTATTTTTAGTAGCGTGGACAGATATGCAGTGGCTGTTATTTTATTTTAGAAATATAGAAAATGTTTATTGTAATTAGGTATTTTAAGAAGTAGACTTGTATAATTGCTTATTATTTATTTTTCATGTAGATATAATTATGGACTATTGTGAAGTTATATAAAACTACATCTTTACCTAATCTAATAGTATATATGTGGTTTGGATATAATTTCACATATTTTTTTTAAATGCATTATTTATAGACATTCTTTTTTTTATTTTAGTTAATTTATTTTTGTTGACGTATTCGCTATCAAAATTACCAAAACTGAGCATCATTAATGGACACAGTTTTACTTTTTTTTTTCAATAATAAATATTATTATATAATTTATTTAATTATAAATTGTAAACAAATACCGATATTCTAATTTTTTATTAAAATATGAATAATTAGTTATAAGTTAACATTAAATTTAAAAGATTATATTTTGTGATTTATTATTATATCAACTTTCGTCAATTTGCCGAAGGATAAACATACACTTATTTTTTATTTGTACTCATTTACTTCTTTTATCTATTTAACATACAAAGACCTATATTATCTAAGAACAATAACTAGGAATGAAATAGGTAGAGGACTGATGAACGGGTATGATCTAATACACAGATTATAATTAATTGATAGATAAATTTTGTACAATAAATTAAGTTTTTGTATCTAATTTTATCTGACTCATATGGATACAATTTAGTTTTTAATTTATAGAAAGAAACATACTTATTTATCCAGCCAAAAAGTATGAAATGAAATAAATAATATGCATTTTCATTGCCGTACTTAAGGTTATTTTCCAGAGTTATTCTTAGTAGTTAGCGTAAGCTGTACATATGTAGATTTACATTATGACTGTATTCACGTTTACTTCAATTTTAATTTACGCATAGTTAGCTATATTTCCAGTAAACTCAGACATAATGTAAGTCTTTGTATAACTCAAAATAACCGTTCTGTATACAATCTACGAACTTACTTACACTACCTAGCGTTATAAACATTTCAGAAAGGTAATTAAATGCAATTTAATTATTACTAGATAAATAGATAGTAACAAAAGCGGAGATTCGATCTTGATTATTTAAATATGTTTTTTACTATATGGTGACAGAGTTGTTACTTTGGATAATGCTCTTAGTATTCATCCATAAGACATTATTAGAAATTATATAGGAACATGGAACAATACGCCAATGCACGAAAAGAAAAACTGAAAAATATAAGTCAAGCCATCCGGTCAGCTTGGTTATACTAAGTTTTTATAAAAGTTTGAAATACCTACATAACCAGCAGAGATAAGTGGAGATAACGTTGTCTGTTCTATATATTTTTTTTGTATTAACGTTTACTTTCAGCATCATTGTTACATATTTCTTCTAGACTGAAAAGGAAAGCGGATGGACCTCGCTCATCCCAGAATTGTCTAGTGCTTACTTCCAATCCCTCTGGAAAATCTTAAATATGCCATAACCTTTCTATTAGATATACTTAATATTATAGATAACATAATAAAAATATTTTCTTATTTTGTTTTGTTTGCCCTCTGCAAATTAGAAAAAATATCTAAATGAAATTGATCCAGTAGTATATTTATTTATACTACTGTATTATTTGCAATATTATTAGAAATATTTGACACTTCAATACAAATAAACCCAATCCATGCCCGACATCGGGCAGCACTTGGTATTAGAAAGTGAACAGAATAAGTATTCAGAGTACTCGAATATGCATATAGATGAAATCAAATTTCTTTTTAATTATCACTGTTGTAATAATGAAGTCACAAAATCACAGATGAGACTGAGAGACAGTAAAAATCCTAAAGCATTGCTTAAGAAACTGCGCTTTTCTGCTAAATACTAATTTTCTTTACGAATTTTTCTTCTTTTATTCTATTAAATAAAAAAAATCTGTTTTTTTTTTACAGAATCAAATATAAATATACATAAAACGATTTTTAACACAAAATGCATTATATCCTAATTTAACACTATATCTTAGACCTAAATAGTGGCGAATGACAATGAATAGATCATATCTACGTAAAAAATAAGTTTACAAACAAATGTATTATTAGAAATCTTACCTGGCTTCACATAAGTAGATAGAATTTTCGAAAAATAATATATAGCCTACCTTTTTCATTGATAATTGAGCTTTCTATAAATGAAATCATTATTAATATTGATTTAGTAGTTTTTGAGTTTACACTACATTTACCATTACAAACAAACGATCAAGTTTTTCCTCTTTATAATATTTATATAGGTACGTGTAGTATCTTACATTTAATTTTTTTACTTTTACATAAAATATGTATATATGGATAAGTTAAAATAGCTTTGGGCATGTAACGTCATCTTATAAACGAGATCTTGAACTTAGAGCACTAGACATTTGATAGACGTACTTAAATTTCATTTTTTAATATTGCATTTTTACGTGCTCTGTTTGCCAAAAACTTTCGAAAGTTCTCTTAACGTCTAATAAATAAAATATTCCAAACATTGATGTAGGTATGATATGAACTTATATTAAAGTGATAACTGGAAAATCGCCTTTAATTTATGATGATTGACGGCCCATCAGCGCGCAGCGGGAGAAAGTTCGAGTGCTTCACAGTATTCACATGTCTATTTATATTAACCATGTTACAATGTTACTAAGTTATCTTTTGATATGCAAGAACCTGTGGATTTATTTTTTTTACTCTAACAAGGTAAGTATGGTACGGTAATAGTGTAGGTAAATATTAAAAATCATGAGAATCTAAAATATATATACTCAAACAAGTAGAATATATAATAGGTATATGTACATTTGTGTTTATTAAAAAGTATTAAAATTCTTCGTTCGTTCTGTCGATAGTGACTCCATTATAACAAGTTTACTAATATAATCGATTTAAAATTTTAATTGCATTGCAAAGAAGTAATAAATTAAATATTATGTTCTTTTTTCATGCAACTTAAAATGGCAAATAGGCTGACAGCCCACCTAATGGAAAGTGTTAACCGTCGCCTATACAAATGAGCAGTACCATGGACATAACAGACTATACTGTTTCGCCCATAATACCTCTCATGTGTTGCCATTCCTGAGAAGTCAGATGTTATTCCTCTGTACCCTGTAAATTCACTGCCATTTCCTACCCTTCAAACCGAAACACAGCTATACAAACACAACTGCTTCACGGTAGAAACACGAATGGGGTAGAGGTGGAGAAGCATACGACTTTTGTACAAAGTCTCCCTCTGGTAGGTTACGTGTTTTATATTAGGTATTTGTTTTTTATTATTCAACTAAAAATGACAAACAAGTTGACAGCTAACCCGATGGAAAGTGTCAACTGTCGTCTATATCACAAATAGTATAATATTACACTAGTACCTATTTTTAGTAATGCTAATGGGATGATAATGGAATGATAACCCCGTCTACGCTATTGATAACGCTGGCGGGTCACCAGTGAGAATAAATGTAGGTAAGTTGGCCCATTGTGATGAATTCATTTAAAAATTTAGTATTATTTTGTGTCCCTTCGCCATTTCTATCAAAATTTTCCGTTTGTTGTTTAATAGTAAGATAATTTTTAATTATTATAATTGTCAGTTGCGATGACAATATATTGTCTGGTCATGATCAATATCGTTGAATCATTCTACCGCAACAGTGGTTGATATAAACCTAATTCAGCAATTAATATCTTATTTGACAAACTGTGCATTGCACGCACTAAAATAATGTTACTCCATAAATAATATTGGCTGATTACCTTTATTTTTCTAAATATAAAGTTTATTCCTTTTATTGTGAGTCAACTGACTGACTAACTCAAGAATTGAGCCAGTCGTTGATAGCCACACAAAAAATTGTTGAATCAATATTTCATTATAGACTCGACACAATATTGTTAATAGTACTTACAAGAAAGTCTCTGAACATGTTTGAATCTTGGTTAATCAATAAAGCATAAACGGTCGTTAATATTTGTAGAACATCTATAGGTGCATAGATAGATATATGTTGATAGTTACATTCCTATTTCAAAATTAGATAGGTAAATTCATGTAAGTTATATAAGCAAAAAGCCAATTAATTTACTACGATAGAATTTTGTGACTGTAAATATATGTAAGTAACCTTAAAAATAATATTCTAAATATCAATAAAATAGGTACTATATTCAATTAGATCTAATTACTTGCATGGCCGTGATATAAATTTTTGGTGATTATTCAATTTATTAAAAAGACAATGAGTGGAAAGCAGTAGGCAGATAAATAAACCCATCGGAAGTTGGCTGCGGCCATCGATAGAATCGGTACAGACACAATAGAACTAATTAGCACGTATGCACCGCGGCGACTCGTGCGCGCCGGAACACTCGCTGAAAACAATAGATGGACGGCCCTGCTGCGTTATTATATTTATGCCATTATGTGCTTTTTGTTAGCGCGTCTTTGAGCCAGCACAATGAGAATATACCACATCGTTTATTCTTTTAATTGATACAACTTCAGAAAAATTAACTTAGTACGTATCTGTAATGATTTTGTTCACTTTACATTTTTATACAGTTAGTTTTTGTAAGATGTGTTTATAATATATATTGTTTACACAATGATTCCAATAAAATTCGGTACAAAGATGGACATGGACATATCCAAGATTAATATTGTAGAAAGATACTTTTTGTAATTATTTCCGTAAGGTAAAATAGCTGCAAATATTTTCTTGGTCAGTTCATTCTTTTGTTATTGTCCGCTGTCATTTTTAAATACGAGTAAAACTCACGTTACATGTGGTTTGTACCAGTTACTTTACCAGCTACATAACGAAACTTTCCACTGGGACTTCTAACTATCGCACTCTCATATTTCAATGGTAAAAAATTAGTTTTGGACCTATATCGAAAATGTACGGAAGCTATTAAATGAAATGATATTAAATCCAATTTGAAAAAAAAAAATACCCACCTATTTATATCACAGACATAGTATAAAGTATATATATATATCAAGTTACCTAGTCAGTATAGTAATAGTAGTCTAATATCCCCTCGTTACGGGGAGGAAAAACTTTACATAAGAAACTAGCTGTTGCCCGCGGTTTTGCTTGCGTAATGTCGTGTTTTTCTTTTAAGTTGAATTTTACAAAAATCCTTTCCTTCTTGTTTATAAAATAAACCTAAGTTCTAATTTTATGCTTTTTATATTTAGTAATTTTGACCTTGCGTTGTTAGTCAATCAAAATAAATTATTTTAAGTATAATAGATAAATACCACTGGACATATTAACAGTATACGGTAAAGCCGTAAGGCTTATATTTTGTTCCCTATATTGGCCCTTTGACTTCCCTTCATTGCCCTGGTATTCTAAGTCCTGTTTATCTGTTTTTAATTTCATGATGTTTATAAAATATTCAATTAAAAAGTAATCTAACTACGTAATACTTGGTTAGTGTAATTCAGAACTTCAACGAGATTAAATAGGAAGTTATCTTTTTAGATTTTATTTATATTTTACTAATAAGTATTAGCACAGACTTCAACATTAAATATGAAATATATAATGTAGATTGGACTTTCTTTTCCGCGCTTAGCCTCTCATTTGGACCGTTTTGCGTATGAGTCGTGGCTAGTACAGCCAACCCAGCTCCGCCCAGAAGCACAGAAAACATATATATACATATATATATATATATATATATATATATATATATATATATATATAATATATTAATGGTATAAGACAACAAATAAAATACAAATTATATCATAAAAACATTTTATTAGCAAACTAACGTAGGAAAGTAAAAATATAAGAAATTCAATACAAAACTGTAAATGTTGTAAAAAAATTATGGTAGCTACGTTTACTATTACAATTAACGGTGTGATACTGATACAAAATTATAAAGTGACCAGATTATATCTGTCAGGCAACTACGGGTGCGGTTCTCAACGCACTATGCATCACTTCGTTAAATACTCAGCTTAATATATGTCACACTGAAGTCACTTCATAAGTATTCCTTATTAAGTCAAATACATTACATAATTATGTTTGGAAGACTTTAATGATTGTACAGTGCCACTTTGTCTAGCGTTAAAGTAACACTGTTTGGTAAAGACAAGTAGGTATACAGATAAGCAAAAATCACAGCTCCGGTTAATCAAAATACAATTATGTTTTTGTTTCTCATTTTCATCTTAACCATAGTTCTATAAATAAATAATGACAGTATTGTACAGAACAGGTGTCATTTAAGGGTGACACAGACGACTTTTGAATCGCACGTAACATTCTATGTTCGTGAACAATTTAACTTATACAGCATTGCCAGAAGTCCACTTCGGATATCGTTCCCAAATAAATAAGTGATTGTTATTATTTACAATATGTGAATCTTCCTACTGCGATATGTCATCCACGACACCCTTAAATTTACACTCATATACTAAATAAAATTAAATTACTCATGCATTAATTACTCATAGATATCTTATAAATAAGACATAATTATCGATAAAATCTAATATTATTAACTCAGGAACAAATGCAATAAAAATCAATCAATATTAATATAACTTTTTTGAAATATGTATTCAAAAATCAACATAATAATAATATATTACAAGAATATATTATCAACCATTTATGCACACGCATATCTTACCGAAGTATTCATATTATCATCTTACAATAAATTGGTAAACCTCTCAAAGTTTCATATTACATTACAGTACTTATTAACACTATAAATTCGCTATCTTTTCAAAATACCATCTAATGAGATACGAGTGGTAGAGTATATAAAATTTACTTCACAAATTATTGTTTTCATAAGTCATTTATTACTATTATACAATTAATGAGTATTGTTAACAGTATATTCTCTGATTTAGCAACTATAAGTTCTCCTAAAATAAAAAATATCTGACGTCAATTTGTATACTATCAATACGCACATATGTAACAAAAGAAAATATAAATATATACAATACATAGAGGAATGTACAGAGAAAGTGAATTTAAAATAGATAATATTAACGTATTGGAAGATGTTGTGATTTACATACATCAAAATATTGCTGAATAATACAATATGCCCTAATTTAACATTATTGTCTGCAATAAAAAAGTTAAACGAAATTTTTTCATGTGCATTATTAAAATTACAGACTCTAGCAATGTTTGTACATAAATTTCATTATGTTTATAAGTATATTTTTAGTAATATAAAAAAAAATAAAATAAAATGAGAGTATCATATGTTTAACTATATTAGAGTGTATTAAATACTTAATATTTTCTTAGTTACAGATGTTGCAGCATGATTATGTCATCGCAAGTAACGGCAGCAGGTAAGTAAATACATAATTTATAATAATTTGGTTGATTTTTTCATATGGTAAATCAATTATTTATACAGACAGTACAAAAATAAGATTTGAACGTCAAATTAATAATAAATGTATTCTGGTTCTAGTTCTATGTCAATACTATTATTAATATACACATTTTTTATGATAGACATCTGAAAGTGGTAGATATAGGCAGTGTTTAGTTACATCTATATTTATTCTATCAATTTTTTCTCTCTATTGGCAAGATACAAAGTAAGGAGAAATCGTAATTGCACAAAGAATACTCTATTCTCGATAAAACGAGAATAAAACAAATTTTATATCATCATGTTACAGTAAATATGTAAAATATAAGTATTTACTTAAAACCCACTTCAGTCAATATAATCTATGTTATCATAAAATTCACGTTAATCTGTCAAGATATTATATACATATAACGAGATCCAGTACTAGCATCTTTAATATACTAATAATAGGTATTAGAGTTGTAGATAAACTATCAAAGAGTGGACCTTAATGTTTTACAGTTATTTTTCGTAATAATTTTGTTGAATATTAAATTAAATTTAAAAGTAAAATTTTAATGTTTTAACATCAATAAAGTTCTATTAAAACTTGAACGGTATATAAAACATATTACGATAACGCAGTGTATGATTATTTAAACAAAAATGATAAATATCTAGGGTCGATGTATTTAATTACTTTATTTAGCGGCCTCAAACTTAATGAAATAGTTTATAAGAAACGTGCTAGGTCGCGTGTCGTGCCTGAACAACATTGCGGGCCCGCCAATGTGTGATACCAACCGGCTAGCGGACGTGGTTGTGACGTGCGGAGGTCGAAGCTTATTGTTGACCGATTTGACCTTATCGCCTAATGCTTATTTTATTTGTTGCAACTGACGATTGTATTTACTACGCTTTATACACACTGCCTATATTAATTAATTTTATTGTACTGAGAAAAACTACCTGAACTTAATACGATTGCGTGACATAAAAATGTCAATAAATATCGTAACAAAAATTAAAAGATTAGATTGAGTATTATGTTTATTTAAAGAAAGCAGCAGTTATTGCAACGTGGTATCGTGGTGCGGCAGAGTGCGATGTCGAGTTTCGGAGTCGCGGCGCCAAATAGCGCCCCGACGCCCGACGCCCGCGTCGCCCGCACACAACGTGCTGTGTCACGACTCAATACTCATTAAAAAGACTTAGTTTCCTGCTATGGAGGTCGAATCGAATCAAATTCATTTTACTTTTTTATAAAATTATATGCTGTGTAATCTATTAATGAACAGAAAATTTTATATAATGTTAGTCGTTTTGCTGTTATGCGCAGATTAAATAGATTTGGAATTGTGAATAGATGATAATAATCTTTAAATTACTAGAAACTGTGAAAGCTCGTTGTTTAAAAATCATTACATTATCTGTGGCTGAAAACGATAGTGAAATGAATTAAAACGGAGTGTCTATAATATGTAGCAATTTACTACTTTTACTAATAATGGACACCTTCATGTTTTTGATTGTAGATTGCCGACAACTTGATATTATTATAGGAAAACGTTATCAGACCTCTATTACTTTGTGTAAACAATTTAAGACGAAGCATTGTGTAGTACACGGGCTGAACAAAGAAAGGCCAATTTATTAGACGAGAAAGGGAGCACAATTTTAAAGACTATTATTGGAACAGCACTTGTGTTTCTAATTTATAGCAATCTGGAAGCAATCAGGCCTCTCCTAGTATGAGGAGAAAGATGTAATATTGGAAATGAGAACCGTTCACTGTCTTGACCGATATGGATGGAATGGCTAAATAATTATCTATTTGTTCTTTCAAAGACGAAGCTAATGCCAATAATCATTTTTAATTTAATAATCTATCGCATTACAAGGTACTCAATATTATTAAAACTTATTACGTAACGACGGTTATTAGCATGCCAGTAGGTATACTGTCGAAAACGATAGTGAGTAAGTACGCAATACATGAGCCGAGCATTGAAAAAAAATAACGACCAAAACAGCGAGCAACACTATATAGAGATGCGATAGTCGAGCGGTGAAAGATGGTAGGTACTGAATGCTCGTTCTTTTACTCTGTTTTTTATTTTATTTTTTAGAAAGTTTAGTCGGTCGCGCTGCGGGAGAAATTACGGCGGCGGCGAGCTGTAATCCCAACGTTGCTCATCATTGTCGGCGGAATTTATCTGATGACTTTTTTCATTTCACTATTGATATCAGTATGAGCCCAGATAGCTTGTAAGTATAATTGATACAAAATATAAATGTGTATGGCTGCTGTTAGATATCGGATTATTTAATATTTTCTCAGGAACGATATATAGTTTACAAATGCGTAGAAATACGTTTGACTTTAGATTTAATTAACATAACATGACTAATAAATATGGAATGTAAACTTTATCATAATCTCATATATATATAAAACTACCTATATACTTAGCTAAAGCTAAAAAGTATTCGGTAACGGACGGATTTACATACAAATTAACAATTAAGACAATGTTCAAGAACTTTCGAATTTTTCTTTTAAAACTGCCTTATTTCTCTACAACTACTACATTAATTAGCACCTTACCAAATTCATGTGTGATATTTCAGCCTTTAGGTATTCAATTATATAATTATTACATTGATTATCACTGTGATAAAGTTCAATTGACTATGAATGTGAATGACCGAAATGTGGCGGCGGTCGGTGCGGTTACCTCTGCTTGTTAGGTTTGACGGTGCCATTGGCTGCGGCACTCTTCTGCGCGATATGCGTCTGATAGTGTTTTGCAAGGTGTGCTTTTTGTCGAAAGCTTTTGCCACAAAGTGAACACGAAAACGGTTTCTCTCCCGTGTGCGTCCTCACGTGTACGTTCACAGAGTATTTATCTTTGAACCCTTTTGAACAAATTGAGCAGTAATGGAGGGACCTTTCCTTTCTAACACCATTCGATGTCGACGTGGCTGCTTGAATAGCTGTGCCGGACTGCGTTTGAGTTGTTGGTGGCGAATTCTTATTCGGTATTCTTTTATACTTTTTGCTCGTTGTTTTTGTGCTAGTAACAGTCGGCGATGCGGTCACGATTTGCAAGTGTTGTGGTAGTTGAACTTCACTGGCAGGAATCGTAACTAATTCACCGTTTATATGTTGTATGTTGTATACATTACGGGTTGGGTCGATGGGTTCTACAGTATAATATGGTTGTATTGATTCTCCAAGTTCTGTCGCTATCCGTTTTAACTTTTCATAGTCCTCTGGATAATTGTTATCTAATTGTGACAGTATAATATCATCGACACTTTGCGTTGATGATGGATTTTCACCATTAGTGATAACTGTCGCATTGGTGTCTTCTAATAATATCGAAATATTTACATTTCCATTTGGTGGTCCAATTGCCATTAGTAATGCTGGGTCTGTATCTTTGTTGTCTTGATACATCGATGGTACATCAGCTTTATTGTTATTGTTTATTATTAATCTTTTTAACTCTGTACTAGGCTCAAGTTTTATAGCATTCTTTTGTATAGTGCTATATCTAATAAAAGCCTTCCCTTGTAACGCACTCCTTAACAAAGATTCATTTGACTCTGTGTTATGATCTGTTAATTTCCAATCATTATTATTATTATTGAATTCATCTTGTGTTTCTAAAATTGTAGCATTGCTGACAATTGTATTTAAATTTTCATCTTTTTTATCACTGGTTTGGAAATCATTATCTTCATATGAGTATGGCTCTACTTTTACTAGATTACTTGAGGTCATATCTGTATTTTGACTTTCTGAGTCTCCATCTTCATAAGTAAATTCATCAACTTTCGGTAAATCTTGATTAAAATCGTTAGAAAATCCATTCATATTTAAAATTGATTCAAGATCTAGAGAAGAAGGTTGTTCCATGTCAGTAGGACTAGACATGGAAACATCTTCTTCTTTCGGCCAGTAACGATTCGTACTTGATTCATTAATGTCTTGATTAAGAACTGTTAAGGTGTAAATTTGTCCATCTGTATTACTGATAAGTTTATTAGAAATTGTGGTGTCTGTACAAGGGTGTGTGCCATTTATTTCGTTGTCTTGATTCCAATAAAACTTGTTGAGATCTTCTAGCATGGCAGTATCTAAGCGATCGCGGTCACGATCAACATTCCAAATTGAGTCAAAACTTTGAAGAGTTGTGGAAGTAGTTGCGGTAGCCATGTTATTATTAGAGGCAACTTGAGAACCAGTAACGCTTAATAAATTATTATTATTCTGCTCCTTGGGCTCTTCTGAGAGCAAAGGATTTGACCTCGAATCTGGTGATTCCATGAACACGTTCACAGAACGCATCTGTTGCTTATACTGAGCATCTGTAACTTCATTAGACGTCACGAAATCAAAGAAATCAGATTTTGACAGTTCTGGGGCAGTGGCCGTCATGACTACCGTTTCAATTTAATAACCGAGGACGACTACTCGGTTCGTTTTATTATCAGTTCTGTTACATCGAGTAAAATGTTGTCGTGTTTGTATTCTGTTTGTTTTTGTACTACGGTAAATAAATCTAAATTTAAATAAGTGAATTAAACCCGATATGACTTGTACTTTATTGGCAGTCGCTAGAGCGTCGGTAACTGATTGTGCAGGTGTGCGAAGTGTGGGCTGGGGCGCTACTCGGACGTGCCCAACGTACTCGAGTCAAGCGGTGGACCAATGGAGTGTGCGAATTTGATCCGTACGTTCCTTTTTCCCATTATTCACCCCAACCCTTTCTTCTCTATCTCAAGAACTCAGTTTACTAAGTTCGCATTTACAAAGACGATATAAGTAAATATCTTTGCCATGGCTGTAGTGAAGTCCTTTGTCTTGATTCCGGAACTATCTGAAAACAAAGAAAATAATATACTTTAGATATTAATATTAAAAATTCTGCTACTGTAACTTATATACAATAATAATGTTGATAATTTAGTAATAGAATATATGATTTTTTACTAGTTCTAATCGAAACGAAACGCTAAAACGATTGCGCATCATAAAAATAGAATATCAGAATGAATAATTAATTTTAAAACTTGCATCGTTCGTGTCTACAGATCCTGTACGAAACCAGGGCGAACAAGTCACGCGGTGCGGCGAGGCGCGCCTATTATTTATCACGTAGCGCTGTGCGCAAGCTTGTCTGCGCACCGTCTCGGTGTAGTTCTACCACGAGTATACCGCAGTTTGCTTAACTAATAGTACTACATAAATACGATAATTTAAGAATTTGTTGAATAAATACAAAATTATAATTTAATAAGTGCCACACAATCACCTCGGCAACGAACGTTAGGGGGCACAACTCAAAACACCACAATTAGATCACACTATTAAACTCTTTCAAAACAAATCAATAAAATCTATTTCAAACTGATGAACTTAATACACAATATAAATAAATTATTATGCACATATATATAATTAAATAATTTGCTCCGTAAATAAACTACCCCATGAATCCTATATAAATAAATATACACATAATTTGATCATGTATCGCACTTTCCCTCTCAGCTTAAATGGTTTCCCATTTGCCGACGAAGAAATTTGCAGTCTGTCTTTATTATACGATGTCCTTTTTAATCCAAGTGCTTCTTTGTATCTTAGAAGTTGTTAAAATTTTTCTCTTCTACTAATACTTTAACACTACGCACTTCCGAAAACCTTTCCCTTATGACTCTTTCTCATTTTAACTATATTTTATCACAATTTCTTCACCGTTTCTAGCGTTAAGTTATGGAATTCATTACCTGTTGCTATTAGAACTGCAAAATCTATTCATGCTTTCAAGCGACAAGTGAAAGATTACCTTCTTTCTATCTAACTAGTTTAACTTCATTTGACAAATTAGCATTCTTTATTTATGCATTTATATATTTATTCTAGTGTTAAATATATACTTAATGTATATAAATACGTATATATATATATAAATATGTATGTATACAGATTAAAATTTTGTTTTTTTTTAAATTGATATAAATATATTTATTATTAATTACTTAATGTTTTAAGCTAGTTTATGTAAAGTAGTTATTTCAATCTTTGTTAATTGTATAATATTATCATACCTACTTATACAACAATTAATCCATTGCTCTAAGTTTGTCTTAAAAGTATTGCTTTCAGCAATAATTTATCCTTACTGTAATTATATAATTGTATCGTTACATTTAATAATTGTCTTACTTATTACTTATATTGTATAATGCAAATAAAGTATACTCATTTATTCATGAACTCTATACAATTTAAAAAAAATACAGCAAAATAAGAACCTTTTTAAAGTCGTTTGAAAAATCGACTTCTAGTGATCTAGACAAATTTAATTATAAAATAGTTAACATAAATGGTAGTAATAGTAAGTAGACACATAACAATCATCATGAACGCATTATTTAATTTACGGCTCTCAAGTCTCCGTATTACATATACTGCTCATGTGTAAAGTTTCTATGTTTTAATAGGGCAGCAATAAATAATTAAGTTGGTATTGAAATTAAAAGACTAATGTACATAAATAGTGCGCGTGACGAATTGTAAATAACTTGTTGTTGTTTTTTTTTTTATTTCATTATGACGAAGACGGTAAAGAAATAGTCATACCACGCTTTATAATTTAATTTCAAGAGCTATAATTGTTTATTTTCGAGATTTAATGGATGGTGATTAAAATATATGTTCTTTGTTTGTACTCGTACATTAATAAAAGATGTTATCAGTACTATTTTTCACTAATGTCTTAAAAATGTGAAAGTTATTCTATTTGTCCGTTTGATTGCTATATTTTCAGAAGTGCATACTATATTTTCAGAATTGAAGAAGAAGAAATTTCTGAGCTGTTTCTTTGAAGTTAACCTATTGCCTAAGTGTAGTGTTTTTAGAGTTCATATATTCTAATTTTTATTATATATATATATATATATATATATATATATATATATATATATATATATATATATATATATATATATATATATATATATATATATATAATAGCCCAGTATAAAATGAGCCGCTCCTTTTTATCCCGTAAGTCAGACGACTAATGTAATTGTCGAGTATTAATCAAAATTATAGGTATAAAACTAAAACTTTTGCATCGAAAACTTTCTGAAAATTTATAAAGTCCTCAGAAGTTTGGTTATTACTTCGTTTTGTAAACAATAACATGTGTAAGTTACATGTTTTTGTCATAATTCAATATATAAATATAATATATAATGTCTATTGACGTAAAATGAGAAAGGTCTGTCAAACGACACGATGAATTAGAGCAAACTCGCGGGACCGAAACATCTAGTATTACGTTTCACCTGTCAGCTGATACAATGCTAACTTGTTGATATTTCACGAAATATTATTTACTTGCGGGACTGGTATTAACAACATGTTATTCGATCTACAAATATTTTTCTTTGAGTTTTTTTTTTCCTTCAGATATCAATTGCAGTGCATATGTGTCTACTTTATTGACAACATAAGAAGAAAATAAAATTGATACCAAAATTATATAATTATATTTTACATAATCATATATTTTGCATGTATAAAAATATCATGTATGATCAATGTGTGGGCCTGGTATAGATTGGGTCTCCCTTTCTTTTCCCGTGAGTGTCACAAGAGGCAACTAAGGGAACTTTATGAATGAACTTATGGAGGAGGTCTATGTTCAGCAGTAGGCTATTAAACAGCTAATATGGTAACAGACATTATATATAGCCTTTCAGTAATAAAAACCAAATAATTAATTTATATATAGAGTCGGACAGAAAGTATAGACTGCCGCTGTCTTCTGCCATGTATGCAAAACCTCAATAACAAAGTTTCATTTCCTCAGTATTCGAAAATAATATTCCTTGTTCCAATTCAATGTTTTACAGAACATTGTTTGTTGTTCCGTGATCTTATTATTCAATTATAACATTTATATATCAAGATACAGTATATATATTTACTTAGTATAAATTTATAACGGTATGAACAATTAAACATTTTACAAAGTTTTTACAAGCGGTTTCTTTTACTGCAAGTAATTGTTTGCGTAATTTATGAATGTATAGATTGCGGTCCAGTATTAATTAAATCGCAACGTGTAATGCTACCCAATAAATAAACAGAGAGTTGGCATGTCTTAATATAGTACATGCGGATGTTTTATGGTTAGTTACTACAGTAAAATATTATTGAGTCATAAACGATAAATTGTTGATTAGCTAAATAGGTGTCCGTTTTCACTACACTAGTAAGTAGTAATATATACCATATATAGGATATAGTAGTAGTAAAAAGGTACAAGCTTACAACTTATCATTTTGCGTTTTTCGTAATTATGATTAAAAAAATCATTGTTACTAGTATTCATTTAGAGTACGATCTATCTGTAGCTAAATTCCATCAAATCCAATTAATCCAATAAACTTACATTTTTGTTTTCTCGTTGATAATCCGAAATTAATAGAATTTATTTTTATAATATATTTTCTGCTGAAGGCATAAATTTATAACATACAATTTACCTCAAAACTTACATTTTATAAAGAATCGTGAGAAACAATTAGCAATTCGTCTTAGATTAAAAATAATATAAAACGATCTGGACTAAACATGAAAGCTAAAGCTATTCGTTTAATAGCAATATTTGTTAAGCGAGAACTTACTACACTGCAACGAGAATGAGGCGAAACCGACTGATGACCAATAAATTAATATGTTTACTCTCTTGCGAGCCACTATGGCTCATAAAATTCAAAATTCAATTAGTACTTTACCTCGTTGCATCACAAATATATTTTTCACTGCCCAGATTATAAATAGTGGAACACTAGGTATGTTCACATGCGTAATAATTACGCATATATAGATTTTTAAAATGTACTTTACAAATTATCTTCTTTAATTGTTAAAAACAACCAAATCTATTTCACCCAATATAATCTCACATGCACTTCATAATTATATATAGATAGCTACATGTTATACCTTGAAAGTGATTATGAAATGTTATGTTATAATATTAATAACAAGACAGGCAATATATTAACATAGGCCACATCGTTTACGACATATGTTGTGTTTATTGCTTATTATTTTTATTCATCTCATTATTATGAACATAAATGTTATGTAATTATAAAATTAAATTAAAGTATGTTAGAATGATTTTTGATTTTTATTAACTTATTCTCTTCAGAACACTGATCTACGAGTTTTAGTTGGAGGCTATAATTATAAAAAATTAATATATACACAGTACTTTATTGTTTTCTTAAAAAAATGCTTGTATTATACAAAATATGAATTACAAACAGTTTTACATTGCTGTTTTTTGATATAATAGGCGGCCATATCGTAAAATATTTCTTATTCAGTTTAGTTCACCAATTATCATTTGATATTATTAAAACCAATAGACAGTGTTTTTATAAAAGAATGAGTGTGTTAAGTCCACGTTAAGAGCTTTACATACAGGTACGTAATATTTATTGCCATTTAAAAAGACTGCAACTAGATTCCTCCTGTTCTGTAATTGAAAACAGAGCAGAGCTGAATTAGGGATATTCAAGGGGTACCATGTGAAGTGATTTTTAAAACTCCATTTTTTAATATTTACTTTCACAAATTCAAGGCTCTTAATCAACATTATTTTTGCTTCGTTAATAGAGAGCACTTATACATCAATTTTGTCTTTTTTTATCTATATCATCTTTGTATAATTCGAAATATGATAAAGTAAATATATTTTAACTGCTAAAAACGTAAATATTACAACTGTATTATTATCTAATAGCAAAAAGTTAATAATTCGCGGAACGTATTTGTGAGATTTGTTAAATCAGTGATACTTTATCCAAGACCGAGCAGAAACGTTTCGCTACGGTGACGGTGACGCGACGGTAACGTTATTATTGTAACAACACAGCGGTTTTCCTTCAACAACATTGAATCATGTTTTTTCTTTTATATGAAACAGACTACCTGTACCTAGTAATATCTGATTAATCAATAACCGTTAAATTTAGGCTATTTTAATTTTTTTCCGCATTAATTTTGCTTTACTGGCTAAAACTGGCTGATCAGATCCAATATTCCGTGCTGTGCTCTAGTCAATAAGTTTAAGAAAAGTGACATATAAAGCAGCAACACATAAATGGAGCTAAAATGCGTGAGATAGATGCCAATCGATGTTTGGTTCAAAATAATTATGGTTTCCTACAAATACAAAAAGGCATCATAGCTGACCACGTTGGTATACAGTGAGATGAAAAGAGACAATTGCGATCGATTTCACAAAAACTGGTACGCTTCATTCAACTAAAGAACGTGAGAAGTGGATGCAGTTGAAAAAAACCCCGATCAGTAGTGGAAAATTCCTACACAGTAAATAAATATTGTTTTTCGGCGGTTTCCCTAAAAAGTTGTAACTTACTGCCTATAAAATGAAAAGTGTACACAGAAATTGTTTTTTTAGTTAATTCAGTATCTTTATTATCGCAAAAAACAGCTTTTATAATTTTCGGCATTTCATATTTTTTTTAATTTTATTATGCAATAGTTTACACAATAGTTATACGATTATAAGTCAAAGTTTACAGTATATTTGACGACTTTGGTGGTGAATCGGTTTAACTTATTATCAATGATTAGATATTATTATTATCCAATGATCACTGATTAGATTCCCACACAATACAAGATTTCCTTAGTTTGGGGCCAAAAGCCGCTGTGTCCAAACTTTATTATTACCATATATT